CATGCTCGAGGATCCTGTCAGTACATAAAAAGTGGTCCAAACTGAGTATTGAAGTGTGGAGGAGAAGCATACAGATCAATAGAGCAGAATGCATGCAGATTTGGAAAGATTGATGCATGTACCAAGGAGAGACAGCATTTCGGAGACGTTTCGGACGGGATTCGGACACGCTTGGGCCCCCAAAATGCGACTTTCGGGGGCCCAAGCACCCGTTTCCGAATTCGGACCCAATTTCGGATGTCCCCTGCATGCTTTCCTGTCCATGCTACTCTAGAGACTTCTGCAGTTCCTGTATCCTGGCCTCCTGGAGATCATCCTACATGCTTTACTTTTTGATTCTGAGCACTTTTTGTGTCAGTGACAGGATCCTCGAGAGTAGTGACAGGATCCTCGCCAGTAGTGACGGGATTTGTGGGAAATGGCCAAATTTGCGTCGGGATTAATTCGAGCTTCGTCAGGATTATCCAGTTTGGCAGGAGAGTGCCACAAATCTCAAATCATAACCCGTGCCTGGATGAGTCCGCTACGTAATTGGTATGAGCGACCATGCAACCATATATGACTTACTTACTGTATGTTCATGCTCAACGACTACTTGAGTATATCTTACTGCTGTCCACTCTTTCACCATGTCCCCGTCGGAATTAGAATCAGATACATACGACGTAGTGGTCATAGGTACCAATTTATCCGGTAGTATTGTCGCAGCGTGAGAATTCTTTCTTCCCCCTTTCCGCTTACACACCTCCCCCTATTGATTCAGTCAACCTTCGATGTCTACATACGAAATGTCATTCACTTTCGAAGATCTGATCGAACCAAAGAGCATAGTTAACTTCCAGATCTCTAGCCAAAGCGGGAAAGTCTATACTTCATATCGATCCGAACGAATACTACGGTTCCTCACACTCTTCTTTAACACTAGACGAACTTATTCAATGGTCATCACTTCATTCCTCCCCTTCTCTCACTTCACATCAATATTCTCAAGCTTCCACTTCCACTTTAACACCTTCTCTTCATTCCGATAGACGACGTTATGCTCTTTCACTCTATCCTGCTATACTTCCTTCAAGAGGTTCAATGATCCAAACTCTCATAGATTCAGAAGTTAGCAAATACGTTTCTTTTCGTCTTCTCGGTTCTGTCTCTGTATACAACTCCACCCAACCATTAAATTCATCAGGAGAGAAAGAAGAAACTGGGATGGTGAAGAATAGTAAAGAAGTGAAAGTCAGAAGAGTACCAGGTAGTAAAGAAGATATCTTTAAAGATACTTCTATAAATCTAAGAGATAAGAGAAAACTCATGAAATTCTTACTTTGGGCTTCGGGATCATATGAGATCACAACGGTATTCATGGAGAATAAACATAAAAGGATGGGAGAATTTTTGAAGGATGTTTTTGGTTTAGATGTGAAATTGGCGGATCAGATTTGTTACGCTATTGCTCATTGTGATGATCCGGAGGAAAAAGTGGAAAGGGTGTTGGGACGTATGAATAGGTATTTGAAAAGTATTGGGAGATATGGCTCAGGAGCTTTCTTGGTGGGACAGTATGGTTCTGCTGGAGAGGTAGCACAGGGTTTTTGCAGGTAGGTCAAATTTCGTTTCTTTTTTTTCTTTATCATTTCACGAGTACCGCTCATACTCTTGTTTTCTATTGTTTCTTTCTGTCTCTGTGACTATGACCACGCCTCGGATATGTATGCGTGTGGATCTGACGAAAAGAGCATGTGCGGTATACGGAGGAACATACGTTCTTGGGCCATCCGCCAAATTAGAATCCATTTCAGCTTCTGAAGATGGTGTGATACTCCGACTACCTTGTCACCCGAGAGATATAAAAGCCTCAAAAGTGATTTCAACTGCCGAACATTTGCCTGAGAATTTACGACCCGCCGCAGCCGAGGTGATAATCACCACCGCTCAATGTATCGCCATCTTACCATCTTTTCCTGAACTTCTCCGTCAGTCGCGTGGCTCAGTCCACGAGAAGCAAGACATTCAAGAGAACGAAAATATTTCAGACAGGCAGTCAGAAGGTACTCAGACGGAAGAAGAGGGATCTGAGGAAAATGAAGATACAGCGGTATTGCTTTTTCCGCCGGAGGGAGAAATGGGTTTGGTTCGAGCTTTGATCATGGGAGAAGGTACAGGTTCATGTCCTCCTAGACAATGTAAGTTACGCAGCTTCATCTCGTCATGATATTTCTGACCCTACAGGGATTCTCTACCTTTCATCCGTAGTATCAGAGTCAACACCACCAAAATGTCTCGAACCATATTTATCACGATTATCTTCCGAACCCCTCTTCTCTGCATTTTACTTCTCTCATAGACCGAAGTATGATATACCCGCCGAGAAACTTCTGCCGTCGGATAAAAACATAGTGTTGTTACGTCCCTGTGAAAGTCTAGATATGACGGAAGGGATGGACTGGGAAGCGAAACAGGCAGAAGCTGCTTTCTGGCAGGTTGTGGGTAAAGATGGGCAAGTGGGATATTTCGAGAAGACGGAGGAAGGTGAAGAGTCTGAGTAGGAAGAGGCGTATGTGTACAAATGTGTGTCACCAAATTGATCACCAAGACAAGGCGTGGAAGATTGTGTTTGAGAAGATCTGGGAAGGAGGGGAGGAAATGTGGAGAAGGATCGATCTTTCAACTGTTGTACCGATATTCGATGTGAGATAGATGCATCATTCTACGAATCAGTCGAATTTACATTGAGAAGAAAGGAGCTTACATATATCCGAAAGACGTTTTTTGAAGACGAATAAACTGATGAATTCCACCAGGACTAAAGTGTCAGCTGGAAAAATGAAAATATCGCTTTCCGGTCATATGAGCTCTGGGTCCTGTTCTCACAACAACCCTTGAAGAACCGATATATACCTCTGAACACAGGTATTGAATGAAAGACTCAAAAGATGTCATATGGAGAATCTAAAGTATCGATCAGGGGTGGTGGGTAAATAAAAGGTGTCGACGAGCCTGATAGGAGTAGGGTAAGGGGGGCAAACATACTCCGAACCTATGAATCTAGGAACAACATAAGAATGACAATGTCTGTCATAACTTAGAAGATACAGAGGAGAAAGTTTTACTTCAGATGAGACTTTGGAAGCAACCACCATTCATAGAAGAAGAAAAGGGGAAGTGAGAAAAACCAGGCGTAAGAGGGAAATAGAAAAATATTAGCTTAAGTGACAAAGAGACAAAACTCACATGTCCCACCTGCCAAAACACCAATGACGACGATAACCCATAAAGCCAATTTTGATCTTTGTCCTGATCTAGCTGGTCTTTGCGTGTTTTTACCCTGTACAGACCTTTCTAAAAAAGAAGCGTTTTTACGTTTTATAGTTGCTGCTGTAGGCTTTTTATGATTAGTCAAGTGTAATCTAATCCAATTTTCTTTTCTTTTCTTTTCTCAATTCTTCAATTGGAATCTCTTTTTACGAGGATTGTTGACTCCTGGACAAAGTAAAATACTTTTCGAATCTCTTGAGGAGACTCTTCAGATGGTTTAGAGAAGTCATGGGGTGTGGATGGATATTTGAAGGTGGGTTGATGTATTTATTCAAATGTTGGGTGATGGATATGAGATGGAAGTGATGGAATGTTGTGATTGGTTTAATTTACATTGAGATGTGATCCGGGAGACCACATGGACATGGACATGGACATGGACATGAGGGGAGAGTACGGAGACGGGGAGGGACGTACCATTGTGTATAGTGTTTTCCTCCAGATTGAACGCAGTGAAAAGTTAAGAAAAAGAGATAAGATTGGAAAAGAGAACCGGAGCAAAGCAAAATGGAGGGATAGAGGAATGGAAGATCGATGAAGATGGTTGCGACGGGTAAAGTCGAAGATGGAGACGTAGTGACAGCGCGACAAGGATCGGACCAGCCACGTGGCGCGATATCCCCCGGAACAACACACGCAAGGTGAGATATTCCATTCACACAACGTCCTCCAGCCCATGCAGCACTGAGCACTGGGCAAAGAATGTACCCACACTGACACCTCACAATGATATCAGTACGACATAGATAAACAGAGTTAACATCAAACATCGCACGCAATTCATACCATCAACTTTAAAACATCAGCATTACGAGTACCCATCAAATCATTCCAATATCAACATCTTCTCCATCTCATCTACCACACCCTAGAGCTGAGAAGCAAATCGCCTTGATGTTCCAACCCAAGACAAGCCTTGAGGAACGATTCCAACGCGTTCCTCTGACGGTTGAGCGAGTTGACAACGTCCGTTCCGGGTTTGACCAACGGTGCCTTGAGCATGTAAGACAAGAGCGACAAGACAGAGTACAACGGCTGGAAGTCTTCCGTCTCTCCTGCGGTACCCACTTCACGGTAAGTCACACGAGTGAGAAGTTCGGCCAAGATGGCGAGATCGAAAATGAGAGGAGTGGCGAGTAAAGAATCTTCACATTCGTTGAAAATGTTCATGACATTTCGTCCACCCATCAAAAGTTCAGAGTAATACTCGTCGATGGCACGTTTCGAATCCCCTACAGCGGGTACATGTTTGATGACGACGATATGATCGGGATGTTCTCCTTTCTTGGTGATTTGACCAGATTCAAGAGTCAAATCAGAAGCGGTCTTGTAAAGGATCGAATTGGCAGCGACCATATCGTCCACAACGGAACTTTTGGAGATCTCCTTGGAACGGAATTGACGTTGAGAACTGAGATTCTTTCCGTCATTGTTACCCAAGTGGTTGTACGACGCGATGGACAAAGGCTTGATACCAGCATTGACGAGGAATTCCGCGAGCACACTCTTGACTTTGGTCTGGCCGGATTTGAAGTCGTCTCCGGCGATGAAAGCTTTGTGCTGTTCGGCAAGTTCGATGCATCCAGGAACAAAAGTGTTTTGAGGTGAACCATTGACGAATGGAACACCTTCGAGGATTGACGCAATGGCGAACAAAGTAGAAGGAGAGACTTCTTCGTGTGACGTCTTGACCGCATTCAAAAGGTTCGCAGCGGTGTCGTTGACGCCAGGGATGATGTCGGCGTAGCGTTCAGTGTTGGCGGTCCAAAGCACGACGAGGTTGTCAAGTTGATGCTTTGCCTTGAAATCACGAATGTCTTTGCGGATATGTTCGAGATGAGCTTGTTTGTCGTCACCCGGGATCAAGTTGTCCGCCCTATCAGCCTGGTTGGCAGCGATAAAGTCGGGGTCTGAATGATCAGCTTTCAAAAGAGATCACCAGGCATATGAAGCTTACAGTAAATCGACGGGAGAGGCTTGTATTCAGCCATGAGAGGCGCAATCTGCCTCTGGAGATCATACTCGAGTACCTTGGCGCGGAACATGGCCTGATCGAGTGACAAACCCGAGATATCCCAACCGCCAATGACAAAGTCGTTAGGGTGGACCATGGGCAACATGTCAGATACAGGCACGAAGACATCTTTGCCAGTGTCGGGATCAATACCGAGACGGATGGTGGAAGCGCGAACGACCGAACCGATGTAGTTGGGTTGCTGAACGCCATTTTTGGTGTTCCACGAGATACCGTGTTTGTTGGCGAGGTTGGTAGCAAGTACGGTGGATCCGTTGTTTCCTCCTAAGCCGACGAGCATCAGACTGGCATGAGTGATCGTTGACCATACAATTGAGTGGAATTACTCACCCGACGCGGCCGACCTTGGATTTGGTGAAGAACTCGATAGTCTTCTCCGTCTTGTTTACCTTGAGTTTCCCATCTGGGCCCTCTGTACATGTCAGCTGAGAAAGGGACAGAAATCGAGTTATCGACTCACTGATGACATTCGCGCCACGGTCGATGAACTTGGCTTTGATCCCTTCGGCGGTGTAAACCGTGTCAGGGCTGTCTACCTTGAGCAGACCTCCCTCAGGGGTTCGCTTGGCACTTGCGTGAACCTTGGGAGTCGCGTTGGGAAGCGCGAAAGAGTTATGATGCCCCGGGGTGGGGTCAATGGCAGTGGGAGACATATTTTGAATCTCTTGTACGTTGTATTTGTTATACCTATAGCGAGGTAGTTACAGACCGGATAATAAGCCTGGAGCTGCGGTGTGCTTGACGCCGCTTGATTGGGTCAGCATGATAGCAGAGCAGGGGAATTGATAGACTGACCGAAAAGAGTTGTGAGCGCTGCAAAGGCTGTTTGAGAACATACACTCTGACCTGTGAGATAGGCTACGAGCGAGGATGGAGTGAAGTGTTGGTTTAGTGAGTAAAGAGTTGTTTGAGAGAAAGAAAAAGAAGGACGAGGTTGAGAAAGAGGGTGGTGGTGGTTGATTGTGTGACACGGAGAAAACGGCAAGGAAACACAGCACGGGCCACATTGCCTGAAAAAGGTAGAAAAGGTTTAGCATGGAATTTCCCTGACCGACGTTGGTCCTCCGCTCCGCCGATTTATCCGAACGGTGATCGCCACTAAAGTAAGTGTCGCTTAAACCCCCCCCCCCATGTTCTGGACTCGCTGAAACGGCATCTTTCTCGTCTTGTTTTCATCTCTCGACATTCTCAACACTTTCAATGTCACACTTCAGAATTCTACTCACAGGGGTTAGTCTACAGTCACCCGCTCGATGGTTTCGACACGATTCGCTGGTCGGAGAAGGCTGAAACTGTGAAACAGTAACATATAATACAAGGGGAAAGCAATTTTACGACACTGGTGAGATCGAAAGATACTCTACTGATACTGACACTGACACTGATACTCAAACTTGCCAACAGCAATATCGGTACACACCACCAAATGTGTGATTCCGGTAATTCAAACCGTTTGATAAGTTTTGATCTCAATTACTTTTTTTTGTGTATATTTCTGACCTAACTGATTGAGTATGTTGTTCGCATCTACAGCGTGACACCTCGATACTCGTTTTTTCAATATATAATGTAACGAGGGAGGAGGCAAAGATATCCAGTCAACTCACCGCACTCCAATCCTCCACAGTCTTCTTGGCTAGTCCAGACGTACTCTACTCTTTCACGCTCTCGATTCGTTGACGAACACCAATTGGGACTTTCAATCCACAAGTATACACGGCGATTATTCTCGTACCCACAGTGAGTCATCCCTTCATGTCCTCAAAGTGTACAAATACCATCATCCTCCACCCATCGAACTCACCTTAGTCTGTGCTATGCTTCTTTGACATTTCAGCCACATCGCCACCGCCCTTCAATTCAGCTCTTTTCCCCCTGCCCCCCTGAAAGCGAATGTCATTGTGTCCGATCTCATGCACCCATCCTGCCTCTGTCACAGTTTCGTCAAAGAACGATATCCAATCCTGACAATCAGAACACAAACACAACAACGACAACAACATGCCAGCTATATCTCTTCTTTCCCGCTCCGAGCTCTCGGTCGAGTATCCTACCTACTATCGTCGTTGGCTCGAAACTGTCAGTGGCCTCAGCAACCCAAATGGATGGGGTCACTCAGCTGATACCGACACCCACCCCATCAACACTGCCAACACCGCCAACACCACTGATGACAGTAATGTACCTTTTGCCGGTCCAAACCCTACCACTTTTATCTTATGTGGTATCTTTGCTGTTGTCCTGGTCGCCCTACTCTTCATAGGTTGCGCATTCTTTGGTCGTTCAAAGCCTGAGGAAGAATCAACGACAGAAGCGAACATTGGTCAAGGTCGTGAAATCCCACTTCAAACTACTTCTGCTACACAATCGACTTTCTCTTCGGATTCAGAAGAAGATTTCAACGAAAAATCTTCAGACAGGATACAAGGGATGATGTCACATGGTATTGTATATCCATCGGAAGGAAAGGAAAAGGAAAAGGATAAAGAAGAAAAAGATTATTGTAAAGCCAATTTTGATCAATCTCATCCTCATTATGATCTCGGTGATCGTCATGATCATCATTACCACCAGGAAGAAGGTTCTGAAAAGAAAACGATGGATAAGAAAAAAGAATCATCTTCGAAAGAAATCACATCAAAACTTTCTACTTGTAAATCGATCACTTTTAAAGATTCTTCATCAACCGAAAACAATTTCAAACTTTCCACATCGAAAGAAATCACCTCTAGAGATTCTCCATGGAAAGAAATTAAATCGATTTTAGCTACTTCGACAGAAATCAAATTTGATAATTGTCATTTCAAAGAAACCACTTCCACTTCAACTTCTACTTCTCGATTATCGACTTGTAAAGAAATCACTTTCAAAGAAACAACTTCAAAGGAAATTACCAATCTTAAAGATGATACTGAAAAGAAGATACAACTTCAATCTAAGAATCCATTCGACGAGAAGAATCAAATCATCATCCCTAAAAAACCTATAGGAGGGAAATATTATATCCCTTCAAAAAGACATAATTTCCATGATCCAGGTCGTGATTCGATAGATGAACTTCCATTTCATTATGATGATCGTCCTCTGAGTGAAATATTGGAAGAAGATGAAGATGATATTAAATCGATAAGATCTTTCAATACGGTTTTAGCCGCTGCAATTTCGAATCCTATGTCAAAAGACTTTGTCATAAGTAAACAACCTTCAACTCCTGTTGTTTCTTTTAAATCTTCTACAACTATAATCGGAACTACTATCGAACATCCACTTCAAGATTCCGATATTGCCGATCATACTTCTAAACAAATTTCTGAATATACTCATAAAGTAAGTTGTTTTTCTCTATACCTACATGAGAATAAGAAGAGGTTCGGATATTGATGAATTAAGACTTTTACACCGAAACGTGACGAAAAGATGATAGGAATGATAGGAAATACTCCTCCTTTGAACTTTCATCATTCTACAAACAAAAATCGACAAATGGGAAAAGGTTTGGAAACTCCTGATAGTGAAAATGATTCAGGGTCGTATATGAAGATTATGACTAGGAAAATGGAACAATATGAAGATGGAACTTTCCCTCCTTCTCCCGAATCCATGACTGGTTAATTGAAGGCCATGATGTGATGTGTTTGTCGGGTGGTCGAAGCGGGAGGGGGAAGGGGGAGGTGTCGATGTTGAAGAATAGTGACGGGTCGAGGGAGATTGACGAAAGGACGAGTCGACAATTGAAGAATTATGGTAGGTTGCTGAAGTTGGAATGTAGGAGGGTGGGTCATGATGTAAGATACCAGAAGCAGGAAGACTGTCAGATTTGATACTGGGAAGATTGTGTAAAGTTTCCGTTTTGATTCAAAGATTCGCCTATTGTACTTGGACTGGACAACAATCAACATTGAAGAGACTCATGCAGATCAACGAGGAATCTTCACTTATCGAATATTTCGCCAGAGTCGTCTAGTCGCTTCGTTGACAAGATGGATAGTAATGTACTTTTGTTGTAGTTATGCCTTTTTTCCCCTTGGTTGTATCACATTTCATTATGTATATCATGAGTTTATGATTCTTTCATGTCATTCAGTTTTTATACTCATCATTTACATTTTGCATCCAAAGGGACGAGCTTCATCTTTGATGATAACTTGGGAAGATGAAGACGATCCAGTATACTAACATTGCGAGATGGAAGATGATCCCATATGACAGTATAGCATCACAAGTCGAGCATGATTCCGTATGATGACCTTGAGAGATAGAGATAAGCGTATGATTCACAAAGGAGAAGAAACACATGACGATACTCAAATCTGTTGCATACAAATCCATCAGATTGTACAAAACATGTACATGCAGATACCCATATCCCCTTGTACGTAGACTCAAGATACGGATTGCGATACAGATGGTGATATTCTTGATTCTGGTTGAGAAGCAATTCCATTCGTATGGACATGTCCGTTGAGTGTTGAAGATACGCCATCGGTGAGTTTAGACTCTACGAATTCTTTGATTTGTTCTAAAACTTCGTTCAAAACGTCTACCACTTTTGCTTTCTCTACGGAGTGTCAGCGCATCCATAATGTTTCTCAGTGACTTGTCCGTAAAACGCAAATCATGTCCAATCACTGTCATGATGTTTGGGATGCACCGTGCAGGGTTAGTGAAGTAAATGTGAGAAAGGAGATAAAGGAACCGTGGTGTTTTGACAGACTAAACGTGGATGGGAAGGGTTAGCTGAGGGGAAAAAATAATAACAGAAGAGGAAGAGAGAAAGAGGGAATGGAAGACCACCTACCCGCAGTATGTATCTGACCTCCTAATCTCCGCTTGGCACGTTCATCCTGCAATATAGGATGCGCAGATGGGAGATAAATCCGATTCCGAGTTTTGAACCATTCTCTTTTAGACTCGTTGTTGGGGTCTATCCGGACCATCGAATGCATTCCTGCAACTTGCACGATGGCTTTGACTTTTCGTTGGACTTCTAGTCGAGTCAGCTATGTCCATTGTAGATGGACAATTCTGCCCCACGCCCTCCTTCAGATTCTCTGCCGATCTTTCACAAATCAGGGCATACTTCTGACAAAGTTTGCAGTCCTTGCAGAGAAGGGCCGCGGGCGGTGAACGGACGAGGAGGAAGGGGGGATGAAGCAGGAGAGCTCTGACTCACCTCGATGATTGATCAACTCCATCACCGCCGAGCAACCCGTTCCATGACCTATCAATACAACTTTCTCACATTCTGAGAGTCTGCCCATTAGCCGTTGCCCTCACAAGTTGACAAATAATATGATCGTACTCACTCTATGTAATTATCCCAAAGATACCTCACCAGCTGCCCTTCAAGCTTTGGTGATGACTTTGCCACTGATACTGATGTCTGCGAGTCAGATTTTCAACCCCGCTTCTCACTTTCGACAAAGACTCACACGGGTGAACTCTGTGGGAAGCTGCTTCAAGATGTTCACGTCGATGAGATTATACCCATTTGATTTGACCCAATTGACAATTAAATCGCTCGTGTCCAACTTCAACGTCAGTGATATTTAACTGAAACACTGCGGGTGTTGACTGACGAGGTAGCTATTGGTGAGGTGTATATTGGTCGTATGAACTCCATCTGTTTCAACTCTCAAATTGCCGCTGACCCGTTAGCTTGGTCACGCACGAACTGGCGTGATAAGCTCACAAGTCATGCACAAATACCACCAAGACGCCTTTTGGGCCCACTTCGTACACCCCTTCGCTTTCACGTCAGTCACCACATCTCCCTTCTGTAAATACACTCACCTGCACGATATTTGCCCACCAAATGCTTCTTCTAGCGCTTGACTGGCCAGAGGGATTTGGAAGAGTTGATGATGATCGTACAGATGATGAGCTCGATGTATTTTGAGGAGGTCGGCGATGGATATGACAGGTGCTATATCATCCATGGTTTCCACTATCAATCAGAGGGAACACGACACATCTCAATGGGAGGGACTGACCTTCAGGAGGCTCACACGCTTTCACATCAATTGACTTCCAGTACTTCGACTGAACCTTTGCGACTTGATGCATCACCTCCGTGGCCACCTCAGACGCTTCGAGAGGTTCAAGGTCCGGTGGGGTGTGACCAAGCAGGACCTGAGCGACGGCGAGTGATGAGTCGGAAATAGCTGTCAGATTGTATCCGCCCTGACGGATCAGTAAGATAATTTCCAGGACGAGAACTCACCTCCAGCGCCACGACCACCTTGCCTCCTGCTAGGGCACATAACATGTGGGTCATGTGGCCATAAGCGGCCGGAGTGACCTCACACGCTCCCAGTTGATCGCCCTTGGCTGCGTCGAAACCCGCAGAGACTATTGTCAGGATTGAAACAACAAATGAGGCAATAGCTCACTGATGACAAGATCAGGCGCAAACTCATAAGCGATAGGCATGATAATCTTCTGAAACGCATATATGTAGTCGCCATCGCCAAATCCTCCGCTGGGCCAAGGAATGTTGACAGATTTGCCCTCCCCTGGACCTGAACCGACCATATCGAGAGCGCCAAAATCTGATGTGGGATAGAATTTACCTCCGTCATGTCGATGAATGGACATATAGAGGACATCTGGGTCTTCCCAGAACGCACGTTGTGTACCATTACCATGATGAACATCCCTGCGAGTGAGACACGCTCCATGAGACATGGATATCTTACCAGTCCAAAATCAAAACCTTCTTCGCTAGACCTAATCTCTGCACCTCCTTTGTTGCCACGGCTACGTTGTTGTAGAAACAGAACCCCATATGCTCGTCCGGTTCAGCATGATGACCAGGAGGACGAACAATAGCAAAGGCGTTTCTGACTTCTCCTTTGCATACAGATATGCAAGCTTGGATGACCCCTCCACATGACAATCTGGCGCAATGAGCCGTCTGTCGACAAACATAGAGTGATAATTGATCGTAGTAATATTTGCTATCTTTGATATATTGGTCCGTCAGAGCTGTCAATCAGATCACACTTCTTTATGGGACGTTTTGTGGCTCACTCTCCGTGCCCTGCACCTTATTCCAGTGATCTTCCGTGTGCACAAGCATGACCTGCTCAAATGTGACTTGATGAAAATTGAGTTTTCTCATCCTTCTGATCAATCCCTGTTCATTCAATCTCGCGAATATCCGCATGATCCGCATAGGTTCTTCTGGATGACCATCACTGGAGTCGACTTTTGCGTCGGTAGGAATGTATTCGTCCGGGGCGTGGAGCATCATGAGCGGGTCGTAAATGTAACCCGTGCGATCTGCGGTGACGGGTGAAGAGAGGGAAGGAGTGACAGCTTTTTCCCTCTCGACGATGAGATCCAGGATCTGAGCAGGGGCCAGGGGAGGAGCAGGGAAATCTGAGGGAAGAGGAGGGGCGATGTCCAAGGCGGGAATTTGGGGCGGTTGGGGAGATTCCACACGATCGACTTCCATGGAGACTGGTGGAGTGGGCGAATGTGATGGACCTGCTTCCGGCACATCGGGCTGTATGGGAGGCGCAAGGATGATGTTAGTCTCAGCAATGGGAGGGGATTTTTCAGGTGGGGGATCCGTATGACTGGAAGAGTCTTCTGCTACTTCTATATCGACCACATGGGGTAGTGAGGTTGCTTTTGTCGGCACAACGGTGTCGACCTCCATAGCATGATGTTCCTCGCCGTTTGTGGTCGGAATGTTACTCTCATCCTGTTCTCGAGGGGGCTGAACGGCTTCAACAGTGACAGTCTCGGTGACATGAGTCACTGTGACCTGTACGTTCTCTTCCTCTGGCGCAGGTTGAATCTGTGTAGGGTCGGACGGAGCCTCTACTGGTTTGTCCACTTCCATGATGTTTGGCCCTGGGTCGGGTGCAGCCGACTGAGTTTGAAAAGGCGACTGAACACGCATCAGCACAGAATAAACTTTCCAAGTGAAAGTGAAAGAGTGCATACGGATATTCAAAATGACAAGTTTAAAGCGCCTGAGCAGCGGTATTAGGGGTGTGAGATGAAAGGTGACCTACAAAGGGAGGATGGAAGGAGGACGTAATATTGGCTTGTTTTGTGGGGTAAGGTAGCGCCAGAAAAGCGCTGAGACGAGTCTGTCACAGCTATATTCACCAGCTTATGAGCTGCGAGAGTGTTATGATGAACAAGGTTAGGACCGCAGTATGAGAGAGAGAAGATAAAGAAGAACAAGGTAGTTAGTCTTTCTTTCTTTGTCTTTGGACAGTCGATACTTCACCGTACCTGACCGTTGAATTTATTTGATCCTCCCACTTTAAAGAAGCCCCCTCACTGGCTGACGACGATCCCAATTTGACTTTTGCTATCTTTGCATGAAATTCACTTCTCTTTTCCGTATCGCGACACCATCTGGGTCAACTCATCATACACCAAATTCCTGGCGTAGACCACAAATCCTTAACGATAATCTCTGGCGACTCGTCTCTGACCACAGATTGGAGCTAAGCGGACATCCCACCCGGGCCGATCTAGCCATGTGAGTCGCACGAATCTACCACTCATATTCCGTTTACCACGTACATGCCTTTGTGATACGTGATACGTGAAAGCAGGAATCGGGAATCAGCTGATGTCAGGCCAGTGTACTATGCGGTAGGTGTGGGTAGACAACCTGGTATATACCCCACATGGGATGAATGTTCCGCTCAAGTTCATAAACATCCCGGGTCAGTCGTCCTCTCACAATCTTACGTTTCAAACCTCACCACTTGCCTCATTCTCATCCAAAGCTTGAACTTTGCATCATCATTAATTGTATCTCCTATGCTTGTGTTCGGAAATGTTTCTCGAGAAAAAGCATGGCTGACGTTACAGAGCTAAATATAAAAAATTTAATAGTAAAGCAGAAGCACAAGAATACATTGATACTTGGCAATCTTCCAAACCTTCCGTACCGATATCCAAACCTCCAGATTCGATCGTTCCTAATACTCGAACAACATCCCCATCAGCCTACGCAAATATCAACAGTCTCCCGGACGATTTAAAACAACTCGTTAAGCATGGATACATGTTCTCACCAAAAGGTCGTTTGGTGGTTTACTGCGATGGTTCATCTTTGGGTAATGGACAAGAAGGTGCTGCAGCTGGTTTGGGAGTATTTTGGGGTTCTACAGGTCATGCAGCTTCATCGTAAGTCTCAACAAGCGGTAAATGTGGAATGAAGTTGACCATATAGAAACCTTAGTGAAAGAGTACCGGGTATTTTACAAACTAACAACAGAGGAGAACTTTTGGTAAGTTTTTCGTATTGATATTTCATTCGAGTGAGAATTGATCGTTTCAAATAGGCTGTTATAAGAGCTTTAGAAGAATGTCCTTTTCCTGATTTACCTTTGGAAGTCCGAACGGATTCTCAATACACTATCGCTTGTGAGTCAAAATGATGTTCGAATATCTCTTCTTATCGGACTCCTCTCTTTTCTGCTTTCTAAATGGAATGGAATGATGGAGATATGAATACGAGGGCAAATGTGAATACTGTACGAGGGCAAATGTTGATAAAATCAGGTATGACGGAATATCTTCATAAATGGCTAGCCAATGGTTTCAAATTAAAAGGATCTCATGGTGTCAAAAATGCAGATATGATCAAACATCTTATAGTACTCTTACGTCAAAGGGGACCCTATAATGGTGTTAGGTTCAAATACGTCGCTGGGCATAGTGATCATGCGGGGAATGATGCTGCGGATGTGAGTGTAGTGTTGATCTGATCACATGTCATATACCGATCCCTCATCTCTCCATTTGTTGTGAAAAAATATCTGCTTGTCAATTGTCATGATATATGCTGTCCCTCCTTCCTACCCCTCGTCGAATGCGGTCCCTCCTTCCTAACCCCTCATCGACTGTGGGTAAAGGTGTGATCTGGGACTTTGAGACGACACGAGTGGAACATGATATCTGACCAATAGCGATTAGCGAGAATGGGCGCTACGATGCCTCGTCTACCTGAGAGGAAGTATTTGGTAGAGGATAAAGATCCAACATCTGCAATGCCCGGGACCATCCCATTCGACATCGAGGTGGGTTTTCTTTTCTTCTCGTCGATAATTCCATCCTTCGCTGACGATCAGACGGAAATGCTCGACGACCAATTGATCTAAGTCTGTTACAAAAGAATTGTGGGAACTAACGGAACGTGATATTTTGTATGTATGTCGATCTGTTGTGTATCTTTCTCATCGAATGTCAATATTCCGAGACAATAAAAGAAATGTATTGTCCAAAGTACTTGTGCCATGCATACTCCTTTGTCAAACTAAAACTAAACATACTCGTCTTGCTCGACTCATTGTCTTCTAGCTAATTCCTCTGGAGCTAAAACGAAATCTTTACCTCCAATCGTGCCCGTACGTCCACTCACACCAAAAGTCAGTGCGTAACCCGGTGGTAATTCAGTTCCGGGAGGTGGAAGTTCTAGCAAAGGCCAAGAAGCCGGAGCGGGTTTTTGAAGTATTATGTCGACCTGACAAACATGAGTCTCTTTCATTGCCGGTAAACAGAAGATGTTTTGACCACGATGAAGGGCAGAGATGAGGATTAGATAAATGGTAGTAGACCACCTTGAAGAACAGAGATGAGAAGCAGAGGTTGATGTGGGTGTAGGAGGTAGAGATCAAGGGACAAGTGGTAAGATGGGACATACCTTTGTGGAGAGAATACGAAAAGTGCTAGTTGTTGGATCCACTGGTCCGTAAAGAGTAACAGACTTGACTACTCGTTTGTTTCCCGGAAGGAAAAGATCTAAGTGGAGCTGAACATGAGCATACTTTTGAAATTCCTTTTTCTACCTTTTGTTTATTCTGGGCAACGAGATGAGTTCTTCTTCGTTCTACCTTTTGCTGCTAATGGAAATAAGTGAGGAGAAGATGAGATTGACGCTGGGTAAAAGAACGATTCCTTCTTCCTTCTGCCAACGTGGAAAACGAGTGAAGTCAAGATGAAAAGAGGAAAGTAGGAAAATACCTCATGACGAAAGAGGATGGAGTGAATAGCAAAAGTAAGAATGATGAGGGAAACATACTTGTTGAGTTTCAAAAGTGACTTTTGATTTATTTTTATCCGCACTAAAACTCAGCTTTCTAGACTTTTGTGGATTGAGACTTGAGAGATTGACTCACCCTTTCGCAAACGCTGATACATGTACTTGCATAGGAGTTTGATAATGATCCAATCTACATTCCACTCTTTCTTCTTTTTCTCCCTTTTCATTAGCCTTTTCACCCATTTCATTTCTTCACATGACCTTATCCCGTCCACTCTCTATTGGAGTAATGTATGTCTACTAAACCAATCATACCATAAGAGATAAGGAAGGAAGGGAGGAAGGATAGTGTGCTATTGGGAATTCGGTCTCGATGAGAGAGATATATAGTTTGTAAAGGTAAGAGAAGAAACACCTGTGATTTGACTCACTTTATCACTCCCAACGAACAAATGATTACCTTCTGTACAACCTTGAATCTTCATAAACTCATCAAATTCCAATACTCTTCGTTTACAACATAAATAACCTTTACTACCTTCATGAAAGATAGGTGGTTGAGGATGATATTTACATTTCGATTTTATACCATTTCCTCTTGATATTTCTTCTCCTTCCCATATCGCACCACAAGTAGTACGTTTACATCTGGTTCCTTCTGGAACAGGTAAAGATAAATCATCTTCTTCCGTCTCTATCTCAATTCCTTTTGCAGGTATAGAAGATGGGGTGGTAGTGGTGAGGGTAGAAGAGGAGTTGGTGGTAGTGAGGGTAGAAGAAGAGGGGATAGGTATGGAAGTTGAAGTAGTGTAAGTTTCAATTTCAATTCCAACTCCATTGGAATTTCCGTTCTTCACAATGGTAGGAACGTCCGTTTGAGGTTTGACAGCGGGTGGATTGGAGATGATTGATTCGGTAGTGTGTTTACCTTTGGTACATGGCTGTGTAAGAGTTAGTCGATGTGAAGAATATAAAAAAAGGAGAGGGATACGTACAGGGATAGACATGAAAGCTTCGAATTCCATGACGGGCTGTTAGGTTAGCATGATTTATACTTTCTTAGCTCTACTGAGAGATAAATGAGAGGAAGAAAGGAAAAGATCACCTTGTTAACTTCGTTACAACATGCTTTTTAGTCAGTTTAATGGTTCATTGACTGATTTAACTTGACTCACACCATGATTTGAGTCCTTCGTGGAAAACCTATCAATCAACTTTTGACAATCACTCATATATCAATTCCCTCATTCTTCGTGACATCAAGGAATTCACAATCACTGAACCATGACTTCTATTAATGAGAAGCGGTAATTGGGTTTGAGATCCTATATCCTATATCTGGGGGAAAAGTGGCCGGTGGGATGATGGAATGTAAGAGTTAGACTTACAGGTCCTCCAGGATGATAAACACAACTACCTTCTTCATTCCCTTCTTCCTCAAACTCTTTCCCGCAACCTTTTCTCGTACATAGAGGCATCTTTGACAAAATACTCGACACTTCAACGATCGATCCGTTTAGGGAAAAAGGGACAACAAAGTCAAAAAGCTGAAAGTAAAGTCAACCAAGTAAGTTTAAGACATTTTCTAGAAACCGCTCGATGGTCACGTGAAAAAGTAGTATCAATAATGCTGACAACGAATGCAACGATGATGTCGAGCAATTCACAGTAGTACTAGCAATAGCAAGCACAGTGATATTAAGAGGTTTTATAGTGCATTGAGAGTTGTTATTGATACAAAGCATGTAAACTATCGACGTATCCACCATAACATGATAAAGATCCACATGACAAATAACAAAAAAGCCATGAACCAACACCAATTACCACCTTGTCTTTTAGCCATAGTGTTCATTCGTTTAAGAGTCCCTCCTAGGAAATTTGTAGTAGATGCGAATGCGTCGTTCTGTCAGTCAGTACTTGTCCGAGTTGAACCTTTTCTGTTGATTCTCTCATCTTCATGTAATGTCATATTTGAGAATAAAAAAGGAAAAAAGGTGACTCGTCCAGTTCTTGATATTTTCAATTGGTGTGGACGAGAGACGACGTTCATTTATTCGTTTCACCACTTATCAAGATAATTCCGATAAAAATAGCATAACGATACTGTCCAAGAATTCAAGAGGGTAGTGAGGTATAATAAGAGAAGGGAATAAGGAAGACTGACCATTCCGCTCAATTCACGATTCCCATCCCTGACTTGTTCCCCTATACCCACTGTTATCTAAAATATCAGCATTAATCTCCTACATTCAGTCTTCTACACGTTCTCCTGGATACAACCTACATGATTGTATAACCAAATTCCTTCGCTGGGAGATCTAAATCAAAAAAGTAGCTCCGTAAAGCTGAAGTGAAAAGTCAATGGAAGGAGAGACACAAATCAAGTCTCAATCAAATGGAAGGAGACTTAGTGAGAGATGCTCGTTAGGTGGATAAGGGGAATTATCAACTTACATCTTTCAACACCTTGACTTTCCCTAATAAACCTTCTAATCGATCATCATTCTGTCCTTCTATATCATGTGCAGTACCACCATAAGACATCCCATTCCCATTCCCATTGGAGGAACGCATCCCACCTCCAAATGGAGATTCGGAATATTGTGCTTGGCTAGATGGAGGTCGGGAAGAAGGTCGAGAAGAAGGACCTGAAGGTGGATAGAGTATAGGAGATGGGGAAGGGTTGTAAGTTGGTAAACGGTGTCTAAAGTTTTAGCTTGCTTGTATTTGTACATATTGTATATACGATTTGGATGAAGACGGACTAACCTGGCGCTCATTTTGAGAGAAGTTGGAAAGGTGATTGAATTTGGATCGAGGAGTAGTTGGGATGGAGCATACGCAGAGGGATTTCTGGTTGGACAGTTGGGCAGAGGTCTTGTTGAAGAATAGTACTTGTGATTTCTCGCAGGTAGAGGTTTTTGAAGGGGTCGAGTATATATAGGAAGTAAGGAAACTTGAAGGGAGATTTGACCGGGGCAATGTCAATACAGGGAGACGAGGTGGAGGAAAGTCCAACGTGGCGTGGCACTTGGAAGAAACCTTACCTGTAGAGTTAAAATAACTGTTCTAGTGTTGAGCATGCTTCGGTAGAGGACTTTGAGTCATGGCCCATGAACCTGCAGTCAGGAATGAACATATACAAGTGGACTCAATGGAGAATGCTCCCAAGCGAACAAAGTAGATACATGCTCGACCTGACGTACTTGTAAGGTGAAAGCTTATACACACATATTTACAACATGATTCATTCCTAAGGTCCATACACGATTGAGCGTTCGTCATCACACATGCCCCATGATCCCCATCGGCTCGTACAACTCATCTATACTTTTCACCTCTTCAACGGTCAATTCCAACTCGCATCCCTTGATCAGATCTTCAAGTTTAATCAAAGAAGTCGTACCTACTATCGGAGCGGAGATAAAGGGTTTACTAATCGACCAAGCTAGCGCGACTTGAGCCATTGTTACACCTCGGTTCGAAGCGATTTTCTCCACTTGACGGATGATCGCCTGAGTTGAAGGACTAAAGGTTTTGTTATTGACTTTGGATCGTTCAGTCGGGTCAGTATCAATAGGACGACAAAGTGCTATAAATGAGTTCAAACTTTTCTTCTTCGTCTACAATAATTCTGTCGAGGTGGGATAGAGTATATGGACAGTTGATAGATTTGAACTCACCCCCTCCTCCAAGTGGAGACCAAGGAATACATCCCACACCAAAATGTTGAAGAGTAGGCATCATCTCTCTTTCTTCCTATAACCTCATCAGCATTGAGTTCTAATCATGAGAACGTTCTCACCTCTCGATATATGGCATTATGATAATTCTGCATAGTGATAAAAGGTGTCAAGTTTTTGTGTAATGCGTATTCTATTCTATCAGCTTGATGAGGAATCAGGATAAGCTTCAATGAAAGCTCACGTTGCATCAATTGAAATTGCCATGCCCAACAAGAAGACATGCCGATGTAACGTGTATATCCAGCTTGAACAATATCGTGTAAAGCTTGCATAGTCTCTTCGATCTAATCATCAGTTCAAATCATCATCCAAGAGGGTGTCATCTTACTGGGGTATCTTTATCAAATCGATGACATTGAAATACGTCTACGTAGTCTGTTTGAAGACGTTCAAGACTGTTTTTGACAGCTGCGAAGATTCTCTATAAGTGAGCTTTCTCAACCGTTCCTTTTACATGATATCACTTCTCCTTGTCGCTTTTCAATTGTACATTCCAGATTCAGGACCAGAGAAAGCTGAAGTTGGACCAAGAGGAGGGCAAGACACGAAAGGATATAGGTTGGATAGGGAAAGCAACAAGTGATGACACCCTTATCGAACACAAAGAGGATGGAGCGAGAGAGTGAAATCTTTATGAACGGAAACGAAAAACTCACTTTTCTCGACAACCTCGAATTGTTAACAAATCCAGCAGGTCCATACCATTCTTTTTCACCAAATTCCATATAAGTCTTAGTCATGATAACCACACTTTCTCTTGGTATTTCATATTTCTTCAAGAACTTTCCTAAAATACGTTCGGAATCCCCTTGAGAATAAGTATCGGCGGTGTCAAATGCCTCTTGATCAGTTCCGTCTCATGACTCTTCCCAAGTGACACATAATGAGCTTTTTATAGGCCACATTAATTTAAGAGGTATCTTAAATGAGATTATCTCTCATTGGAGATAAGGAGAAAGAAGAGAAAGAAAGAGAGTTCATTCCCCGTTGGAGATAAGAAGGAAGAAAAGAAAGAAAGAAAAGAAAGAAAGAAAGAGAGTTCATCTCTCATTGGAGATAAGAAAAAAAAAAGAGTTCAGAAAAAGAAAAGAAAACAAAGAAAAACTTACATTGATACCAGAATCATAAGCGTACTAAATAATCATCAACATGATACCAGAATCATAAGCGTACTAAATAATCATCAACATCATCCTCTTCAAAAAGCCCCCAAAATAAAGTAAGTTATAACAAACCTTGAGATGTTTCATAGCTTCTTCTTCTTCTAATACCCATATCAAATTATCTTTAGGTCTTTTAACACCGTATGACATACAACCGAGTATTATTTGAGATACCTATATCGTCTCAGAGTGGACTAAGTTGAGAATAGATTAGACTGGGAACTCACCTTTAGACCTGATCGACCTAAGTTGATATATTTCATCGTGGTCAGTACGACGTGTTATTTGTATTTATATAAGCTTTTAGAGTGAGTGGGTGTCTGAATTAAATGAGATATGTGAGAAGTCTAAGATGAGATGTAAAGTGGGTGAAGGTATATATGGTCAGTGCGATGAGGAATGAGTTTGAAGTAGATGTGATCGACGATCGGGAAGAGAGAAAGGTGGAGGTGGAGGTCGTCCACCCTGTGTCCAACCTTATGGCCTGATGCCTGATGGATGCAAATAAGCTACTGGTAGTTAGCTGATTATGGTCATACGAACGATCTTGCTAATGTGCATCAAACGTCTCTCGCTCGCTCGTTTCATCATATATGTATACATCTATTGTCATACTTACAACGCATCATTTGACCATGACCGACCCATTACCCTGATACTCCAATACCCCAATAACCTTGCCGCACGTAACGCACAGGTACTCCGAGTGCATACTCAACCCCAAGTTCCAAGCTGTTGAAAACCTCTCCAAGCTTCTCTCTCCCTTCCTCCACCTCCTGATCCCATCCCTCCCCCGGTAAATCCACCATTCCCATGAGATGTCGAAGACCGACACATCAACCTCAACCTCGTATTCTCCCCTCTCAACCCATCCAACTCACCTCCTATCGTATCCCTTTCTTTCTTCTCAGTCTCTATCTCTTCCCTCATCCTTGCAAGTTCACCCGTATGAGACTTCATAACCTCTTGATAATCCTCCAACTCACTAATCAAATCCTTGATACGAACCTCGTATTTTGCCGAGGAACTTTCCCTTTCCTCTCTCAATCTGGCAATCTCACTTTCTTGTTCATTGACTATATGAAGATATTCTTCTCGTTTATTGCGTTCTTCCATCAACGTATGTTTGAGAGTACTCAGCTGTGTATCTTTGGAATGAAGATCGTCAGAAAGTTGACGGTTGAGATTTGTTAGGGACGAAACTCGGGATTGAAGATTTGATATTTGCTGAGAGTTGGTGGAGAGTTGAGATCGGAGAAGATGTAATTCTGTTTCAGTTTCGATATCTAATTGGACGTGAAGACCGTGGCTAATACCTATACTCTTACTGGAAGAGGATGAATCGGTAGAATGAGAGCGTCGAGGAGTATGATGGTTGGACTTTTTGTCTGGAGGAGAAGAAGTAATACTGGAATGACGAACGGAAGGTGATGAGGGAACATGAGAAGGTCGAGGAAAGTGTGTAGCATGCTGTTGACGCGAAGAAGGGGAAGAAAATGATGAAAGACGATCTTCCAGAACCACAGATTCCAAAGCCAGTATAGTTTTCTTCAATACACCCAGATGTTCTTCCACTGTCGGTCGGGATGTGAAAGTGGAGACACCAGGGGGTGGTGTAGGATCTGGCGGGACGTGGCGTGCGGACCAAGGAGGATCGGCTCGTGTGTCAAACCGAATCGATCTACTGGTACTGGGAGTGGGAGGACAAGAAGATGTCATTAAGGGGAGCAAAGAATGAGGTAGATGAGTTATGTTCCTTGAAGAACTGGGTGAAGACGGTAATGGAGTAGGAGGTAGAAACCTTTTCGATTGTCTACCAGGAGGAGAGTCGGTAAGCGCCATTGCTTCATTAATCAGATGAGGTGAGGAGGTACAAGTATCCATATCTTGGTACGATGAATGAGGATTAGGAAGATCTACCGATTCCTCGATTTCATACGAATAGACACTAGGATAACCAGATTGCCCTTGTAATTCGGAAGCGGTTTGGGGAGGAGTTGCGTATATTGACGGAGTGAAGGATATTGATGCTCTTTCCAAGGGAAGGGAAGTGGGTATGGAGACAGATGAGGATGTTGAGGGAGAAGATTGATAGCTTGTGAAGGTAGGTCGTGGAGGTATAGGAGGAGGAATGTTTGGAAGTGTTTTACTATCTATCAGCAATCTCCTCAAAAGCTCCCCCACTCCTCAAGTGTCTCAGGTCTCGAAATATCTTCCACAACTCGTCCTTTGACACAAACAGGTGTTCGTATGATCCCAGCGCCCCCGTATTCCCGCTACCTCAAATGTCTTCTTCACTCTTGCTCTGAACGTACGAGGAGATAGATGGTCACATGGATCTCGTCATTTACCATCACCATATCAATCATCAAATTAGGGACAGACGATACCCTCGTTAGACTTGCATTCCCTCCGTGACACAGAGAGAGAAAGACGAGGAAAAAGGAGGTTTGTGAAAGTAAGACACAACAGACGAAGACGAGGAAATGAAAGCTAAGAACACACGATCACAGTGAGGGAGATGGAAGAAAGATGGACACTCACCCAGGAAAAAAAGGTACCAAACTCTCTGGATATTCTCTCCTAGGATCAACTAAATCCAATTGACTCCTTATCTTTCTTAAAGTCGTAGGACGTCTATGAAGAGGTACGACCTGGACTTTTCTACCATCTGTCGTCCTTGGACCTAGGAATCTGTTTTCCGAGATCATACTCTATCCTCGTTCTCTTATGCGGTCGGACTTTGAATCGTGATGATATGAGCCTGTCGTTTCGTTCTCAGTATATCGGGATGGCAAACAAGGGGGCTTTTGAAATTCTCTGGAGACCAGAAAGAGAGAAAAGACCAGGGGATAGTAGATAGACGGAGATGGATGGGAAGAGATAGAACGAAGAAATCCATCACGTTCAATCCTCCATTTGAGCCAGTCGCCAGTTGGACGGGAAAAGCAACAAAGAGTAGAATTATTGGCGAACTGTGCGCCCGGACTACTGTAAGTTTCTTCGGGAAGGCGTCGTCAGTATCAACGGACCGTGCGTCGATTTTCATGGCCTGTGCGTAGAGTAAGCCGATAGAGGGGCAAGAGGAGAGGAGTCGAAGAGAGAGGAAAGGAAAAGTCAGGGGCTGGAATCTGACCATCTGACCTTCCGACCATCGGCATGAACTTGCGTGCGTCATTGCGTGAAGAAGATCAGTGTGTCAGTGCGGATCAGCACGAAAAGTAAGAAAACTCAGCGATCGACGAATCCCAGTCTAGCAATCATCCTTCTTTTCATCGTTTGTTTCATCCTACAACTCCCTTAAACACAAAAGAAACCCCGATTTACACACGAATCATCCTTGTTCTCGTTATACATTCCAATTCCATGTCTCTACAAGATTCACTCAACAAAACCCCTCGACAGCTTGGTCTTGCCACATCGTGGCCATGTTCATTCCGAGGTCCATACCGGTGCGAACGGCGTTCTGACATGAGCTAAGGTCTTGGATAATCATGAGAATAGGAAATCATAGACCTATCAGCCAGAAAGAGATGTCCACTCCAACGGCTACCAGCGATTAGAAAAGGGAGGGGGAAGGAGGGGAGATGATAAAATCAATGGAGAGGCAAGGGAAGGGAGGAGTCAACCACTCACCTTTATATCCCCAACAGTAGGCTGAACGTTCCCCACCGAACTCTGACGCCACATCTCCACCTGACCCTGTTCTTGCACAGTCTGAGACAAGAGCGAATCCAAAAACTGTTCCGTGTACGCGGTGCTCTGCGTGGAATGAGGGAACATGAGTCCTCCATACACTTGCCCCATGTTCGGTGTCTGAATTTGTCGAGGTTGAAGCTGAGGTTGAACTTGTAATTGAGCTTGAGAGTTCATCTGCGCCTGACGTTGAGCTTGTTGGTATTGCTGCAGGAGCATATTCGTGGTGGACCACTGTTGCGCTTGAGCCACCATGGGAGTTTGAACGACCTTCTCTTCTACTTGACTTGTCGAACGGGGCGAAGGAGTGGTCATGGATGGACCATACATGACCTCGTTGCTGGGGACAGTAGCGGGGGGAGTGTAAATACCTTGTTGGGAAGTGGTCGGGGAGCCGGACGAAGCTCGTTCTACAGAATCGGTCATGAAACCCGTTGAAAAGTTCATACCGGTCCCAGTCCCGGTAGCGGCGGTAGCGGCCATGTCGTAAGCGAATTCTTGAGACCAGTTCATACCGTTAATCGTCGCCGTGGCGGTGACATTGGTCGTTTGAGGTTGGCGTGGGGCAGTGGAAGTCATCGACACGTTGAACATGTTCTGAGGGTTTGCTTGATTAATAGAAACGTCAAAGTCAGAAGATGGACGAGGAGTGACGAGTCCGTTGCCTGTTGCGGGATGGAAAGTCGCCGTTGATGGCTGTTCAACTCCACTACTAGACATTTCGTCATCGTCCTCTCCCTCGCCGTCCGCGTCGAAAGAAGGGAAAGTACCAAAGACTTCGTCTTCAACAGCACAAATACGTTCCATCTCGTGCATGTGATCGGATGCTTCGCGAGGAGGACAGCCGGCTGCTTTACGGAAAGTGTTGTTCTCCGCCAAAAGCTGGTCTCGCTCGGCGATGACAGCACGAAGAATCTTAGCAGCGAAGAGTCGATCATCTCGGGAGCGGGTCAAATGGTTGATGGAACCATTGACAATAGCTGCTTTGCTTGGGCGTCGACTGGATGCGAGAGCAGGGAGAAGTCGAGCGAGAGAGTGAAACTTTCCATTGAGAGTCTCGCGTCGAGCTCGTTCAATGGCATTGTGTTGATTACGTTTCTCGGCGGTATTAACGCGTTTACGAGGCTTGGACTTGGAAGTGTTGCTGGGGACGGACGACTTGATATTGCTTTGAGTGGTGGTTTGCGTGAGTTGAGGTGAGTTGGTGATGTCATTTTTGACGGAATTGGGAGATCCGGAGAAAGGAGACAGAGTGGTCATGATGATCGGGTTTCTTGTCGGCAGTGGTCAGGTCGAAAGTTGAAAGAAGTAGATGCAGAAAAACGAGAATAATGTTATTGTGGGATGTTCAAGATGGGTAAGATATCGATGAGTGGAGGGGGATAAGATAGTTGAGATGGGGAGGAGGTGCCGCGAGACGAGTCTCAAACGTGCACAAGGAGGTCGGAGATGTTGGAGGTTTATTTAGACCCCCAGCTTGCCGAATATGACTTCTATCGAGGTTAAGATCGATGTTACGTATGGAATGAGAAAGTGATGGGGTTGATGAGTGGAGAGCTGAGTGAAGAGGATGCTGGACTGGGTCGCGAGCACTGTTAGGTCAAAGGTAGGGTGATGATCCAAATTCAAGGAAGGGTCGGTCGTTCGAGAGATTGGGTCGATTAGTCGAATGGTCATTCAATAGTCCAAAGTCAAGCCGGAAATGACGGAATGGTAAGATGGTAGGATAAGATAGGTCGAGAAGAGAAGAAGGAAAGAAAATGATAACGTGGTACGAAGGAAGCAAAAGGAAGATGAAATGGGGAGAAAGATGATGAGTTAAAGGAGGTAAAGTCAGCTCCATTTCGCAGTCGTGATAGCACAGCATGAACGTGAAGTGATGTGCGACGTTGTCAAGTTATCCAAACCTCTAAAACCTATCGACTCTTCTCCTTAAACGGCCGTGGGCGGGAGGGATGAAGGGAATGATCAGATTACGCCCAGACATGAATAACCTTTCTTCTCGCCTTCACTCCCCACTCGTACCCTGACAGAATCTCGGACCTCGGCCATGGTGGCAACGATGATGACTTGTCCCCCCCACGCATCCATGAGACGAAGGAAGATGTACGTCGTTCTCCATCTCCCCACTTTATTCCTCCCCACTCATAGACCCTTCAAGCCTTTCAAGATGATGAATTCCAAATCTCTTTGAGATAACAAACGCGAACACTCCACTCGAACCTCTCCCTTCATCCCCCTCTCTTTCCCCAAGTCTCCCAAGAAGTGAAATGAAGAAGAAGAATAGAGTGAAGAGATGACTCACAAGCAAGCGGTATCCAAGATCACAGCTGAGGAAGTCGGAAAGAGGTTGTGTGAGTGTAAAAGTGGTGCAGAAGAGAGATGAGATGACGAAGCAGAAAAAGCGATGGTAAAAGAGATGTCGTTAGTTTGACTTCGCCCCCGGTCCGTCTGCACGGCCGGCCCCCGGGCGCAAATTCCCGAAAAATGGGGTTCATTTCTCAATCGAGCACAAACCCTCGGTCATCCTGCCATACATCCTTTGAAATAAAGAACCGCACCTAGTCTAAGATGTCTAGTTTGCCCTGAAAGGGATCGGGTTGGGGGTAGGAGAAGAGAGCGGAATGGTGATTGCGGCCATCTCGGTCTACCCCTTGATTCAGGGTACAAAAAGGGATTTTGATGAAGTTTTGGTAATCGTACTCTTTTCGAGAAAGTACACGTCAAATAGGTCTTTTTTCAAGTTTTTCGATCCTCCTTCAAAGCATACATACCCTTTCTGACCAAATTATGATCTGCATACTGATACTGCATTTATACAATGTCTCGGTAAATGGTGTCGTTGATTGAGTATTCTCTACGCTGACCGTTCAATATGGACGGGTACGGGTCATGAGCAAGTTGTGACGGAGGTCAGTGACAAATTCTCCTATGGCGAACGGAAACAACGTCATCCGAATTGAAGGCTTGGACAAGATTAGATCTTGTCTTCTCGTACTGCGGGCGAAGGGATGCAAGATCTTTGACATACCCCTTATCGTCTCCGACCATGTCGGGATCCGTACCATCGAGTGTCGGGACTTTGCACTAACCACTACTACTCTACTCTACTAGTACTGGTAGTACTACTCATCACATCAAAGCGCTCATCTTGATATTCTTCCTCACTGCACTTGAAGATCCTTCATGGAATTTGTATAACGCGCGGAATTTCTTGATCGGGGGTTGTTCTAACTCATCAGCGTGACACTTTGGAGAGAAAGAGAATGATTCACCTATAGGAGTGGGGACCGATTCTAACAGACTCTCGCTGGGTTGACTGACTAAAGAAGGAGTGGGTTTGATAATCTTGCGACCGAAGAAATCGGTGGCGATCTTCCAGATCAGCAAACTCTACTGATGAGGACACGAACACTGACGATTTCTTTCGGCGGGGCAGTGCGATGATTGGCGGCACCATGTCTGCTACATCAGCTGTCAATCATTCACCTAGCACTTCCATGGATCAACCGGTCGGCACGGGAGAGGATGATGGAGGAAGGAGAATGATACTAACTTGGCGATTCCATACATCCCCGCTAGAGACTCTGCCGTCCCTGCCGACTGACCATCTTCCACGACTCCTTTTCGTCGTGCTATCTCAGCATCCATCTTCTCATCAGCTCTGATGAAGATGAAGATGGGAGAGCTCACGGCTTGAGCCACTAGCTGCCGCACGGCGAATCTTGATGCGGCAATGTCGTCCGCTCGCTTGCCTTCGTAATGTACGAACACATCGATGGGTCTAGTGCTTAAGCGATGATCTCGCACGACCATCTTCAAACTCCGCAGGATCGAATCGAAGATACTGGGGTATACTCGAAAAGTCGAAAGGGACCAGCGAGTACAAGGAAGCGATGGGTGGAAAGGAATAGGAGGAAAGGGGGAGGGACAACTCACGGCTCCAACCGCATCATCGGCTGTCCATTATCAGCCTTTTCTTGCCAGAACCTCAATCCCAGAGGGATTAACAAATCCACTAGTCTCGTCAAAACAGCCTTCTCTGCGCTCTTGACGATATTTGCGTTCACCTTTCTTTCAGCGATTTTTCATGGATCACGACAAAGATGCAACATACTGGCTTGAGAGGCGGCGAGATGATCCTCATCAACAAAGGTATGAGTTCTGTCATGGTCGTCGTTGGTGAGAACAGGGATCGAAGAATTGGAGGGATTACATTTTTCAAACTGGTAGCTATTTCTTCATTCCCTAATCGAGCTTGATATGCCTGTTTCCTGTTAGAAACCCATGTCATCCCATCCTCATTCCTCACATTGATCAACATTCCTTTCAGCACGACATGACAGATGTATGATGTCAACAAGGGAGGTATTGTTTGTAAAGCGCTCGAGCGAAATCAAGAGGAATAACCAATGAACTCACCTCGTAATCCGCTTTGGGCCACTCGGTGAGTTTAGTGTTATTGGCAGAAGAAGCCATATGTCCATACCAAGCCACAATCCCATAAGGCATATATCCCATCAATTCAAATTCCTGATGTTCCCCAACACGACCAGCAAGATAATCATGGTAAGCCACCCAATCGTTCAACTTGACAATGTTCTCTAAACTACTATCGATCGGTTTGAGATTAGGATAATGTTCCCACATTCCTTGTACGAGACGATCATATTCGCCACATGATTGTACTTCGTTCACCAATCTATCTACATATTTTCCGTCATCGATACCTTGGGCTTTACGTCTTTGTTTGGCCGCTAGAGGGATGAAGAGTGAGTTCCAAGTTGATTGAAGAGAGGTACCAGAATCTTTGAGACCGACGGAAGAGGTACGGATGGCTTCGTCTGTTACAATGGATGATCGGGATTTGATGAACTACACGTCAATTTAACTCCTACGTCTACAGACAATAATCCACCGGCAAAAGAATGGCTTGCTGGTTGAGAGAGTGAGAGAACAGATAAAGCAGGTAAACTCATGAAGCAGATAAACTCACTTGGAGGGTATTCAAACAGCTTCTTACATCTCCAGCAGTAACATCCACAAGATTTGTCAATACTCTCAAATCCGCCGATAAAGCTTCCTTGTCGCATATCTCCCTCAGTCGTTTGACAACAAATTGTGCCTGAGGTTTCCGAAACCGTATGATCCTCGCAAAAGGTCTCAAAGGTCTCAAAGCTGAGGCATATAGATCGTTACAGATACAAATAATCGGTCTTCGTAAAGGTTTAGCAGGTACGTTATCTTATCTCGTCAGTTGGAACATTTCTCTTGGCGAAATCTCACTCTTTCGTCTAGCAGGAACATCCTGAATAAGCTTAACTAGACTTCTGATGAAACTCTATTTCTTCAGCTCAAATCTACTCAGACGTTGTTTTGACTGACAGTATCACCTCCTCCACTAGCACCATCGATCTCATCAATAACCACACAAGTCGGACGTCCTTGAGAGGACAAACCACTACCGGCATCTATGGCGTTTTTGATCCGACTCGTTACTGTAGCGGCCGATCGGTCGTCTGATGCGTTAATTTCGAGGGTTTTGTAGCCGGCTTGTTTAGCCACGATATGAGCAAGAGTTGTTTTGCCGTACCCCGGAGGACCGGAGAGAAGCAGTATCTTCCAAGTCAACCAATGCTCAAGGTTTCGCGACTGAATACATACTCTATCCCTGGGACGACCAAGTGGGTCGATCTGAGCGTCAATGGTCGGTCAGAAGAGAAAGTGTGGTAGAACATACAGGGAGATTTTCTTGTTCATCAAACCGTCTTTTCTTCACTTGCGTGACTCGTCTGAAAACACATTTATCCCATTCTTTCAACCAGCCCAGTACCTCTCTGTGAACACGCTAAGATTGTCAATAATCTCTGCGAGATTATAGTCAGAGTCACTTACATCTTCGCCCAGCAGATCAGAGAACTTTTTCGGTCTATATTTGTCCACCCACATGGACGGTGCTTGAGTGGGCTTCTTACTCCCACCTTGGGCTTGTAGATGTTCATCGTCATAACGTCTCTGCAGTCTTCAATCAGCAACTACATGATAGATGTTAGAACACAATTCACTCAAGTGCTTTCTGCTTTGATTTAAGTTCTTCTACCTCGACTAGAAGGTGATGTAAAGGTGTAGAGAGGAGTCCATCTAGTCCAACTCGAGAAGCATCATACTAAATGTCAGTGACAGTCATCCCCTGAACAGTATGTCCGAAGAATACGAAAGGGAAAGACTCACATTCACGACTGGAGCTTTTGGTTTGTTACGTCTTTTGAATATCATAGTACTCCCTGATTCGGTCTCAGCCAATAAGGGAGGTAAGGCACATTCGTCTCTCAGGCGTGTAGGTCGAGAGATCAGTTCAGGAGGAGGAGTTAATACCACACGTGAAGCTGGGTGTGAGCTCCTCCACGCAGTTGATGGATTAACTCACAAGATGCCGCAGGCTGTTCGACGGAGAAGTCAAGCAAGTCGGACATACCAAAGCTGGGAATGCCTGTAGTAGGTTTTGAAGGTTCCACAACAATAGGAGTTTCGTTGATGATGTCTCCCATATCATCTTCGAAGTCTGAGGGTTCTTCTTCCATGTCCGGGGGTGGAGAATCCATCTGAGGTCTTTGAGGTCTCTCGTTATTCTTCTCTTCAAATTCCATTTCCATCTCCATTTCTATGTCCATTTCCATCTCCATCTGCATATCCAGCTCGAGATCCATCATGGGGACTTGTGTCGGAGCGTCGAGTTTCGGTGTGAGGGACGATTCGTTCGAGTGAGGAGGGGTAGGAGGAGCGTCGAAATCAAGAAGACCTGAAGGCTGGAACATTTTAGTCGGGGAGGACATCTAAAACTAGCAGTTCTGACAACAGTAGCTTTTCCACCAGACCTATGGAGTGTCAAGATATGACAAGTAGAAAAGGAAGAGAAATGGGAAAATCAACCGATCACTTTTTCGCGTCGACGCGTCTTTTCTCGCCACTATCACTTTGCTTTTGCCTCTCTATCCTGACCTGATCACCATCCATCCTCTACACTCACTATCTGACCCGTCTCACAGTCCAATCACTTCTGGAATACTCACTGGACTTTCTGAGAAGATGCCACGTACGTCTACTGACCCGCGTCTCGGACTGACTTTCAGCTAAGAACGCCCGTCAGTCCAAAACGAACCTCAAACGCAAACCTCAAAGCAAAGACAACGTCAAACGTAAACTCCCCAAGATTTCAAATATCCTAGAAATTAATTCATCAGATGAAGATCAAGATGTATACGAACCTTCTCCACCTCGTACTACCAGAGGACGCGTCAAGGTTGAAGAGAAGAAAAAGGATGGTGCTCGCACGGCTGTGAGGTTCAAGGCGGCAAGTGAAGAAAGCGAAGAGGCAGATTCGGACAAAAGTGAGGATAATGTGGAGATACCTACTAGTTCTTTCCAAGTTGATTTTATGTAAGTTTCCCTCTTGTCTCCCAATCTATCAGGGTGAAGGAGTCCGCAGGAAGTGAGGGGAGGGCGCGATGAGGGTGTGTGAAAAGGGTTTGGAATGTGGGGATGTACAGAACTGAAAGATAGACCCGAGTTGATTCCTTCACCAAAGATACCCAAGAAGAAAAATAAGAAATCGTGGGGTGAGGTATACGTCCAACAGTTCGAACAGGTTTATAGAGAGTCGGAGAGAGAGATGCAGGTAAAGAGTAAGACAGATGATGTGTGAGTTTCTTCTCTCTTGTCTAATCTCACTTCATGGGTCTTTTCCTGTTCCTCTATCTTCTTTCTATTGTTTGATACGTCTCTTCATCCGATTCCAGTCAGCTCCGTCGATCTGCTCAAGCCATTGTCCCCAGCTCTGTGTGGATGAGATTGGATCACTGATCCTAAGAGATCAATCAATTATCAAAATCTTCGACAATCTGGAAGAAGAGACAGAACGTATCAAATTGACTTTCGAAGAAGGTTATCATAACACTCAAAAACAAGCGGTGAGTATTTTGTCTACCCAAACCAATGTCTAGATATTCACCTGTCGACGGGATAGCACGGGGGGATCGGAAGATAATTATGACTGAAAAGACGAAATCATGTAAAGAGGAGAGAACAAGACAAGACGTGTGGTGTGATGCAAATGAGAGATGACTCATAATCAGGATCAAATCAATTCTTTCAAAAACCACTTGCGTGTTTACCTCGATGAAGTCAAACCTCCTCTTTTAGAACTTTTACAAAAATCTATGTCTTTCCGTATGTCCTTCTTCTCCTGTGTCGCTTCCGAACGTGAATGAGAAAAAGTTAAATTGTCAGTACAAATACTCCCAACTTCCAATGAGGAGATCATGGTGAAAGCCAATGAGATCCATCTTGCTCAGATGGAGGAATTTTCGGATCGTTCCAAAGTGAGTCTTCCCATATCCTCATCTCTTCTATTCCTTGCTTTTCCCCCGGTCTGTCTCTGTGACAATCTTTGGCCATTGGATTCTTCGATAATCTCATATATACTCTTTCTCGTTTCTTCTGATCCTCGGGCATATTGAGAAATTCCCGTCATGTCTAGGCGTTTCAAGTAATGGAATATGAGGAGACTCAGGACAGTGAACGAATGTTGATGGAGGGGTTGGGGAAGTCTAGAAACGAAACTGACTGTAGACTTCGGCAGAAGCTAAGAAACTGATCAAAGAGACTAAGAAGCTCATGAAGAGTTTCGGTCAATTCCCCATGACTTGCTAAATCACTTCCATCAATCCTGGTGTTGTTACAGATATCAAGTTCTATCATCCCGCACTATCCATCATGTCCCTCAGTATCAAACATTTCTGTTCATGATCATATAATGTAAAAGTATATTATCATCATGGATATTTCATGTTTTATAAAAATTGATCAATGACATTATACTGTATGTAACATGCATCAAAATTCATATAAATCCATCCTATCATGTCGTATACTTTGTTTTTGTTTTAAAGACTCTTTATGCTCATGTCTATGTTCATCTTGTGAATCATGTCCAATACTCACTTCGATAATTGGTATTTCCTCTTCTTCACCAAATCGTACCTTTACTCTTTTCTCTTTCTCCTTAGGACCTCTCGGTATATTCGTCCCCGATTGTCCTGTTGAGATTGAGATTGAGGTTGATGAAACATTCGGCTCTTTCGACGGGTTGGTAACTTGAGAAGATGTGGGGATATCATGTGAATGTGGGTTGGTTCCAGAGATGGATGACTCAACTCCTTCGGTTGGTAAATCTGCCCTTGAATCTGGTGGAGGTGCAGTACGTCTTTCTCCTATACCACCTTCCACACCGAGGTGCATACGTTCAATGACGAAAGCTTTCCTTTTCAATCTGAATGACAAGTTATTCTCCCCTGCTCCCCCACCGCCTGAGGCGGATGAGGTGGTGGTGGATATACCTAGGAGGGATGAATGTCGGAGAGTTGGTGGGAGGAGGGTGTGTGAGGTGGGGAAAGAGTGAAGGTGGAAGGTTCCGTGAGATTGAGGGAAGAGGATAGGGAGTGTTGGGTCGTCTGCGATGTGAGCGAGGTTCAGTTGTGACATTTGATTGACACAGTGTCCTGCTCCAAGATTGACATTTAATTCCTATTCAAATATGTGTACGGAGAGCAGTGACATGAATCCAAGGTGACAGCAAGTTTGACCTTTCAATGAGCCAAGAGATGCACAGACAGGAGGGAGGGTAACAATAGTAGGAGAAAAGCAAAAAAAAAACTCACCACCAAAACCACGTAACTCGATACATGCGTCCACAGACCAAGAAAGACTATTGACCCATTCTGTCCTCTCCAAATCGGATGGAGGTGATGTGACAAGCCAGGGTGGGAGGGTGATAATGGCTGAAGAATTGGTGCCCTTGAGCAAAGAGCGGAGTGAATGTAAGAACCGATGTATTTGCTGAAAATGGTGTCAGTTCCACCAACATTCTCGTCCAGAGTTATCCAAGAAATCCCTTCAAATGTCCTTTTTTCGAACAATGAATTGACACCACGATGACGGCTTTATGTTTCGGCATTGACATGGATACAGGGGGAGACGGGGAAGTGAGAGGGCATCACAAACCAGATTAGGTAAATGAGACACATGAAAAAATGAAGATGACATAGATAGGTAAGAAGGGCCAAGGTCATTGAATAGGGTTGAAATAGAAAGGAATAGAAAACTCACATCCGCAGTAAGATTACCCCAATCTGCCGACCCAAAATCATGTAAGACATATCTTCCCACTTGATCCTTCCTCCCATTTTTCTTTATATCATCATGTAGAGAGAGAAGCACGTGTTCAAGAATACCCCTTCCTGATTTATTGCTGGAAGATATGTGATCGGTTTGGGACGTAAGAGGTAGGTATCGAAGTTGATTACCCGCTTCCATCTTTTGTATGGTCGTGGAAGGGATGGTGTGCATTAGAGAAAGATGATTTGAAGTAGCTAAATTGTTTTAGCGACACATTTCTTGTAAGACTAAATCTCCCATTTGATGATGTGATCCATTTTTTTACTCAAGACTTGTCAACGAAAGCTACACTTTCCTGTGCGCAAAAGAGAATGCCCAGTGAAAGAGGGCCAGGAGTGGATCATTTTTAGATCGCCTAATGAAAGTGAGAGGACAATTGTCTCGGTCAGATGGACATGAGAAAGTAAGTGTCAGACGTAGAATAAGGTATATGTCCGAGAGAAGATGAGAAGATCAATCAGATCAAGAAGTTAAAAAACTCACAAATTGTAGTTTCGAACTTGTTCATCGAATGATATCTCCAAGCTATCTTCCCTCTTTCACCCATATCGACATCTTCAATCCCTTCACCTTCACTCTCACTACCTTCATTAACCTTCCTTAAACCCGATCCTTTCTTCTTATCCATCTGATTCATTTTCTCCTTCTCCATAGCTCCATTCTCTGGTTTAATATCTTTCTCCGGATATTCCTTCGAAGGACCAGCTTCATCCTCATGAACAGATCTTGTAGGGGATTTATGAGTTGAATTCTTGAGAGGTAGTCTATCATTTTCTAAAGATGAATCTTGATCATGTTGAGAATTCAAAGGTATAAACCACATACAACCTTTTACCAACTCTTTACCTTCTTCTTCACCACTTATAACACTCACATTTTGACCGGTACTCAATCCTTGTGCTAGGAAATACCTACTGACTAATTTACCCCAGGAAGAATGAGGATCGGGAGATAAGACTAGTAGAATTGAAGATAATGGTAGACCACCACCGAGTAGGTCGTCTAATGCTGGAAGACCTGTAGAGATGAGAGGGAGGGATGTGGAGGGAGATGGATGGGTTCCTGCGGGTGCAGGAGTTGAAGGAGGTATACGACGGGTGAATGATGGCATGAGGATACAAGGAGTATGATTGAGTGTGGAGTAGATGTTGATTATGACTAGTACTCTGAGATGTTATAAGAAGCTAAGGTATTGAAAAAGTTGTCGAAAGTCAAAATACGAAGAAACAGAAGAATTGAGATTTCGATTGTTCTATGTTCTTCGTGCGATCGTGTTCAGCAATTGCAACTGACCGCCAACGTACCCAACCCCAACCAACACGTTTTCATCCTTGTCAGGTTATCAACAAGGTCAATTAGCGTTGCTTGCTCGCTAGGATCCGAGGTATGGAACAAAGAATAACACAGAGAGTTTCAATGCAACAATGCATCATCAAGATCATATAAACTCGTCACATTTCTACATCTCCTTCCCCATCTTCTCCCCCAATCCCGATCACATCTTCAGCGGACGCCGTATCTTCCCTTACCAACTCTACAACTTCTTTCACCCTTTCTTCCAATACCGCTTCATTCATGTACCTCTGTAATGTCCGTATTTCGTCCTCGTGATCCCTCATGAGCATCTCGATCTCCCCAGCCGGTCTCTCGGGGAACCTCGCAGCGACCTCTGCGAGCAAAGGGGGTTGTGTGGCCGTGAGGGGTGAGATGATGTAGTTTGACGGGAAGTCTGCGAGTCAGGATTGTGTCAAGCGCCGTTCTTGACAGTCACGGTTTCATCTCACTGCTCATGTCTTCTTGCAATACTTTACTCCGTCCCCCGGACGTGTCGGCACTGGAGAAGTAGTGAACCAAGACCGATAGCATGTGATTACAGGTCGACGGCTGCAAAGGGGCCTTCAATGTATAGGGAGCACTATGAGGGGAATATAGGTCACGATGGACGTCGGGGCCATTGCTCACCTTTGATCTCCCCCAGCGCTCGCACTGTCGCATAAGTCAGCGTTTGCCTCTGCAAACCCCTTTGGGCTTTCTCGCTCCTTCCCGCTGTTCTGGCAATTGCCAACCAGCTAGAGATTTAGCTTACTCTACAAGTATACGGAAGAAGCTCACTCATCCTGGATGAATACCCTTCGCCATATACTAATCAATGCCACCTCTTTGCGACCCTCTGGAAGATCCTACATGTCAGCTTTACCGCGAACGTACACGACGCAGGTGCGATTGTGTCATTTCCTGACGGACAGTATTGTGACGACGCAGAATTACAACACTCTCCGCATGATAGTGAGTCCCATTCGCACTTCACTTCTGAAGTCCCCACAGAAGCGCATGATGAGGGGATGTTGATCATAATCGCAGCACACTCGAAAGACAGTCTTGAGACATGCGATTTTTTCGTAGGACGAAGCGAACATAACTCACAGAGCTCTTTGTCAACCTGTCCAGTGCCACAGCAGAGTCCCCAGCGGATGATCCATGGTTATCCTTCAACGTCAAAGCGTCTATCAACCCTTCCACATCCAGGGCCTTCCCCTCCAGGAGTCTCCGCCCCAGGTCAATGAACAGCGCTTTGAACGCCGGTCGGTTTTCCAGGCCCTTGCAATTTGTCACGACAAAGTTCTCGATAGAGGGAGAGCCGCGTTTGGTAGTTGAGTCGGACCTGAGCGACTCTCGAAGGTCATTTTGAACCTTGACGAGCTCCAGTTCATCGTCTATGGCTGCCCTGTCAGCGACAAAAAACAGGAATCTATTCCAGGTTTTCTTGAAAAAGAGAACGCTCGGAGAGGGGAATGATGGAGCCGAGGGGAGGAAGAGAGGAGGTAAAAGAGATGAGGTGAAAAGTGCAAAACCTTCATGAGAGAGATAGAGAGGGTAGCAAAGAAAGACGCACTGCTCAACAGGTCTACTCGTGTCTGCGATGGTCCTCGAGTTTTGATCTCGGCCACAGCTGCGAGCTTTGCAATGCTACTGGCCAGCTGCACATCAGTCATTGCCATCCTGACCAGATCTTGGAAGAGATAACCCGGCCATCCTACTCAGACAACAGAGATGAATGACGTGAGAGATAGCCAGGCCGAAAGGCCGACAGACAAAGAATCAAGAGGTAGGAGTAAACAGAAGTGCAAGAAGCATGTGAAGGAGATATCGATGAAGGAAACGAAGTTTTATCAACTCACATGATCTTTGACCAATTCCTGTGACGTAGTAGCTACGGTATGAAGTGAAGCCGCGGCCTCTCCGAACCTCTTACAGGCTATATGATGCATCCAAGCCAATTCAGGATAGTGATATTGGTCAAAGAATTTAGTGAGCAGGTGTCCATACACTTCGTCCTGTGATAAAAGCGCATGTAATTGTCCTGTCGATGTCAGAATGGGAACAGATCAGGAGAGACAAGCTGACCTTGTTCGATATAATACTCATATAGAACAAAAGCAAACACTTCTCCAAATCTCTCGATGTAAGTTTGAAGTTGTACTTGTCCTCTCGTCGTCTTGGGCTGATGACATAAGTATACCAAGGTGGAATAGTCGATGATGTTCAGCAAGTTCGTACGCTTCTGATACCCTATCTATTCCCACTGTGGCTATCAGTTTTGTGTTTTGGGATTGAACGTAGTGTGCACATACCTAAAGGCCGGATCACTCGGGGCTTCAAAGCTGCCCAACGTTCAGCCAGACTGGCACCTAGCTTCGGATCAACACCTTTGTCCATCTCCCTTCTACTCATCAGCTCTGACATTTCATCTGATACAATGACCTACGTCTTTGCAGCTCGCATCTTCTCTTCCATGTTGGTACACAATGCAGCGGCCAAATCGACCATTTGTCTCTTAAGATGGGCTTGAACTTCTTGCTGACTTCGCAGGTGACTGCTGGCAGAAGGTGGCTCGTCCACCACAGAGCCCAAATCGCGGGTCCGGTCACGTATGAGCCCTTCGGTGATGGAGTATAAGCCGTCAAGAGAATCGATGAGCGCATCTTGTGCCGTCCACAGCTCGGAAGCGGGTCGAAGACGGTCGATCTCGTATGTCGCGTGTTCGTCTTCCCGCAATTGCGACGCCGCGCGGTTCACACTCTACGACATAAGCTAACGGGGAAGGTTATCAAGGGCAAAGTCGCACTCACGATGAATATATTGTTCACTTCTTCCACCCAAGGCCCCAAGTCCATCCGAGAGTCTGAAGAGGTGGCCGCACGGAATGTAGAGACGACCGTGGTGAGAAGCGAGTCAATCTCATGTAGCTGATAATCAGTCACCGGGTATTGTGACCGTCTGAAGGACTTACATGAGATCGGAAGAATAGACGAACGACATCTCCGTCCTCGCTCGAATCATGTCGACTCATATAGGCGGTGATCGCATCGGATAGCAATGACTGGGGAGAGTGAGGTATCATGTGGCTTCATGATCAGCATCGGGTCCGGATGGAAGCACAGACACTCACTCCATGAGCCGGTTCTGATGATCCCACAGATCTATGGAAGCTTTGATCTTCTCTGCGTCTCTGGAAAGTGCTCTACGGGTGGTCTGCGGCAGCTGCAAGTCAGCATGGAAACACAGATCGGAGACTTCAGGAGCTGACCATACTCAACAGCCCATTACTTCGAACAAAACGTATCAACTCCTTCTCTCGCAGTAATCTGTCACTGAGTTGAGGCCGAAGCTCGAATATCGTAGGCATATACGGAGAACCTATCCTGTGAGCTCAACCGACAACTGTGACTAGACTCACTGGATGCTAGCACCTCTGCGGATACAGCCAAAGCGGCCTCGGCAGGATCTCCTTTGAAACCAGCGGGTAGATCAAAAGATAATGGGTTCTCTGAACGATCCCCGAAGAACACCGCTTGTTCCATTTTCGACTTTAACCTCGCCGTAGCTGTCATTTCCTGCGATAACGCTTCATCTGCGGCCTCGAACACTTCAACGGTCAATAGCCCGCCGATGGCTGGCATGACGATGAGTGAAGGGGAAATCGCATGTTTTGCTGATCCTGACCGACATCCCACTCCGAGGAAGGCGTTTCGATGGGACTCTTTCAGAACGATGACATCTTCGTATGGAGAGTCTGGGATAAGCTTTTTGGTATGTATGCGAACTTGACACCCACCTGGAAGCATTGACACCATGACTATGACATCGGCGAAACGGATGAAGGCAATGGGACTTCCGCTTGGTATTGACAGCCGGGGCACGTCCAGCATTCGTGGGTCAGGATGCTTGGTGATCAGCTGAACAATATTTGCAAACAAAGCGACCTACAGCGAGATAGGAGACTTCGACTATCCGATCCACTGTAAGAGCATTGGACTTTGGATGAATTGAGAACAAGACAATGGCGTGCGAATTGTGTATTCTCTTGCTACCTGATCCCGATTGGTGATCTGAGTATGAAACCAGAACAGCAAGCTCTTCTTGACTGAAGGGTCAGCGCTGGTCATTCATATACCGAAAGCTGACCTGAAAGCTAACAGGTCGTTCAGTTCTAAGTGGACTCGATGAGGTGACCATTGATTACCGTACAACGTTTGTCCGACGGCGTCGTGCAGATCGTATTCCTGTAGATACTTATCATCAGCTCTGAGAATTGAAGACATGGTCAAGTCGAAGCTGACCTTTTGTCCCTCCGCTCCGAGTGCCCACTTTTGTAGAGTTCGTTGAGCCATCATGAAGACGCTCCCTGCCGATGATGTCACAGCTACTACACCTTCTCGGTCCTCTCTGGAGCCAAAAATTGAGGCGGTGGTACGACCAAAGATCCCCCCTGACTTGGTCAAGGGGGTTACAGAGGGAACACATCGACCAGCGGACGAAGTGAGATTCAACCGAAATGCCTGGGAGGTAGTTGTGGTGACGATGAGGGTGGAAGACTGTCATTGTGAGCTTAAGACTCGCCCCACGTGTCCAACTCACGGAGATTTCCCATATTTTTTGAACAAAATCGTCTTGTTCCAGCTCGAGCTCGACCCGCTGAAACCTATCCACGTTGGCCAACGCTAAGTTCATGCTCTCCCATATCCTCATCTCGCCCGTTGGGCTTACGAGAATCATCCCTGGTTCACTACCATTGGATCCGTGGTACAATGCAGATATGACGGGAGGAGCGGAAGCTCCATGTCCCTGAGACGATCTTGGGGCTGGAAAGGTATAACAAGTCGGTGAAGAGTGAGTGCGCTGAAGTACGATCAGCATTTTCTAACTTGGATCATTGAAGCTCACCTTGGCATAATTCCAAGAGATACAAGTTGAGGAACTAGCGATGAATGCAAATCCTGACTGAGGGTCTATAGATCCACTCAATGGACGAACTACCAGATCTTCTTGAGTCAGCAACTATCACGAGTTAAGGTAACTCACCAGCGCCCTTGACGAGTTGCTGCACTTCTCTAGGGAGCGGTCCAGCAGAGGAAACTGCATGAGTGGCATCTTTACTCCAATATACCTTCTCATATTGTTCCACCTCATGACGAGCTGTACGGATGGTATCGCCCGCTGAAGAAGTAGGAGAAACTCGACGGATAGGAGGTAACCTGGAGCTCCTGACAGAAGGGGTCAGAGGGAAGTCTCTATCGCGGTCACGTTCTGAAAACACGGAAGGCGTTCCACGTCGTATTGAAGGAGGTGCTAGTGAGCCACCTCGACGTGGCGTATGTCGAGGGGCTGGAGAGTTGAACATTGCTGAGAGGGTGGTTGTATAGAGTGGAATTCAACATTTTAGAAGTGTATCTAACGCGATCACAAAGTCAGTTCACCTACGTGGCATTTTGATTTCCCCTTCTCTTTCTTCCATCTAAGGTACTTAGCACAGTGGTGTGCTTTTCATCAATTGACTCTGATTCAACATGTCGGAGAAGAGAGACGGAGCGGTGAGCTTGTCCCGAGTGTAATGTTCAAACTGACATCAAGGCACCTCCTCCTACTCGAAAACAATGGGACAAAGATGAATGGGCCGCCAAGGCGAAAGAGAAAGATGAAGAGGCTATTGAGAAAGCTAAATCTGCCGAGGCTGCTCTGGCTAAAGGTAAGATTATCTATCCAATATCTGTATCATGGGATGGATGAAAAACATCTTCAGCTGATGTATAGGTTTAAAACCAAAATTTAAAGATAAAGAAGATCTTCCTAAACCTACGAAAAACATGCAACAGCGAACTGAAGATGTGGGTCTCAACAAAGATCTCAACAAAACAATGTTAGTTCAAACTACATCAACTGGTAAAGGTCCCAAAGGTCCAGGATTTTACGTTAGTCGTCTCTCTTTTCGTCCTCAAATACATCTCTTAGTGTTTGTGTGACATGACTGACTAAACAGTGTGATCTATGTAATAGAACTTTGAAAGATAGTTTATCTTATCTTGATCATTTGAACGGTAGAATGCGTAAGTGTTTTTTCTTCTTTTTTTCTTCTCCCATTCCTTCCGTGATGAAATTCAAATATGTTTTCTGATAATTTAGATCTTTTACATTTAGGTCAATCTACCAAAGTATCACGTTCGACACTTGCTCAAGTTCGAGAAAAGATAAGACAATTAAGGGAAGAATCATCTAGTAGAGTTACCGCCAAGAATTTCGATTTTAACGCACGTTTGGAACAAGTTCGTAACGATGGATTGGAGGAGAAGGAGAGACGAAAAGAAGAAAGGAAAAGGAAACGTGAAGAGAAGAAAGAAGAAGAGATGTTGAGTAAAATGGGTGTGTTGGGAAAGAAAAATAAAAAAGATGAGGAGGTCGAAAAGGCTCAAAAGGATAATGAAGATATTACTACCATGATGGGTTTTGGGGGTTTTGGAGGTGTGAAAAAGAGATGAAACGAAATGGGAAGAGATAGGTTTGGTATGTGAATGTTGATGGAAACACGGAGGATGAGATTTTGATAATGTTGTACGTTACATGTGAGATTATTTCATTGTCAGATGGTGTGAACCTTCGCTCACGTCAAGATACTTGTATATACTCTATCTTGAAATTCCATCTTTCACATATTGACCAGTCCCTGTGAATAAATCAAGTCATTTTTAGACAGCTCAAACCCCGCCCAATACTCTCTCTTCACACTAACTCCTCACTCATCATACTAATCCTCACTAATGGAATCCCAACACGTCGTTTGATAAGCGGTCACCTAACGGGGAGATCACTGTTGATCGTGAATCGATACCTCTACATTTCCCAACCTTTCCACATCCTTCCTTCCATTCATTCAATACACCCTCACCCTCATTCCTCATTTCTCATTCTTTCCATTCTAGTCCGAATGTCCCTCAACATCACTATCGGACCCTCATATGACTCGTCTCTCACACACACGATGATGATACCCGGAAAGCAGGAGAAAAAATGAAAGGAATTCTGACAGGGGTTATGAGAACCGAAGAAAGGATATGTTTCAACGAATCAGAAAGGAAAGGTAAGAATTGTTTATCCATCAGTGATATAGGTATATAGGTAATAACCGATCATTTCTTGAGGTATCGAATAACATCCAGGGTTTTGTCTTCTTCTGAGTAGTTGACTCGTTGAACTTGTACACCACTTCACACTTTCGAAAATAAAGCCATTGAAGTTGTAGGCCGATCTGAGGTTTCAAAGCAGGTCATTTGAGAGCCATTTGTGGAGTTGAAGATCATCATTCTGATTTGGAGATTTGGAGATTTGGAGGTAATCCAGGAAAGGATCAACACGGTGAGTTATACTATTTTCATCACTTCCAACCCTTGTAGTCACCAACTATTCTTGAAAAATACACTGCAGACGGAAACGTTCTGCACTCCATAACTGCCACAACCTCCCACCTTAGCAACTACGATGTAGGAAATGAACCATATCGATGTTATGCTGGGGAAATTGGTGAGGGAATTCGGACTGATAACCAGTCAACAACCTTTCTTACATCATGTTCTTACTCAGGAAATGGCAACAACAATCTGAAAACATACAATTAGCCATCGTCCTGGTCATATTCAGTATCACCATGTTAGGTGTTTTTTGTTTGTTTGGGAAATTACAATTAGACGTGGGACCACTTATAAAAGCTGAAATTCAAAAGGATCATAATTGATTACGAACGGGATGCATGACAGTACATTTCGCAAGCACAGTATGGTACAGATACTACCTACGTCCATTCTATTCTCGAGTGCGAGTGGTGGTGAGTGAAGGGTTTGATTTCGAAAAGGGGGTTAAGATGAGAGCGGAGGAAGGTAAGATAAGAGAGAAAGTTAAATACACGAGGCCGTTATTCTTGTCCGAAACCAAGAGTCTCTTCCACGGCAATGGTCAATTTCTGTTCCAGCACGTCATAAGATTTGTAAGCTGGGAGATCTACAAGTTAGCTATTGAACAAAAGGCAGCGAAGTTAGCTGATGTAGTGCTTAAAGTAGGTGAGAGAGGGAGGTGAAAGTGGAGATTTGATACATTTGGCGGAACACTCACCGATTCGGTTGAAACAAGTATGACTCTTCGGCAATTGAGTAATCTCACCAGCTTTCTCAATGGTAAACCTCCTCGGTCCATCAGACCCTTGTAGATCTTTGAACCCATTGACGGGGATTCTCGATGTACCAGTGGTGAATTGAAGGAGACGCGACTTGCGTTCCGCAGGCCAAGCCTTGACGATCTTCCAGAACCACTCGACGACTTCGTCAGAGGGGTTACTAACCTGTCAGCGGCTATCCCGGAGCCAACGAAGAATCAACTCACTATCCTCTATAATCGGTATGCTTCTGCCAATCATCCACGTCAATTTCAGACATTCCCCCAATGAGAAGCTAGGCTTTAGTAATGCGGACACAAGGTTCCGGTGGAAAACTCACCTCCAACTCGCGCTCGTCGAAAACATTGATCAGCTCTTGAGGAATGAGCTCGTTAAAGCCGCTCATGAACGCTTCGAATTGTTCGGCGACGCGTCTCGAGATTCTGTATTCGGTGACGAGGCTGAAGAGTCAGCATGCTGTAATGGTCGCAACTCCAACAAGTCGCTTCGAGGAGCATAATGACAACGAGGAATGGTGATGGGGGGTGAGGGAGACAATGGACGAAGGGTGTACTGCATGACGTAGAGGAAGGAGCAGTGAAGAAAGGACAGAGGCACAGACTCACTCGACATATTCCTTCTTGTTCTCCTCCGTCACCTCAATATCCCTACCATTCTCCTTCAAATCAACCGTCACAAGCTCTCCGAAATGTTCTTCCGAGATAGAAAACGTATCCTCAATCACATCCGTGATATCATTCTCCAACATCCACATCAACCCACGGAATAAACCCGCATCGACCGATTCCAAATCTGGAAGAGAGATTTTCTTCTTCAATATCATCTTGTAAAAAGAGACGATGAAGTAGGCATCAAGGAAACGACGATGGAAAATGCCCAGACCGACCACACGACCAATGAATTTGAAGTAGTTCAGATGCTCTGGGTTCACACCGGAGTTAGGGTTGATTTGTAAGGTGTAATTGTCATGTGCGGAATATTCGAACAAGCAATAAAATGGGTTGAACATTTCGTGAGAGAGCAAGAAGAAGAATTCTCTGCCATGTCAGCTGATTGTTCACAACCACATGAGAGCTGACGCACCTGGAAAGACCACCATAATCCAATCCATCTTCACCTTCAAACTTGATCATGAGTCGTTTCTTTAGATCATTAGGAGATTGACGCATAATCTCAGTATAACTGCCTTCGAATATATTTTCCCGAGAGACTTTAATGTGACATTGTCCGGTGTTGGAGCGCAGAGCGGGTTGAGATCTAAAGTAAATGAGTTTACGACGGAAGTCACGCTTATACTGAGGTACATTCTGGTCCAACGAGGACGGAAGTCGAGGGTCATCCCAAGTGGTAGTCTTGGTGTTGTGATCGACAAAGTAAACTCGGGCCGTAGAAGTGAGTCGCATTTCCCATCCACTGGGAAGAGGGCCAAGTTGACTAACGGTTTGAGGTTGGACAGACAGATTACCCTGACCAGGTCCGATGACTCGAAGAAGTGTCTGGCGACGAGGGTCGACCCATGTGGTGGTACGTGTGTTGTGATCCACAAAGTAAGGTCTTCCTTCTGGGGTGAATCGTTGTTCCCAACCAGCGGGGAGTGGACCAGACCCAGCGGTGGTGACACCTCCAGTGGTCAATGGCACCGCACCGCCACCACCTGTGGCGGGAGTGACAGGACCCGTTTGCTGAGGTTGAACGTCGAGCATATCATCGGCAAGGGTACGTTGATTGTGTCTTGCACGAGCCTCACCGGTGGAGTTGGCTTGTGTGGCGGTGTTTGACGAGACGTTGTCACTGGGTCGGTTCCAAGTGGTGGTACGAGTGTTATGATCGACATAGTAAGTACGAGCCAAATGATCAATACGTCTTTCCCATCCGGGAGGAAGAGGTCCAAGCTGGTCAGAATGAGAGTCAAAATGATGACCTCCAGGTGTGGTGGCACCGGTCTGACCAGTGACGGCAGCTTGAGAAGTCGGGTTGACGACGGGAGGACCTGTCGAGGCGGCAGCAGCAGCGTTGGTCATAGGAGGTTGTGATAATGAAGTAGGTGCAGCGGCGACAGCAGGTGTAGAAGGTTCGTTTGAGACAGAAGGACTGTCAGGTTCGTCGGAGACAACGTTGACTGGTCGAAGTTTATTTGCGGGACGTCCTGAAGGTCCTGCAGAAGTGTTGAGACTGACCGCAGATCCATTGTTGTCGGGAACAGGGAGGGTTGGAGGAGGCGCGGTCTGAGGCTGCGCTGCCGAAGCGGGGGCACTTGCGGCAGGAGTGCCGGTCTGAGTCGAAAGGTAGACAATCAATTTACCATTGACAGCGAGGTTTTCCGAACCTTTTTTCAATTCACGAGTGAGCATTTCTATCATGTCAGTTCAAGGGCACGATGATTTTACACAAAAGTATCAACGTGACTGACCTTGGCCACCCAGTTCGAAATCGATTACATCAGAAACTTTGATATTGATAACACCTAAGAAACCCTGATCATTCTACGTTGTGAGTTTGCAAACTTTCACTTTCACGACCTACTTACCTTTCTCTTAAACTTCCGTTGATCGAAAATTTGTACAGCGACAACGGAAGAATCTTTGACGGTACTGTTCCATCAGTCTCATTCTTCCTCTCGGCTAAGTTCTCTCTTACATATCGAAATGTCTATGAATCAGCATACATACATCTTGCATGAAATAATAGACCTACTCATTCCAATAGGGGTTCAAAGTCCTTTTGATGACTGAAGTCGTGTGAATCTGCTCTCCATCCACGGAAACTAGCGCAAAGGGATCTGGCAGACGGAGAATATCTCGTTTGATGAGTGAATCAGCAGCGACGACTGACATGTCAGTGGATCCCTCATAAAACTTCTCATCACTGAAGTCTAACGCAGAGTGGATGTCTGGACTTGAGACCAGGTTAAGATAAGTCACAGGGACTAGGTGAGACACACGTGGGAAAAAGGAAAGGAAGATGAGACAACTCACTGGTTATACGTATAGTCCGAGACCTATCATGTAAAGCATTCATCATTATGATAGAGTTGAATAGACAATATCGACATGCGCAATATACAACAAATGGATGGTCAAAGAAGAAAGCAAGTGTCAGCTTTCAATGATTTGTCACCCAATCACCGACAACCGACGGGGAAAGCGACAAAGGGAGGTTCAAGAGGTGGTGCAACGTTGAACATGATGATGACTCACAAATTTGCTCTGTCAGGCTGTACCATCTTGTCTACTCCACTCTTTCTCTTCTACCGTAACGTCTATAGATGATGTTCGTCGATAGCCAGGTGACTTGAGAGAAGGGACAAAGATGTATGGATACAAGGATAGATCCACAAAATGGTCAAAAGGAGAACGAATGCTTGCACAGCAGGCAACAGTGGCGGCGACGTCAACTCGTATTATTTTCACATCTTTTTTGTCAATTAATCCAACGGGTCGGCGACCAATGATGCCGGTGGTGGTTCACAAGATTACAGCTATGCATCGAACACGCTACTTGCGACTTGGGTTGCAGCGTGTAGCATGTAGACCCAACGCAGCGTAAAGTATTCATAGCATGTAGCATGTAGCAACATATCTCTGACAGTCTTTTGGACTGACAATAGCGAGCATTCTCTCTTCATCGTGTGATCGTCGTCACGATAAACCCCTGGAACAAATCTATTCCACCCCCCTTCCCCCAAGCCAAATCCTTTGAGCAAACACCCTCACTCTGCAACCGTCTCCCCTTCCACTTCCTCCACTCCATCCGCCATTGTATCCTCTTCCTCTGTCGATCTCAACTTTCGCGCTTGCGCAAAGAAAAGTTGTACCTGTGTATTTGGCGAAATATTTTCAATGGAATAATGATTACCTATCTCGTCAACCTTCTTCTTACCCCGATACGAGTCAAGTACTTACCTCTAGGAACACGGAACATTGATCCGACACCCATGACGAAACTAGTACGATGTACTTTGACATTGACGGCTCCTGCGATTACATAAAATATCTGATTGTCAGCATGGCATACACATGTCCAAGTTGCAACATGACTCACATAGGCATTATCTTTTGAATGTTTACCTGGTTTGATACCTCCCACAGGGATGTAAATTACGCCAGCAGCGATGAATTGTTCCTCCCCGAAGACTTTTTGGTATAAGAAGTGACCGCCTGGTGTTTCGGACGGCTTGGGACTGAGTCTCGATTGAGGGAATGCGATACCTGTAAGTGAGTTTGACCCACCTCTACCCGTAGCCCGGTACGAGTACGTGACATGACCGAGGACAGCAAACAGATCTTGTGAGCAAGGGCATTACGTCTGTATCAAGGAAGTTATAAGAGTGGAGAACGGAGGTTGTATATAGCGAACGACGCATGGCTAGGAGACCACTACTCACGTCTCTTCGCCTCTGCCCCAGATGGATAATCCTTCACTATCCCAATCGGATCAGTCTGATTGTCCCACCCCAGACCTTCTGGCTCTGCAACGTCGGCACTTTCCATTTTGACGCTTTGACTTCTTCCTGTCCTACTCGGCTTATAACGTGAAGAAAGAGGTTCAGGAACTTCCTCCGGAACTTTAACAATCTCCTTGATGATAGCGAGTTTATCTCCTCGTTTGTACGAAAACTTCTCTCCTCGCCACCAGGCCAGGGGTGCGAAATGTTTTCTACCTGATCGACGGACAATGAAATCACCGGAGACTCCGTCATTATCAGCTATACGTGTCAGCTTGACTTCCGGCTATCTGTTCTGTATCTCCTGACAACGGCATGCTCCTCTCCAGTCACGATTATTTTGTAAATTTTCAGTTGAGTGCTACGCTGAGCTTTGTAATGCTTATCTATCACACCGACGGGGAGAGGAATAAGAAGAAAGGGACGTGAAGGACTCACGATCATCTTCCAATTCCGAGATTCTCTTTCTTATCGCGTGTTTTTCCTGACCCAGCACACGACTGATTGGTCCTCTTTTGACCGGCATCTTGGTCTTTCTACTATCTCCTTGATCTTTCTTCGACCTAGCACGTTTTCTCCCACTTTTCGAGCTTTCCGCTTGAGGTTCTTGCTCCTGTTCCTGCTCTTCCTCCCCATCCTCCATCTCCTGCTCGTCCTCCAGATCCATATCATCCGGAGCATCACCGTTGAATCCCGTAGGCGGATCATCAAATTCCGGTTCATGACCTGTATCATACATGATACTCCGACCTGCAGCATCTTCGTCATCACTTTCTTCAGTCTGAACCGTCCGTTTGTTCATCATTGACGATCTGTTGGTTTGATGTCTTGCGACCTCCGGTTCGACCTCGTCGTCATCTGAAATCCTACGCTTTCGACGGGACGGAGGGGGTGGCGTGTCATCAGGTTGAGACACATATGTAGATTCGAGTTCATCAATCCCCAATTCGGCTTCAGGGGGAGGAGTAGAGGATGACCGTCGAGCTCGGTTAGCAGCGGTGATAGATTTGCGAGGACTCTTGTATGGTGAGTTCTTTTGAGGAGAAGGGATATCACCGTATCTCACGCTTGGTGAAGCGGGTGGTAGTCTGGATGTTTTAGGTAATCTGACAGAAGGTGGATCTGAAATTAGCTTAGTCTGTCTTTCAAAGAGAGATACTCACTGTGCTTAGAGAAGAAGGGAGGTGGTGTGGCTATTCATCAGCATTTGATCAAATTTCTCAAGATCTGTAGTAGATAGAATCTCGAGGTAACGAGCATGGGCAAAAGATATTGATTGGGCCAAGCTCATAAGGGGCCCTTGACGGACTAAAGATAAGTAGACATGAGGCTAGGAATTCACTCCGAGCTCATGAGAAAACCAGACGAGGGTGGTATCAACATTTCAGAACGAAAAGTAACTCACCCCGTGCCAAATCATCCTCATCGCCCAATAGATCCTCAGCGAATGGATCATCATCATCATCAGGGACCAATTCACTCATTCTTCCTCTCCTTACTGTCCCAACGCTGGTCACTGTACCAGGTGTATCAATGATACTTTTCCGTCCTCTAAAAGGATGTTCCGATGCTGGAGATTTGAAGAAAGCGTCTGGATCTTCGAACCCATCTGAACGTCTGGGTACATTTGTGGGCATCGGAGCTCCCGAACGACTGTTTGTGTCAATTTCGACACTTAAAACACCCCGTCATATCACCTAGAAGCTATGTTTCTCTCATCTTTCCCATTACATATGAAGCGCATAAGTAGATGGGATAGACCATGTCGCCGAAAATTTGAAGAAACACGGATGAGTCTCTCCTCTCTTCTCTTAGGCCTCCGGGAACGATGTTCACCTTCTATTTTCACTCCCGACACTTTCCCAGACATCATATTCATTCTTCACAATGATAGAGATAAACTTGAATCAGAGAAGAACAATTGACTCACGTGCCAACGGCTTTAGGTTGAGCATTAAATGGAACGTAGGCTTTCTCAAGTCTTGGACGTCGGGTCCCACCTGGAGTCGTCTGGGTCGCCATCTTTCACGAGTGTATCACTTCGTTTTCTTTGGGAATTCTTGTGTATCGGTATGCTTCGTGTGCTGGACGAGCTAATGAGGAACGTATGAGCTGATGATGCAAGTATTCCAATGAGTGGTGGCTGGGGAGGAAAAGATGGAGAGAAGAACAGTAGTGGGGTTGTTTACACGCGTTGGGACGTGGCGAATTTGAATGTGGCACTTTTATGCGCGTAGGGATAATCCTGACGGAGCTCGAATTAATCCCGACGTAAATTTGGCCATTTCCCACAAATCTCGTCACAACTGGCGAGGATCCCTGCGCTTTGTCAATATTGAGAATTATTGAGATGTAAAAGGTGTAGAGTGATCCTACACAGTTCAGGATGCATAAAATGCAGAGAGATCAGTTGAATCATGCATAGGGAGCCTGCTACAATGGCTTTCGGACCTGTTTCGGATTATGTGATCCCCCCCTTTAAACCCAAAATATCACTTTCGGACCACTTTCGGGCGTTTCGGACGCGTTTCGGAGCTGTCAATATGCATGATACACCTGATTTCTCTGCATTGTATGCATCCTGTACTCTCTAGGATCAGTTTACATCTTTTACATCTTGATAATTCTCGATATTGAGTGAGTGTAGGTATTTGGGTAACTAGTGACGGGATCCTCGCGGGTTCTGACGAGATTTGTGGGAAATGGCCAAATTTACGTCGGGATTAATTCGAGCTCCGTCGCGATTATCCAGTTTCGCCACTTTTATCAACAACCTTTTCTTCGCTGCAGGCTATCTGTCAGTGGGGAAAAGGTGAATGTGTCAGACGATTATGTGTAGCATGTAGCATGTAGCATATGTCTGAGGACTTGCCTATGAATATGTGGCTCACTGTACATACAGATATCAGCGTCTGACAGGAATTCTTTTACCTCACAGTGTGGAAAGCTTGAGGGTCAGGTCAGAAACAACAACAGTTCATCCACTTGCTCTGATAACCTCAAACCCAAAATGGTGAATGCATATGTCTCTACTCTAGTATAATACCTGATTACCCATTCAATCTATTATAAAATGTCCTTAGACTAAAATCAAGGGATATCATACAGTACCAGTAGGCTTCAAAGTCATTGCTATATCTTTTGCTAACCTTACTTTGCGCAACATGATAGCAACGATCACGCCACCTGCTATCAGCCCCCGCCATCTTTAGACACGACGATTACCATGCCAGTGTTTCAATTCGATCAACAACTATGATGTTACTGGGGCCAGGCAGTCCTTATAAGCCTTGTGGCATGGGGTCAGGAGGCGATGAGAAAGATCACTCACTACACCAAGCAAACGCTGCAGACATCCACCAAGCAGACCTCAATCCTACTAGTATATCTCCCGTCGCTTGCGTACGTGTAGTAACGATCAGAGATGAACAACACACCCCTAGAACAGCAGCAATTTGTGTGTTGAGCTGGAACAAAGCTCCGGCTACAGATTGTTCGTCGCTTCTATGTCAGCTTCATATCGGGCATCTGGTTAGAAAACCTACTCTGAAACCAGATTGGAGATCATGATGTTTCCTAGACAAACGGTGCTGCAGAAGTCAGGATCACTCTTCCTCATCGTGGATACGTCACTCAGATATAACAAGCTGAGCTGGTGATGCAAGAGGAGTAAAACCAGGCAATTGATGTGGAAAACGAAAGCAAGGCAAGAACCCAATGAAGAAGTCTGTGACTATTACGTACAAATCTATCCCCGGAGGGAATAAAATCAGAGCCCAGAATTCACAATACCAATATCTTGTTCCACGAGGCTCAACGGCTAGTAACAGCGAGGTTGATCTAAACTCAGCTACCTCTCATAGAAAGAGCCACGACTCACCCAGTTGCAATACATCCCAGTACGATGAGTACAGGTGCGCGGAATCTAGGCGCCAGATACATGACTCCGCCCTGTTGTCTCAGCTTTTCTCCAGAGGACATGAGTGACAGGCGGATAGAAAGAAAAGAAGCTGTTTACTGATCACTGTAAAAGAACGAGTGGCCAGGTAGCACAGTAGAGGAGCGGGGGCAATCTTCAGTGACGAGCGAATCAAAATGATCGTAAAGCCGGGTCAACTGGTGGAATAGGAGGCAAGCTAGAGACAAAAACTCACAGCTGCAAAAAGGCCTGTGATATTGGACGGCAAAAGACGTATAGCGTTTCCCAGCGCATCCAAACCCTTGTAATCTTGATAAAATAACGCCAGGGTGTACAACACCGAGAAAGCAGAGAACATTATACAGAATGCCGTCAAATTGATGGCCGTAAGTTTCCAACCATGTCTCGAGAAGAGGGAGATCTTGATGATGGGTGGAAGGGTTGTACGTGTTTCGAGGTGATGTTCCCAGAACCCGAATATGATGAAGAGTAAGAGGGAGAGTACGAGCATGACGATAATCCCTGCAGCTGTCAATCTGCAAGCACACAATGTTGAAAAGAAAAACAGCGATTGAACCAGAGTGTGAAATGAGCAGCTTAGGAGACCTAGGTTACAATGTGAAAAACTCACATGGCGTTTTCCACCCGGATGCAACTTGCCCGCTCTCAGTGATAGAGAAGGACAAGAGGAATACGGCAGTAGTCACCAAACCTCCTCCGAGCCAGTCTATCCGTCTGTCACCAGCTTGTGCCCGAAGGAAACGGTGATCAGATGGGATAATCCAGAGACCGAGCAGACAAGGAATGGCTGCGAGACCGGCGATGATGTAAAACAGATATGCCCATCCGTGTCTGAATGTCAACAGATAATCTCATCGATCCCCTCATCCGTCGAGTCGGAAGGGGTACCACACTTGTGGAGAATGGGAGTCGCCACGACGACAGAACGAATTGACTCACTTTCCCAAGTCGGCTACGGCCCCTCCTAAGATTGTACCCGTGGTGGAACCCACAGGGGCACCAAGACCAAAAGCTGCAAAGGCGACGGAACGTGCTGGTTCTTTACGGAAAGTGACGCCGATGATACCGAAACCGGCTGGAGAAGAGATGGCCAAGCCCAGTCCGACTAAAGCTCGTAGGACGCAGATAGCGATGAGGTTCTGAGGTCAATCAAGTGCTGAAAGGCATCCACAGTTCTTTGGAAAAGGGGACGAGATGAATTCAAGAGAGGTGGGGTGGATGAACACATCAGTGTATGTATGAGAGAAAACCCACACGGATGACAGCGGATAAGATGGAGAATACAGCAGCGACAGCCAAACCAGAAAGGAAGAGCATTTTTCGTCCGTAGAGATCTGCGAATCTACCAGACACCATCAGGGTGCTACGTCATCAGCTTTGAGTGAGAATTGTATGTATTGATTGACTGACCAGCCATAAGTCAGCGTATAGGCAGATACGACCTATCATGTCAGTACAACGGGGCTTGCAACAGGGGAACAAACACAGCGGACTCACCCATTGAGTCTGTAGTTGAGAAGTTCCCAAGTCCTCTGCGATCTTTGGTAGGAGTAGAGTAGTGGCTGTGACACTTGCTGTCTGCACATGAGCTCAACCTTTCTTCCCTCCATGATCAACATCTTGAACAGGGCCTATGGGGTAGATTGTCAAGCATCAACGTATGTCTCACAGAAGGGAGAGAGTAGAGATGAATAAAAGGAAGCTCAGACAGTACTCACGGCGATAAAATAAGTGAGCATGATATTTATGGCAAGGAGTACCATCTTCATTTTGCTAAGTTCGGGAAGTGACACATTCCTCTCATCCGGTGGAGGTATGGCCACCGAAATCGAGTTGGACACTTTATGAGATACGGGAACATCCATTTCGTCCTGAAGATAAGACGACCGTCAGAGAGAAACTCATGGAGACTCACAATGGGAGAAAGTCTCGTGATGGACTGACAATATTTTTCATCTTGATCTTCTGATGGGGTGGTATCGATTCTAGGATAAATTTCCAATTGGCTCATCGCCGTCTCAACTTTGTTCTTGGAATGTACGAATGAGAGGTGCGAGATGGGTGTGAAGAGTCAGTTTATATAGTCAGCGACTCGTGTTAATCTCAGTGAGACTTTTCTAGATTGGTCTGGACCATGGACCATTTTGAGATCTTTGGGGTGGAGGGTAGGGCATCGTTCTGAGCATGAGCTAAGAGGACGAGTTTGGTGATGGGGATGATTGGCAGATAAGATGCAAATCACATCGGGTGCATTGAAATCGGCCATTCGGCAAATCACGTGTGCACGGACAACGGTCCGGCCGTCCGAATCCGGAATGATACTCCATAGTCGCAGGTGGAGGTCGATGGTTGCGCGATATGGTGTTGTGGGCAGTAAGTTTGCAAAACTAATCAAGAACAAGTACATATGGGCAAGATGTGCTACACATTACTCTAGAGAGACATGGAGAGATGTCATCAAAGTTGTATATTTTGAAACTTTGATGGTGTCCGCCATCGATAACCTCACAACCCTGACCCTTATCGTCCCCTTGACGACACCCCTTAATCAACATGTCTCCTACTAGCGACCATGGGTTGCCTTGCTGACCGTATCTCAGTAACAGCTCGTCTCATGGTCATCATGACCCAAAATGACTCCTCTGAATACTATATAGAATGACCTTCGACCCTTGTCTTTTCTTCAAGTTCTGTGAACTCGACAAATTCTTACACAACCTCGCTCTGGTAGCTTTTACTCCATATACACACTTCAATACTTCTTCACCTGTTCAACTTCCACATCAACAATCTCTCAATAACTCACAATGCGTGTCGTTACCATCCTCGCTACTCTTTTCGCCCTCGTCCCTGCTGCTATGGCTTTGGCTCATGGAGAAGTTCCTGTTCATGTTGCTGTCCGAAGTGACGGGTGAGTGATTCCACCCATCTTTCACCTTAACATCTCACCTCCTCCACCTACCTACCTGATAGATCTTTTCCTACAAACTCACCCTCACTCCTCGCCACCCCGGAGCCCTTCATACGGGGAGCAACCAAGGAGCAGAAGGTGATAGTGATGATGAGGCGGAGCACGAAGCAGATCATATTGCTGACCCTTATAGCAAAGGCGGTATCAAACACTTCTACAAGAAAGACGAAGAGGAATTCTTCAGGAAAAGAGCTATGGAGAAGAAACGTCGAGACCGTATCGATGAACGAGCAGCTGCGGCTGAACCCGATTCTGCTTTGTATAGCGATCCCGACTGGACTAGCAACCCTTTGTTGAGCGACAGCATCCCCGTCCAGAGCACCGAAGGTGGTATCGCTTCCTACTCAGATTCATGATCTGCCAGTATGAATCGGGCCGAAGGTGAGTTCTTTCGTTGACCGCATGACTTTGTGTGGTCTAACTGCCAGAGGTCAATGCTCGGCAATCATATGATCGTCCATGTCCACAAGACGATGGATGATTCGAAGATCGAAGGGTTTGCTTCATTGTAGGGCGGTGGTGTCGGGATGAGTGTAGCGCATGTAGCGAGTGGGAGCTTTACATGCATACAGTTTTGTGAAAAGCGTTATACAATGATGAAGGTGATATGGACAGATGATGATAGGTTGATCAGAGTGCAACTTTAAAACCAACTTTGCCACTGAGCGTGACCTTGAGGGTCCTCATCCACTTCATCTCCTGTCTCCATCAATCGTGTCTCTCAGAAGCTAGCATCTGCCACTTTATATGGCCGTAACATACGTAATACCGCAGTAGACGATCAAGCTCGTGTTAGAGATCAAAGAGTGAGAGGAGGGAGAGAACACTCTGACTCGGTTGGGCCAAATACGGGTCTGATTGATCATCCGGACATTCATCCAAATCGTCGAAATCTTCCAACATCCATCACTTCCACTTACCTTTGTCCTATTGTATCACCTTGCTCCGTCACCACTTCGTTTCTCCATCTTTCCCTCTCATCCCTCATCACCCTTTTCTTACCTTCAACATGCAAGGCGAAACCCCTCATTTAACTCATGCTCACCCATGGGCTCACGAATTCATTTGTTGCGATACTGAGCACGGCGCTTCCCCTTCAACCCCAAATCAAAAATCTTCTCTCTCTTCACTCCACCCATCCCCAGCTGTCCAACATCCAGTCTCAAACGCGATCCTGGACCACACTTCATCCCGAACGTCTCATGAAGATGAGGTCAATGTAAATGGGAAGATGGCTATGGGTGAGATGAACGAAGCTTGTCCGATGGAAATATATTGTTGTAATGATATTTATTGCGAAGCGGAGTGTGATGGAGATTGTACATCGGGATTGGAATGTTGTACGGATCTTACTCCACAAGCAGAGTGTGATGCTTGTGCTCATCATGAGGGTGTGAAGGAGGAAATGGGGGATTTGGAGAAATGGGCATGTACAGCAGAGGGATGTAAAGCTATACAGCAATATGTGGGTTCTTTCGCTTCTCTGTACTTTTCGTATGTTTCACTTCCTATCTGACTCTTGTTTCCCCTTTTTGAAGATTTTCCAATCCATAAGCATCGTCTCATCCTGGCCCCTCTAAGCTGATCCAGACTCCATGCTCGCTGCTGGAGGAAATCTTGTCTATGTGGGAACTGATCCAAACCAGTTGGAATGCTGCACTCAAGCCGATTGTGGTCTACCCATCATCGACCCACCACCTCACTCCCATCATACAGTCCCACAAACTATACCAATGCCTCTTTCGCAAGATTATCATTCTAACGTCACCGTTCATATACATCCTCGACATGTCCCATCCGACTTGGCTAGCCATTCTCAGCAACATATCCACGACGTCTCTTCGCATCAACATCCGTTTCCATTCAACACCAGCTCGACAACCCTGCCTACCCACGATCACCAACAATGTCATACATCTCCCGACAACATTTTAGCGACTACATTGGCTGCACATACTTGTCATTGGCAGAATTGTCATCAAGTCTTCGCTTCTATGCCAGACCTTTTAGCTCATGTAGCTTCAGACCACCTTGGCGCTCCTGGATTCCCCCCTATCACACCGATCGCCACTGCACCCGTCGTGTGCAACCAAAACCAGCCTGTTCAGTTGTCCACTCAGTCTGCTGAAGACCAACTGCTGTCTTGTTTATGGGACGACTGTTTCCCTGTTGAGACTCATCCTGAGCCGGCTCAATCTCTTCCATCATCCGACATAGACATGTCCGGCTCAAAAGCTCTATCTACGCAAATCGGACTCGAGACAGGAGTATACCCACAGCACATGTCACATCAAAACACGCACGAGCATACGAATAGTAACGGGGAACCGTTCTCCCCTCAGACGATACTTCGTCATGTTTTGGAAGAACATCTCGGGATCCCAGGGGAGATTATAGGATGGGATTCCGTCCCTATATCACCTATAGAGCTCGCTCAACCTTCCAACCAAATACCTCAACATCATCATCATTTACATTCCCCTCACTCTCATTCACATCCACATTCACATACACACTTACCAAGTAAATCAGAGGACCATTCCTCACCACTCATCAATCAAGTTCTAAAGAATCAGCTTGCCAACGCTTCATCTCGTCTGTTGGGTCATCCCACTCGTCAGAAGAATGACATCAAAGGGAATGGCTCACAAAATCAACTACCAACCCCAGAACCATCCACCAATCCTCCCTCTCCTCACTGTTCTCATATATGTCAATGGGCCAACTGTCATCATGACCCATTTGAGGATCCCGCGAGTCTCATGGAACATCTTACAGAGGTACACGTGGGGAGAGGAAAGGATAGCTATATTTGTCAATTTGGCGAATGTGGTCAAGAAGGACGAAAGTTCAGTACGAGACAAAAAGTTTTAAGACATTTACAGAGTCATACGGGGCATAGACCCTACGTGTGTCAGATATGTGATCAAGCGTTTAGTGAGCCGGCACCATTGGTCGCTCATATGAGGAGACATGCGAAAGAGAGTGAGTGTTATTCATTTTTCGTGACACCACAATTTCAATTATGATGCCATAAGAGGGGAAATGATCTGACGACAGAACCATTCCGGTGTGAACACCCAGGGTGCGGGAAAATATTTGCTATAGCTTCTTCACTAATCATTCACATGGTCAGTCTTTTGTCTCCCTTCCCTATGTCTCTCCCTACAGTACATCGAGAACAATATTTTCGCACGTTCATGAAGCCACCTGCTTTTCTCTCATTCCTCCCATTTGACGATCTCCATCAGACAGGACAACTGACCAGCAGCGCACGCATAGCGGAGACAAACCATGCATATGTCCATACTGTGATAAAAGATTTGTGGAAGCTTCCAACCTTACGAAACATATCCGTACTCGTGAGTGCGTTATTCGAAGATGATATCTCAGCTGACCGATAGACACCGGGGAAAAACCTTTTCATTGTCCTCATCCTTCGTGCGGTAAACGTTTCGCTCGACCGGATCAAATGAAACGTCATATGATAGTGCATGATACGAATAGAAAGCGTGTCAAAATATGATAAATCAGTATACAAGTATGCATTCAAGAGGTCTGTCGTGACAAGTGGTTTGACTTAGTTGGCAATGGCGGACGAGGGTGCCACATGCCACGTAAAGTGCCACAATAACATATATCGGAGATTCGGCATTTTTCCCTTAGGTCGTCGATTGTCGTCTGCTTTCCATCCTTGCGCGTGCACCAACCCACGGGTCAGTGTTGACTTTGCTCAATCCCATCGGACAGACCCAACCACCTAGTCTTCTTCATCCTCCCTCTAATCATCTGATATTCTCCCTCTCAGCTGATGCCTGACTGACCATAAACAATAGCAGTTGCCAATGTTTGTTTTCCCTATTCGGCGTTTGGAGCTCTTGACCGGTCAAGCCGCATGGACCCCAACCCCAACGCCCCGAGCGTCCTTTGAACAAAGGCCCCTTTGGAGCCGTTTTCGTGTTTCATCTCACGTTTTCCTTCAGCTAACTCAACATCTCCTCTTTGACCACTTCTTTCTCTTTCTCATCATTGACTTCGACTTTCATATTCGATCTGAATACTACTCACGCTCTTTTCAAACCTACATATTGTTGATACCTTTTTGCCCCCCTTTCGAACTATTTACATATCTCATAAACCTACATAGTGGATCTTTATAACCCAACACGAATCTCGAACCTCCTTTGACTTTCACCCTTATATCCCACTCTTCGTCATATTCCCAATATCCCATTCTATAACCATACGAAACACCTCAAACGACAAAAACGGACGAACGACGATTATACCAAGAGAGAATAAACGATATTCCTGTAGAAAGTTATAAGATAAACGCGAGAAACAACCATCACGAGCAATGTTGATTCGATCCCTTTTCGCCATCCTTCCTCTACTCCCACTCTCATTGGCAAGTCATCAGAATCCCAGACATCCTAAACGTTCTCATCACGGACTACAATTATTGGATCGAGATGCGGATTTGACACCTAGGAACGTGAGCTTATTGGAGGAAAGAGGACAGACGTTTTATGGTACAGGAACGTATTTTTTTGTCGGATTAGGAGCTTGTGGTCAGTATTCTAATGATAATGATTGGATGGTTGCGCTGAGTGAGTTATTTCTCCTGTTTCTATCCATCTCCTGTCAATGGATGGTTGCATATGAATTGGGGTGGTTTTGACGGGTACATTGACTTTTTGGGGGTATGGGTATGAAGTTCGATGGTCTCGTACATCCAAATCTCCAAGGGTTGCTGGTGGTATAGACAAATTTCTCCATACTGAAGGTCTTTGGAATTCTATCAGGTATCAGGAGAAATACGTTCCCAGAGTATGGAAACCCCTTCAGAGTTGGATGGCCTACCAACACAAGTCTATGCGCGTCTAAGAGTCCTTTGGGTATTGAGAGTCGTCCTGCGTCGATGTTCATCTCCGTTAGATATGACGAGCAAGGAATTTGGTTTCATTGGTGGTGACGAGGAATGAAAAGATCAAACGCTGACCTACAGATTCATTAAGTTATGGCGGTGGCTGTGAGTCAATTTTCAGTTCCTCAAAATGTCTACCCAGTAAATTGACGCGTAGATCCTGGACCTCAATGCTTCAAATATATTTGTATAGAAGCCAATGGTCAGACCAGATGCGGTATTGAAATCCTCGGTCAGTTCACATTCTGTTGTTACTTTGCAAGATGATTGGAACTGACAGAGGTCAGATGAATGTCCGACGTGTTACAATGCTGGAGATCTTGATCTGTCTCCTGGACTCTTCCAACAATATGCCAATACGGATGCTGGAACTATTCAAATGACTTGGTGGTATCAGGATGATGTGAGTTTAAATCAAGTTGTTTCCTCATGTCCTCTTGGTTTCTTGTCGTACTCTCCTCTTGTCCTCTTGGCCTCTTGGCCCGTTCTCGGACACGCGTATTTGTAGACGTTATTTTCTCCATCGTCAAGGCCACGATTCGCATCTTACTGTATAACCTCTTGAGACCAGTTTCTGCTTGGACCTTGAGACCTTGAAGTCATATCGAATTGACGCCGAATTGCATACTGACGCAACAAGGGCCCAACATCGTCAAACACCCCAACACCTACATCCACATGGCAACCACCAACCTCAACCTCAACGTGGCAAGCTCCCACTACGTCCAGTACGACAACTTGGTCACCTTCACCATCCTCCACCACATCGACCACTCCGACATCCACCACATGGTCATCAAGCACAACAGCACCTCCTTCTACCATCACATCGTCGACATCATCATATTCTTCCAGTTCGAGCAGTAACAGTACCAACCCATATGCCATTATCAACAACGTGAGCGATACATCATCCAGTGTGAGCGCGAGCGCCAGTGCAAGTGCCTCATCTTCAACCGATGGAGACACGGGAGAGACGCCGCAAATCACATACGAGGTACAGGGGAATTTATTGTTGATCAATGGCCTCGTGGCGAATGTAGGGGGATTGATGGTCGCTGCTGCGGGTGGAGTTTAGAGTGGAGGAGTGAGTGATAGGGTGGAGTGATAGGGTGATGTTATAGTGTCATTGAGGGGAGATAGTGAAGTGAAGGTGTGGAGGAACGTCATTGAGGATCGGGTATCCGTGATGACGTAGATTTATCTTCGGATGTATGAGACGTTTACTATTCCCCTGGGATTAACCTGCGGCTTGATATACGATCCCTCATGCTAAGTGATCCGTACTCGCCCTACAACTCATGACTTGCTGCGTGCGCCATGTATGTTCATGTTCCGATCTGCGATAGGAAGCTTGTGGCATTTGGTTGATCTTTGTCTTTGTCTTATCTTCCTTCGTACTGCGAGTTTTGAACGGAGGTATTTGATAGTTCGGAACCGATAACCGCAGAATAACGCCGCAAAGTACTTCCACTGCGCGCTACGCATCTTCTCCATCTCCGGTCGCGGTCCGAAGCCGGAACGCTGTACGTTTTCGGTCTTCGTCTTCTTCTTCCTCTTCCTATCGGCATCATGTTCCTTCTGCCCAATATCCATCGGACCAACTTGATCCACAGGGACCATGGATCCACAGAATATTGACTGACCAGCGATTCGTTCGTTCCGCAATGAAGACCGCCGGGTGCTGAAACATCCCTTCAGTGACCTCCACTCATTTGACCATACGTCCACCTGAAGATCTTCCTTAAACTGCGTATGAACCCCATGATCGACGTCAAGACCTTTGAACGTGTTATGAATTATCCCTCCTCATCTTTCAAATTTGGGTTCGAGATCTACCTATAAGCCGGATTACCGATTCATTTCCATTTCTTTAATCGACCTATTTCCCAACTCAATCTCCGCCCGAACCTAAGGCACTTATGATACCGTGACGCCGACAATCATCTATCTGATTTAATCTCTTAGACGTATCCATTCATCAGTCAATCCCTCAATAACCTCATACCTTATCACCTGAAGACCTTTCTTCTGTTCTTAAGATTCAAGAGTTACACAGCGGTCATTTCTTTTTCCTCACGAGAATCACCCACTTTAACACCCTTCAACAACTAACACAAGGATTTGAGTGGGATACACTAGGTTTTGACAAGTATGGGTAATAACAAGATGGATAGGTCATTCTTATCTGCCAACATTCCAGATTTGGTGGGACGATTGACAATGGAAGAGAAGATATCATTATTGGCAGGAGAGGATTTTTGGAGGTAAGTCTTTCCAATTCTCTATCGCTAATCCTTCTTGTCTACGTCTGAATTCCTTCTTTCCCTTTCGATCTTGTTCATCATGGTAACTTTTGGTTGGTTTTATGGTGCCACAGGAAGCTGCAGTCGGTATCACCAACGATATGGATGACTCTTGAATGAATGTTGACATACAGCACCGTTCCCATCCCTCGACTCAACATTCCAAAGATAAAAATGTCAGATGGACCCAATGGCGCTCGAGGAGAATCGTTCTTCAAGATGAGTGAGCTCTCTTTCCAATTTACTAATACTCAATAACTTACCTTTCAGCTCCCGCGGTCGCAGCACCCAATGCCACATGTCTCGCTGCAACCTTTTCCACCTCCCTCGTTCGTTCTTGCGCCCAACTCCTCGCTGCTGAGACAAAAGCCCGCAACGCTGTCTGTGAGCTTAGCTCCCACTATCAACATTCAACGTTCACCTCTAGGTGGACGAGCATTCGAATCTTTCTCTGAAGATCCTACTCTCTCTGGTCTCCTCGCAGCTGCCTATGTCGATGGACTACAATCGTCTGGCGTGAGTGCCACCATCAAACATTTCGTCGCGAACGATCAAGAGGATGATCGAATGGGTGCCAATTGTATAATCTCCCCTCGAGCTCTACGAGAAATATATCTTCGTCCATTCCAAATCGCCCAAGCTCGATCTAAACCATGGGCGTATATGACAGCGTATAGTAAGATTAACGGGATTCATTGTTCGGAGAACGAATGGCTCATCCAAGATTTATTGAGGAAAGAATGGGGACATGAAGGAATGGTCATGAGTGATTGGTATGGAACTTATTCCGTCTGTGAAAGTATAAACGCTGGATGTGATCTTGAAATGCCAGGTCCGACAGTATGGAGAGGTCAACAACAAGTTGGACATTTGATCATGGCTCATAAGATTGATCCGAGGACTATTGATAGGAATGCTCAACGTGTGTTGGAGTGGGTTCAACGTTGTGCTAGGATGAACGAGGATTTGGTGTACGCACCACCAAAGGAGGAGAGGAGTCGGACGGAGAACAAAGAGGAAGATGCGAAATTGCTTCGACGGATCGGTGCGGAGGGAATAGTGTTATTGAAGAACGAACAAGATATCTTGCCTATTGAAGGGAAACGGAAAGTTGCGATCATTGGTCCCAACGCGAAATCTAAAATCCTCACAGGTGGTGGTTCTGCTCTTCTTCGAGCAGCCTGGGCTGTCACTCCGTGGCAAGGTCTGGAAGATAATAAACCTTCAGAAGTGGAATTAACTTATTCATACGGTTGCACAGGGACGAAATACCTTCCCGTTTTAGACGAACACTTTACCTGTATCGATGGTTCTCCAGGGTTCAATCTTTCACATCACAACATTGTTGACGGGGTTCAAAGTGAAAAACCTCACGTAGTGGACAAATGGGATTCAAGCGATATGTTCATGGGTGATTATTCTCCACCTGGATTACAACGTCCATTCGTCACTGAACTTCGAGCCATATTCACTTCTCCGATCGACGGCGAATACGATTTCGGTCTAACCGTTACCGGACGTGGTTGGTTGTATCTTGATGATCAACTAGTCGTCGATAATTCGAGCAATCAACAACGTGGTGAAGCTTTCTTCGGTTCTGGCACTGTGGAACGGGTTGGCAAAGTCCGTGTTCACAAAGATCAAAAATATATCCTTCGAGTGATACATGATGGTCGGAAAGAAATGTCTGGACATGGTGCTGGTGATCCTAATCCTTTCCCAGCTTCTGGTTTGAGAATCGGTGCTTTTCCAAGTTCAGACCCAGAAGAAACAATGCAACAAGCTGTGGATTTAGCGAAAGAATCCGATATAGCTATAGTGGTTGTTGGACTTAATTCCGATTGGGAATCTGAAGGTTATGATCGACTCAACTTGTCATTACCATTACGACAAAACGAATTAGTAACAAGGATATCAGCTGTGAATCCAAATACCGTCGTCGTCGTTCAAGGAGGTTCGGCGGTAAGTATGCCTTGGAAAGATGAAGTGAAAGGAATAATACATTGTTGGTATGGTGGTAATGAAGCTGGTAATGCCATTGCGGATATTTTATATGGATCAGTCAATCCTTCTGGAAGATTACCGATTTCGTTTCCGGAAAAAGAAGAAGATATAGCTGCGTGGACAGGTAGAAGAAGTCAAGGTGGGGAAATAAGGTATGAGGAAGGTATTTGGGTTGGATATAGATGGCATAACGTTAGAAAGATTAAACCATTATGGGCGTTTGGATATGGTTTATCTTATACTTTTTGGGAATACCAAGATCTTTCCGTCACTTCACACGTCAAAGAGAGAGATTTAGATAGTGAGAATAAACTTGAAGTAGGGAATGAAGGAAGAATTGGAAGGTTGGAAGTTGGAACGAAGAAGGTCACAGTAGATGAATGGAGGTTAAAGGTGAGTGTTAAAGTCAAGAACATAGGAAAAAGAAAAGGAGATCATTCTGTTCATTTTTATTTTTCTCCACCGGAAAGGAAAGGAATGGGGTTGGAACATCCTCAATGGACTTTACAAGGGTTCGGAAAGGTTTATGGAGTGGGATCGGGAAAAGAGGAATTGGTAGAGGTGGAATTTGATAAATGTGAGTTTTGTGACTTTCCTTTTCTCCCTTCATTACTTACCCATCGTCATTCGTACCTACATTTTCTCGCCCCTTTCATAGTCCGAATGTCTGATTTCTTACCAAAATGTTGAGACCTTTTCCCTTCTCCCACCTTCTAACCCTTCTTTCTATACTCTTCTTTTATCGGAGATTTCTGAAATCTCGAAATTTCCTCACTTATTATATTTCCCAATACGCTCGTACTCACTTCTTCTTTCATCGAACTGTATGGGCCAATATGAATTGTGAAAATCGAGGATTCGAAATAGGCGAATCGACATCTTGGAAGTGGCTGATTTCAGATGCCATTTCACATTGGGATCCAATTCATGATGTTTGGCGTGTAGAGAAAGGAGAATGGATAGTGAGAATAGGAATAGATTCTCAGACCATGTGGGGGAAAGAAACGTTTGTGATAGATGAAGATATGGAGTGGGTTGGGGTTTGAGAAGGTAGTAGAACAGGCATTGTGTTATAGAATACGAATGTAGCTACAAATATACCAAGGATCGATACCCTTGAATTGGAATGCGGAACATGGATTCCACTTTATGAGCCTAATGATCAGATGAAAAATAGCACCAGAGATTCGGAGACAGCTTGACCTGGGTATACATACATGATGGGGAGCAGAATCCAAGTGTGAGTCGGAGATCTCGAGGATCTCGAGGAGTGGTGAAAAGATGCAGTGGGATAAGGTGCAAAAGTCGCGACTGATTTCTTTCTTCTCTCGTCATTCGATCATGTTACTCTTAGCACTAACCACATCTGTTCTTCATCTTTCCGCCGTATCCACCGACCACAAAAGTTCCTCCAATCCCTACTCAACTCTAATGCATATTGACCACGAGCTTGTTGCTGAACCCCATTTCCTCGTCGAGTTCCGAGGACCAATCTTCCTGGTTTGAACAGATTCCCCAATTTCTCGGCACAACAACCAACGACCAACGAATATACGGTATCATCTCAAGTAGTTTACATAACGAACAAAACGTGTTTTCATGACATAAGATTCTCTCACCTATAAAAACGAAACCAAACAATCGATCGAATCATGTATCTCGCCATATCCATATCCATAGAACGGAAGAGTGATCGAATGTCTAGAATCGATGACACACACATGGATCATGGAAGAAGATTTGATACATTCCGACCGTATCATCTTTGTTTTCTTATCATTCTGTCTCCTACTTGATATCTTCACACATTCCTTCACTTTCTCTCTGTGTATTGTAATCTCCTCAAACCTGTTTCGTCTCTTGTACCTTGTATAACACACACTTGCCTTCTCAGTGCTTTGAATTTATCTTCACTGATTGTTTCTTCTTCCCTCACTAGGTTTTCCGACTTGTGTCAGTTGGTTCCTTAGTTTTGTCGGGTCACTTGTTCTCTTGACGACGTTCAGTCCCCTAGGTTCTTTCTTCTTCCTTCCTGAAATATCCTTATCTCTTCTTACGCTCCAAACAGATCACAAATCTCACCAGTTAACCTCCGGGTATCCTATTTCTGCCATTTGCCCGCTCTCTCTTTACTTGTAGAACCCGTCTTGGAAGGTCACAGATTTCGTCCTCAATCCGTATCGACAACATACCACCGGTCCTTGCCGAGTACGACCTCAGAAACATGTCCATTTCCTCGGGTCAACCTCGAAACTTTTCTCCCCATCTCACTCTTCAACCTCTCACTTTTGTCCCCTGGCCACCAGGTCAAGAGACAGGTACTGTCCGATGGACATGGCCTTCTTGTCCATACAACAGAATCCGAACTTACGGTACGTCCATCCAAGAACTCCGAACTTCCGCTTGGTGGTCAAAAGAGAAAACGCAGTTATCATCATCGGTTTCAGAAGAAGATTTAGCTTCGTATTGGAATGGAAAGGTGGTCGAGAGGGATGTGAAATTACCTGAGAGTCTTGTATCTGCAAGGGTAAATACGGATGATGAAGAGAATCAATTATTTGGTGATACTGCTTTAACGTGTTATACTTCTCAAGGAAGGGAAGTTTTGGTTGTCCAAAAGAAAGATAATACGCTTTTGGCTAGGATTATCGATGGGGATGAAGGTTGGATACCGGCTAAATTGCGTTGGGTCGAATTGCAGAATATCGTTCTGAACGATGTCAAAGCGAGGAATGAAGCTGAAGAAGAGGAAGAAGAATCAGGTGAGTGTCCTTTCCTTCGACATCGATTATCATTTCTTACCTTATGACTGTCGAAGAAGGAAGAGTTCGCTTGATGAGGGTTATGTTTGCGAGGCTATGTTTCACCTGGTCATAAGTCATATCAGCGTCGTCAGCGACTATGATGGGACCATGGGATGACACGGTAAATGTGAACAATGCTTACGTTGACAGATGAAGAATTTATGAGTGCTCATTCGGATCTCAGCCCTTTCATCACAGTCTGGACGGAGAAAATTCATAAATCGCCTCAGAATGAACCGAACATTCCTCCTTCCCCACGTACATCCCCAGTCCTTTCGTATACCCACCAGTCGGAAGACCACATTGTCCCACTCTGTCTGACAATAGCGAATGACAGCAATCTGGTGAGGGGAGATTTGGAGAGGGCGGAGAATCCAAACCCAAGTGTGATGTCGGATGAAACAGCGATGCCGAACATGAGTGTGAACACTCACCAAATTCTACACGACACGACGATGACCTTCATCCCATCCGATCCCATTGCCTCTACTTCGAAAATCAATTTGAACATGTTAGGAACGAGTGAAAGTTGTTCCAGAGTCAATAACGGTTTCAACACGTTTGCGTCCATTGGTTTCCCTACATCCAATTCGATAGCGAGTACGAGCATGGTAGGATTTAGACCTTTGTACCAAGGAAATTCCAGTCGGACTTTGATGGACACATCTTCAACTCTGGCCACTATGACTCAAGCGGGGAGTATGGCATTTCCTAAGGGTATCAGTAGTCAAACATTACTTTCTGCCAACGCCGCACCTTTCCTTCCATCTGTATCTCGTTCGAATTCCGAAGACGCTCGGATAAATCCACAATCCAATTGGAACTTTGTCCATACAGCAGAAGCGGCACCCGATGACTATGCGCAGCGTCTGGGGACGAGCACGAATACAAATGTGTCATCTTTCAATAACCTCCAAAACATGGTGACTGGCTTTGGAGTCAATTCGTACCGGACGAAACAGGCATACCACATGCCGAACCGATTATCTATCAGTAGACTTCCACCGAGATTTCAACCTACTCAGATGGCACAATTCCAAGTTCTATCAGACCCTTCCCTTCCTCCTCAATCAGCAACTGAGAATGGACAAGCGCCATCAAGACCTTCATATCTCGAATGGTCCAATGGAGGTGATGGAGATGAAGGAGACTTAGATATCAACCAAGCCGATTTTTACAAATCACCAGGTCGTACGTCGATATGGACACCACGGAACAGCGAGCTCGACCGATTAGGTATGAAGAGATGGTTGAGGAAGGTCGGTTGGTCTTTAGGAGGTTTGCCTCTCCCTGGCGAACCACTGAAAGAGGGAGAGGTCTCATCTTTACCTACGGGATATATCGGCGTAGTCATGGATTATGAACGCAAATGGATGGCAGGGGTTATCCGAGAAGAGTTGAGGAGAAGTGAAGCGGCACAGGGACGGGTGTGGGAGGATGAAGATGGTAAAGATACGGTGGTCAATGGACTCAGTCTGGTGATGGGACGCTGGTGGTGATCCTCTTTGCAGAACTAGAACTCGGGATTGGTTCTGAAGGATTGTTGGTGCTGCATACCATGATGGTTTGCTGGTTTCTTGGTCAAAAATAAGTACTCTACTCGTAGCTATGTTGTAGTGGCATGTGGGAAATGTTGTCTTGAAATGCCACAAACGTTTTCCCGCGGCTTGAAACAGGGTACGACGGTGCAGGGGCCCCAGGATTTAAACCAGGCGAACCGGGCGCGAAAACCAGCTCAGGGGGAAAACCAGGGGTTTTTTGCTGTGCCCAAATCTTGGTTTCCTAGTTTTCATCTGGAAGTCTCTCCCGCGCTCGGACTTTTCGTAGTCTAGTGAGTTTTCATGGTGGTTTTCGTCTGTTGTGGGCGTTGGGCGTTGCGTCTAGGCGATCAATCGTTTACTTGATACTTTTTGGTATACCTTTACTCTCCTCGTTCTTTACCACTTTCCAATTACCTCTTACCACCTGCCTCTCACACCTCTCTCCAACCCTTCTACTGTCTCTCCAGGATATGCCAGGCGTCGTCGACATATTTTTGCTACACAACTATACGACTCCTTTTTTTGATTGCACCCCTTTACCTCCGACACCCTGAGTGAATAAAGCTTAGCTTCTTGTCTCTCTCCGGTACCTTTTTTCCCACCCACTACCTCCTCCCTTGTCGCGCCAACCTCACCCCTTCTTTACCCCCCCGGCTCTCGGTCTCCCGACGGATTGACCGTCACCCCATCACACAGCCTTTACCCAACCGTCATGCCCCTCTTGGTTCCACGATCCCGTCCTTCTCAATCTTCTGCTTCTTCTTCGACTCCACCACCTTACTCTCCATCTCCTCCTTCCTCCCCTCGACATTCCACCACGGTAACGTATCCCTACCCTCATTCCCGATCTCGACAGACGTCCGTGTCCGTCAGTTTCGAAGCTCCAGACGGTGTCGGTGTGAGCGTCAACACCCAAGTCCGACTGACCGCTCCTAGGATCATCGAGCCAAGTTCCACTTCATATCCAAGACGACGCGTGTCACTTTCCGTCACTTCTCACTCGACTTCTCACGGTCCTGGTCCAGGATCATATTCACAGCCACACCCCGGGTCAGTGCGTAGACGACGAAGGACAATGTCTATCACACTGGCACGACCCAGCATGTCGAGGACGAAGAAGACGGCTATCGTCTTTCTGGTCTTATTGTCACTCGTGTTGATAGGAACGGTAGTGGTGCTCAGTACCGTGTCTTACTATCTTGCTATACCCACCATGGCATATCTGACTGAGGAAGAAGTACCATGGAGAGCAGAGGATGTCATTGGTCCACTTCGAAATTCGGACATGCCCCAGATCCGCGCTGAACATCCTACCATAGGACGATTCTCAGAAGAGGAGATGACAGATGGTGACGAAGTTGAAGGGGAGAATGGGTATGATGAAGAACAGCAATGGGAGGATGAGATGTGGGGACCGGACGGAAAGGGTACAGGAGGTTATTGGATGAGAGCAGGTTGGGAAGGTCAAGTACAAGGGACTGATTCTTGGCAGAGATTGTTCAATGTCACGACGAGGTGAGTACCATCGAACGTCGATCCCTTCCCCGATAGCGATTAACATGATCGCCCCACTGTGTTCACCATCCTTCCATTCTTCTCTCGTCCTTTATCCAGTATCGTAATGATATTATCAGACCCGTTCGTCGGTAACAATCGTGCTGATTTTCAGACCTGGAGAAAAGATCCCCCGTCTCATTCACCAAACATGGAAGAATGATCAGCTTCCTGAAAAATGGCGTGAAGCATGGAAAGAATGTCGAGAGGGAATGCCAGATTACGAATACATGTTGTGGACCGACGATCTGTCGAGAGCTTTCATCGCTGAATATTATCCATCCCAACTGCACATGTTCGACAGTTACAAGTACCCAATTCAGAGAGCCGATTCTATCCGATATTTCGTCTTGAACCATTTTGGCGGTGTATACATGGATCTAGATATTGGATGTCGGCGTCGTCTTGATTCCCTGCTAAGAGGTGATTGGGAAGTAGTATTGCCAGTTACCAAACCTGTCGGAGTGTCAAACGATTTGATCTTGTCAAGCAAGGGGTCAGCTTTCATGGATGATACTGTTCATGCCTTATCGGCTTTCAATCATGAGTACTTGACAAATTATCCTACAGTCATGTTTTCGACTGGGTGAGTGCATGTTTCTCCTACTTTGACTCTCTTCCTGTCGATGCTCTCTCTCCGACCATTCCTGCCTTCTGTCCTCCCGCCTCTTTGACCTCTTCACCCTCAGTCGCCTAGGACACTTGATATCTTTTACGTTCCTACTATCGAAGAATCAGAGTTTCCGGGATAAACCTGCTGTACACATGACCCTCACTGACGCTCAGCCCGATGTTCCTCTCAGCCCAATACGCAATCTATTCCTCCGCCCACCCCCTCACCCCCACTCGTCCTCGAGCCCAAGTCCGTATACTTCCCAAAACACTCTACGGTAAAAACGCCGCTCCATCCTCTGTGCCCCACTCGTTCTTCTCCCATTACTACGGCTCCTCCTGGCATTCGGACGATGCAGGCTTCATCACTTTCCTCGGTAAATGGGGTAAAAACCTCATGTATCTTTCTTTCATCGTCATCCTAATCGGTGCCATTCGTTTGGTCTACCAGCGTTATCGATCATCTTCAAACGAATATCAACTCGTTTCACTCCTCCCTATTTCCCTTCCCAACGTTGGTGTTTCTCTTCCTGACACTCATACCACATCTGGTACTAGTACACCTACTACACCTCCTACTTCCCGTTCCACGCTCACTTCTTCTACTTCTGCCACTTCCGAAGGTCCTTTTTCACCCACATTGGATTTAATCACTTCCGATCGATTACCAAGTGAAATAGCCAGTGCTTTCAGACGTGCTGGACATTTGATCTTGGCTGCACCTGCTACTTTGTTAAGTAGGACGGGTAGGAGAAAAACAGGTTTATTATATTACGTTCCTGCATTGTTTCAACCCACTCAAACTTCAAGAAGAGGTAGAACAGCTTCTGAAGCTTCTCAATTACCATTAAGAACACCTAAAAGACAAAGAAGTGATCCTCCATCACATCATTATCAACAACCTCGACCGACATCCCCATCTCAATCCTCCAATCAATATTATCAGACGCAAATGAAATCAGGAGGACAATACGATGATGGTAGTAGTCCTTCTCGTGTTCGAACTCAACGGACAGAAGCTCCACCACCATACGATCCACACGAATTGCAATCACGACAGAGAGAAGAGAATAAAGTGGAGAATGACGCAGAGGAAGAGAAAGATACATTGTTAAGATCTGTTGATGGTTTGGAAAGAACAACCGATCAAAGTGGTTCTCACGATGATTGGGATAGATCACAAAGATGGAGTCAAGATCAAAACACGCATGGTGATGATACTTAGATTTAAGATGATTTTTCATCTTTGAGGAATACTTGAGATCCTCTATACACGTGGGAGGGAATTTTGTATATTATTGTCAAGATGATATAGGGACTATGCATCCCGATAGGACTTTAATTGATATAATTTGAGATTCAAGACTAAGATAATGATACTGTCCCTTTCATCGCAATCTTTCCTGTACACGATCTTTCGTTGTTTTCACATCTTCGTTCACCGTACGACTTGACTACACACTGACAGAAAATATCATCTATATACTTTGTTCTTTGTTAATTCCCTCTAGTCTCAGATTGCGGGATGTTGTTGTCTCCATACCTCAAAAACGCGACTAGGCTTCCCATGAGAGATCCACCATGGAAGGACGACCTCATCTACTATTTGACTATAAATGGCATGGGCTATATCGACATTGACCATGTTACCGAGCATGGTATCTTGCTTTCAAGTCAGCAAAAGGTCCGAATACCGTCATACTAGAAGAGTTGATTGTAGCAAGTAGACTAGGTTGTATGTAAGTGCATAGAAACAGATGACAAGTGGACAGATGGACAAGAGGATAAGAGGGGCAAGAAATGAATAACGCCAAAGTATGTAACGACTCACCTCCTTTACATTTCCCTGTAATTTATAATCATCTGGCACACCTTGAATCCGTTTTCTTTCCGCTATAGTGAATGTCCTCTTTTGCTATTAATCAGCGTCACGCTCTTCTCATATTTCAAATCAGCGAGTTTGTGAAGTGAAAGTGCAGTGGTCAGATAATGATGGATGAGCAGTGAAGGAATGAACACTTTCGAATTCGACTGAGAGGAATTTGAATACAAGAAATACGAAAAAAACTCACATTCCAATGAATCGGACCTGTATATCTTCGTCCAACGCCCGAATCAGTCATAAGAGCGAAAAAACCTCCAGATGGATCTGTCATCCTTTTAGTACCCGATTCATCTCCTAGCCCCCGACCTGTGAATTGACGAGCTTCATATATTCTTCGCAATCAGCTCTATATTATTCGACAATTTGAGGCCAGAATGCAGGATGGAAAATTGATCGTGTAGGAAAGATGAAAGGAAAAATAACGTACTGATCAAGTGCCATAGGTCCATGAGAACGAGTGTAATGATCTGTTACAGTGTCCGATCCAGGTGAACCACGTTTGGACAGTTGATATGTGTTTGCAGCTACCGTAGCGTATGGGACGGGACGGTTAAACCCGACTGGAAGTCCCGATATGCAAGGAAAAGTGGCTCGACCGTGACGAGGGAGGTGTCTGGGACTGCTTGACATTAGTCTCTGTTACACATTCCTGAGTGGGAAAGGGGATGGGGAGAAAGTAGAGACGATGGGGAGGGTGGAGAAGAGAACTCGCTGTTGCGTATCGAATGCTGAGATCAGCGGTTTTCCGGATGTGGTTTCAAGCTATTAATCTTGTATCACATACAGAGACGTGGGGCTGAAAAAGGTATAGGGCATGGAAAGAAGGGAGGTAGGAGAATGAGGAATCAGATATACATATTGAAACGAGACAGAACCCTGACTCACCTGGAAAGTCCGAAATGGCTTCCTCGGCAGTCAAAGCCATCATAGGTCCCGATCCCGGAGTACCTAATCCTACGTAAAATCCAGGATGTTCGTCATCCGACTCCACAGTGAAGACGCTGACCTGTACGCGGGGGTTAGAATGAGTCGGGGCAGGGAAGTGTGGCATGGTCACACCTCTTTTCGCTGCTATGATGAATAACCTCAGACGGTTTTGAGGACTTCCGTACGCTCTACTATCAAGTAAAGCGACTCTGCATTGATAACTGCAAGGTCAGTTTCAGATAGCTTGATAACTGACATATATGAGGACTCACTTGAGACCCAACAGACGACGAACGGCCTCACGGGCGAAATTCTTGGTTTCCTTCGTGTCCATATCATCCCCGGAATCCAATCGTTCATACTTCATCCCCGGTACATTCTCCAACATGAACACATCGGGACGAAAATGCTCAACAGCTCGAATGGCGTTGAAAAGCTCGTCATTCCTATGATCCTCCCTTTTACGTTGGATGTTGGCGTGAGAATGTCCTTGACTATTGTTCAGCCACGAATCTGAAGGATAGACATGATAAGGACTGACCAAGGGGGACATGCGGTAAGACAGAAAATGTATCCCGGGGAAGGAATGTCCAAAGCTCCTCTAGGTCCAGGACGCATACCGTTCTTGGCTTCGACCAAGAATTCTTCAACCGTCTTTCGATAGATTTTCATATGGGGATTGTGTGTCTTGTTCTGACTATGACAATGAGCTTCGACCATTGCTGAATGAGATCTGAAGACAGCTGAGAGGTAATATGGCGAATTCAGTATGACAAGGAAGAACCCACCGGACCGTCTCGTGACATGCCTGCTCCGACTTGCTAGGATCCCGATCCACCACTGCTCGGAGATCCCAGATACCTCTGGCACCCAGTATACTACCCCCTCCCCCGCAGTATAAATCGATTGCCGGCATCTTCTGATTTGCCAATACCTCCCGTCGGTCAGAGCCTTTATTGAGAGCCGCGGTCAAACAAGTTTTACAACTGATAGTAAAGGTATACGGCTCAATCGTATCGACAGGGTTCGTCTCGGCTGAGGCTCGTTCTCGACAGAAAAACCCTAATTTTATTATCTTGGCTTCATCCTCGGTAGTGACAACGTGGGCTTTTCCGGTGATCAAGGAGAAGGGGACACTTTCGATCTTATCCGTCATGACGAGTCTTTTCTGTCCGTCAGTTTACCACGAGGGATCGACACGAAGGAGGTAAGATAGAGAAATACTGACATCTGAGATAAATCCCCGGTATTTACTGGCCTTTGCCATTTCGGAAAATCGCGCAAACAACCGCACGCTTACAAAGTTACTCTTGACTTTTCCAAACTCCCGTACCACCGACGGCAGACCCACGATCTGAGCTACCTTCCAAGCTTTTCCAATCACTTGCGTGTCCACGTAGACGCAGTCGCCTTGATGGAAAACTGTGTCTAGAAATCGTATCCCGTCAGGGAGAAGAACGAGTCGAGTTTCAGTCTCACGTCGTTTTTGAGCAACACATGCGTCACATTCTGCCAAAGGATCGGGTTCCCTCCAACCGCTGTGCGAGGCTTCATACACATAACTATTGTTAGCAGGAATAACTAGATATGAGAAACCCACCGATAGAATGAGACATCGGGGGTTGGTTCTTGTTGATCGGCGTGGACGCAATTGAACTTTCCACGGAGATCTGCAAGACGGATGTCTAAACATTGACAATCGTCTAGGAAGAGTTCATTTTCATGTCCCACGATAGATTTTCGTAGTCGATGTATGTGCACATAGATGCGTAGATTGCCCCGCGCGGGATGTATTTGTTCCAAACGGCGGATAACACCTTTGGCTGGCAGGCTCACAGACCCGTTCGGTCGTGGAGTTGTGTAGTATACAGCATCTCCAAGCTGTCGAGTTAGCATATCGTTGCTTTCATGATCCATTAGGAAGACTGGCAGTCGGAAGCACATACTCGATATACGATATCTCCATCTTGTATTGCCATCCATGTAGTTTGCTCGCAAGGCTGACGCTGACCGTCAATGTCCCTGACCACTTTTTGCTTATGCACGAGCTGTCCGATCCATTTTGAGCGTCTCTTCTCGCCAGGATGAGGGGACGAACTCGGGCTGCTGGAGCGTGTATGTACTTTCGAACCAGGCTGGGCCTTCGGGTACCTATTCTTGAATTTGAGCAACTTCCCGTCAGCCAACTCTTTCGATGTACCCGAGCATGTCACAACACTGGACTTACATCGCTCTGTTTCCCCGCTGCTTTTGGCAGTTCTTGTCGCCTTGTGTTGAACCCTGTCTTCACGACGAGAGGTGCCATTTGAACAGCTTGCTCCGTCGGCGAGGACAGATAGACGTTCACCGACGACTTGTCGAGACGATGTGTTAGACGTGAAGATGTTTGTAGATAGATCAGGTATCGATAAGCCAACTGTATTTCTCGTGTTATCCGTCTAGATGAAGAGTGAACAGTAAGCACTCCCAAGTATGTCGGGGAGATGTCACGATTGGTAGTGACCCTTGATCCGTTTCTTGGATACGTCTACCTGACGACAATTATATAGTGCGTAGCTGCCTTTGAGTGGGGTAAGCGAGCAGTTAGGACTGTGGAGAGACATCTAAACACGAAATATCATAAGATAGAAAACACGATGAGAGAACAGGAGGGGGCTCCCCTCCACCTAAGCACGCGACCCTCGCTCAGACCATAGCGCATGCTCCTTGCGGCTTCCTACATACCTTTGACACTCCGTCTTGACGACCGGGAATCCGGCGAACGACCCGACGATATTCAAGTTATTGACCTCGGCTCTTATGGGCAGCGGCTTCCCGTGCAGCTTGTCTCTCGGCGAGGTCAACGCCTACAAGCTTGGATGTCAGTATTACGGCCGTAACAAGGGAACGAACATACTCACAATTTTGCTCGCCTTCCAGAATTGTACGCAGTTGATAATTTGCTTCCCAATCATCCACGGGGCGGCCGCTATGCCTGCCAGTTGGGGCCATGTGGCGTTCCTCAGAGTCCGCTCCACGTGCATGAACAGCCAGGGTCGCGACAGAGCTAAGTCGGAAGACAGCAAGACGCTAGGTAGAGAAAATGAAGGGGAGATGGGTTTGACCCAGTAAGCGTTGAGGTACAGGCAGACGAAGAAGAGTTCGTTCATGAAACAAAAGAGGAAGAGCGTGCGCTGGTTGTGAGCTCAGGTAATCGCAGATGACCGGACTACGTAGCCAACATTGAGACTTGCCAGCTTCCGAATCGATGGGAGTAATATCCATTTGATGGCCTCGTTGAGGTCTAGAAAGTACAGACACTGACCGAGTCATTGTAATACAGCCAAAGAATCCGGCTGACATCAGAGGTGACAGTCTTGTGACTGGAAGAACCTGTCACTAATGATCTGCACCTCAGCATGCTTTCAATGTCCTAGTGAATGTAACTCACGAGTACATGTGTATATAGTGGGAAGAGAAATCGAGGGTGATGAGGAATTGAAAGAGTAACTGAAGTCGGGGATAGGCAGTGGAGAGGAAGCAAAGGAGACACGCCGTTGTGCATCTGTCACCGTCAGTGTCTCACATTTTCGTGCATCATACAATCTTTCCATTCCAACGGTGTCCGACGTTCATCGTGAAGATGCTCGGGGTAGTAAGTTGCAGCGATGCTTACCGGTCCGTGACCATATCCAGCACAGCCCCAAATTTGCTTGTTTGACCGAGCGCCCTGGCAGCCTGTCCGTCCACAGCATCCAGCAAACAGCTGACGGCATAGAGAACTGTGCATACTTTGGGATGAATTGGCATGTAGTACAGAGAGGCAGCTGCGAGTATGACTCGAGTATAACCGATGAGGTTTGGGACGAAGAGAAAGACATTTTCGTCGACGCTGTGATATCAGCATTGGGAGTTCCTCTTCATTTGTACCAGACTTACGTTGTCGTTCTGTATACGCCAAGGTAAAGCAGTGGGTAAGCTCAACATTCAACTGAGGGTCTTATCAAACGCACGCAAGGTCCACTGCACTGCTCTGTCAGCAACGAGTCTCTAAATTCATAGTACAGAGCACAGATCGAAAAGAGATGACTAACTATTTCGCATCAAACACTTCTTCCTGACGTGTTCTACTCCCCTCTCTCGGTCTCATGCGAGCAGGTGAACTCGACAAGGTCTGAATGGCAGTGGTGGAAGACGTGGGAAGGTCGGGTGTGGGTGACGACTGCTTTGAGCGCGTGGTGGGTGCCATGGTGTGTAAACAGTTGTCCACTAATTCACTTCAGTTCTATCGGTCTTTTGCGCTTGATCCGTCTCGAAAGATTGACGGATCCTCACGGTTTTGATGACGGGGTGGAGTAGAAGGTGACAACTTGTATCTTGGTGTCAGGGTGATGAGGAGACAACAGTCAGGAGTGCTATCAAAGTTAGCACGAGTGAGAGTAAGCGTGTGTCTTGTCCCGGCAACATTCGAACTCCACCCCCGCCGGCATCGCCGAAGCCGAAGGTCATAGGAGCTTTACGTAATCAATCGGGCTGCTCTGACATTCGGTCTGTAAGTAGGTGAGACTGTGAGAGTACAGTAGTATAAGCAAGTTGCTCTACGCTCTGAGCATGACGGTGGGCGCAATAGGCATCATGTCTGACCCACCTTCACCTTCCATGCTACCTCAGAGATCCCTCTCCATCTCAGTTCCCGTCACCGCACCTGCTCCAGTTCCCGCAGCTCGAAACAATCCCATATCTCTCCGCATCTACAAAGCCATCACAACCTCCTTCGATGATTCTTCCTCCCGCGAGGCCCTCGAGATAGCTTCAAGCTTCTACACTCCTCGTGTTGATAAGGGGAAAGGGAAGGCTGAAGAGTACGAACTGGATGAAGACGAGCTACCTCGACGCAGAACGTTAAAAGGCCAATCAGCAGCTACTGCTCGCAAATATCTCAAAAGGGATGTGGAAGGGAAATTGGCTGGAGGAGCTCAAAAGTTTCTCGAAGCTTTCGGTGAGGTTGACAAGGTCAATGATCTCGCACTGAAATTTGAATAGATCACTGACCGAATAGAAGTTGAGTGTACTGAGAGAACATATGCTCGAAATGCAGCTTCGATGTGATCAAGTTCAAGCAGAATTAGATCAGGCCAACTCTGGTACCAAACATCTGCTCGAAAGAGCGGATGGTCTACGTGCACAGAGGTGAGTTATTACTGCTGTCAGAAATATTGGAGAGCTGATGTTTAGAGAACATGCTCAGATGAGATCTACCATAATTTCCGTTTTCTTATCTCGCTTCACGCTGTCTGAACAAGAACTAGCCGCTTTGACGTCTCGGGATGTGCCTGTTGGGCAAAGCTTATTCGACGCATTGGATAGGGTGGAGAGAATAAGGAGTGATTGCCAAGCGTTACTCGCTGGAGAAGAAGGGAAAACACAGGCCGGGTGAGTCAGTGCTGTCCACCATTGAGAAGCTGACTTTAAGGATGGACATCATGGGGGCCACGAGCGAGCAGTTGGAATCTGGATATAAGAAAATGCATCGATGGTGTACTCTGAATTTCCGTCAGTACACCAAAGAAGGACATCTGGAGGTATCGGTGATAATGAAAGAAGCTGTGAAGAGGTTACAAAACCGACCAGCCTTATTCCAGTGAGTGACAGTTATCTGTCTCGTATTCATTTCCTTCCTCAACCCTTCCTACTCTATGTGTGATTGATATACCCCCTCGCGTCGCTTCTACCGCACCACTCACCTATTCTGTAACATCCTATGATGGGGCGCTAAGATTCAGAGACGCAATCTCCGTCCTAACATCCACCCGACAATCATCTATCCTCGCCGCTTTCTTGGACGCATTGACCAAAGGTGGCCCTAATGGTCTTCCTCGACCTATAGAACTCCACGCTCACGACCCCACACGTTATGTTGGTGACATGTTAGCGTGGGTTCATCAAACCACAGCTAGTGAGCATGAGTTCCTCGACGGTCTTTTTGGAGTAAAGGAGAAGAGACGAATGGTAGGGGCTGAACGAGTGGGGGAGTCGGTGGGACAGGAAGAGGAAATGGTAGCGAGTAGTCTAGATAAAGATCTTGAGGGACTGAGTAGGCCGTTGAAAGTGAGCCTCTCTCTGACCCGTCTAATTGTCCAGTCCAAACCTTCACATCATATCGTATTTCGTCTCTATATCAGAATACGGACTGCCCGAATGATCTCATGCTCAAGTACAGATGCGTATACAACAGACCATAAAATCACAAGAAGGTATAATCATGACGTACAAAATCACCAACTTGCTTCAATTTTATCTGGTGACGATGCGAAAGACCATAGGCGATAAAGCCTTACTCTGCAAGACGTTACAAGAGTCAGTATATCCTATTCATCTGGCTATCCTCTTTTTTCAATTTGATCTTACCTCGCTGCTTCAAAGGAGATGCTGACAGAGGTAGGATATACGATGAATCATACGCCATCTTCTTGGAGACTTTGGACGCTCAAGGTCGATCCTTACTTCGTTTTCTTCATGTGAGTGATTCTCTGATCAGTGATTCCTTCATCGTCCATCCCACAATATACCTATCTCAGAACACCAAGCCTTCGAGGACTTGATTGGGTATATGAAATCACGAAAGTATTGTTGATTGTTAGCCCCCAGATGCCACACTCACTCCTCCTGTAGCACTTCGCGACGCATGTCAAGTTCTCCGGGAGATCATCGCGGTCTACGATACTTCCTTGGTGGACGAACATGATCGCGAAGCTGATTTCGCGTTGGTCTTACAAAAAGCCGTGGGACCAGCTGTGGAGATGTGCGAAAAGATGGCCGAGTTGAGAAAAAGTACAGCTTGGGATAAAGATATTTTCTTAATCAATTGTTTGGGGTATTTACAAGTACGTCCCTTCACCTTTATTTCCAAATGTGATTTTATCATTCATTCTTTCCAGCAAACTCATACTATCAACTCTTCACGTCAATAAGATATAAATTCATACTCATTTATAGCATACTCTCGAACCATACCCATTCACTTCACCTCATCTTTCCATACTATCATCTCAAATCCGAACTCACGTAGATTCAATGACATACGAACATCATCAATCTCTCCTTGAATCTTCTGGTCTTTCACCTATACTCAAAACCATCCGTTCTCGTTCTTCCGATTCATCTCAAACACCTCTTTCCCGATCACCTGCCACTTCACCTAAATCTCTTACTCAAGCTTTAACACGATTCTCTTCGTTCTTAGGAAACATAGACGTTCTTTCTTCTCCTCGTTTGGCCCTCTTGTCTTCTGCTAGATTAGCAGAAGAAATTCATCGTGCTGCTTTGAAAAGAATAGCAGAAGGTTATGCAGAAGTTTGTGATAGAGTTTTGGATAAGAATGAGGGATATGAATTTGCGGAAACTTTATTAAGGAGAGGTAAAGAGGAAGTGTCCGTTGCGTTGGGAGTGGAATTGGAAGCTTGAACGAGGTTCCTTGATTACTCAAATCAATTCACTGTACTTTGATAAAAGAAGATTGAGGGATGATACGATTTCTGATCAAACCATGCATGATATTTTTACGTTTCGAAGTATGGAATACGTAAGATTTGAATATTTATTGTCCCTCTCGTTTGTCCACCATATATATCTATGTTGACTATTACTATCTACATCACCGAAACAAGCTGTAAGCAATGTTTGCTTCGTGCGGTTGAAAATCACTCTTTGGATAAAAACAATTCGTGTAGCTGTTTCAAGGTATCGGCGGGGTTTTTGACTGAATGTCCGATAGTACGGGGATCAGTATAGATTTCGTAGTCGTTACCACCTTTGTATGTCTGAAGATCAATCATGATTCCTAAATTTTTTGGGACCCCGTATACAAGTGCCACTGGGGAATGTGTCGGCGTATGGAAGATTGATTTGATTAGAAGTGAGACGGGGAAGTATCATGAAAGAAACTTGTCATGAAGAGGGATGAGTGTGATTATGAACACCGTTCAAAAGTGAAGTAATGAAAAGCTTGCTGACCTTGTCACCGAAAAAGTGAATCTCTTTAAATCCTTCATCTTCTACATGTCGGAGACAATAAGTTTTGTCCCAACCTGTACAATCAGCATTTCTCCCATATCAGTATATCCTTTGACGACAAAATTCCAGGTGGCATCCAACAGGATAAAGACTCAGGGTAGAGAGTTGAACAAAGTATTGGTGAGAACTATGATGGGAAAGAGAGAGATAAGATAAGAACATACCAGTTGGGAATACATCAAAACTGATTTGTCCACCGATAGAGTAGGTTAAATTCAAATGAGCAAACTTCTCTCGTAGAGCTTCGACCATTTTGGGACGAATGTTGTGGATCTGACATTAGTACTAGAGCTCATTTACACATACAAGCAGAAATAAACGTGATCACTTCTACTCATGCCATCACCAACAGCAAATCCAACACAAGTGAAAGTTGTCTCCTCGGTACCAACATGAACAGTGTGATGATCGGTAAGAATGTGATGAGAAGGAGAAGAGGTAGATGATCAACTCACTTTATCATACTCTTGGAAAGCTTCTCTTTCCGGTTGCCTACCCATCAGTCTTCATCCTCAACATTTTTGCCTGGTGACTCACGAAGCATTACGTCCTACAGGCGAAATGTTGATCATACCATTTCGAAATTCGATGAAAGTTCCTCTATCCACTATCAGCAAAAGTCTCAGAAATCAGAAGTAGGGAAGACAAACCGTTTCACTGGACAATCCACTTCGCTCAAATACTTCAAGATAAAGTTTACCAAGGTTTTGTAATTCTCTTCACCGACGTATTTTATGAAACTGGCGGAATCGAGTTCCCGACCAAGTTTGTATGCAATAAGACCGTTTTCAGCGAAACAGTAGTCGAAAGAGTTGAGAACTGAGGTTAGTGATGCCGGATTCCCCTCAACATTCCTTGTTTTCAATCTGGAAGAACACCCGGGTACAGGGCTGGGGCGAGCGATGGAAGGGCGCAGGGTTAAGCAAGTAGGGTGTACCCCAAAGCTACAAGGTCAAGGAGTCCAAACGATGAGAGAGGAATACATGGAGAGGAGAGCAGATGAGCTGAGAGGAGGCCTTGTATGAAAGTGTAGGAAGGTGTAAATTTGTAAGAAGTGAAACATTTCCAACCCACCTTCTTGCCCCTCAACGTGCAGTTGACCAGTAATCTTCTCGAGGTTACTACCACCCACGAAAGCGGTAGCCACCAGATCTCTGAGTTCTCGAAGAGCAGCAATCATCTCTGGAGTCCCTTTCTGTCTTGGGGGTGTGAGAGTATCATCTACGTCGAACATACAAATGACGCCTGGATATTTTCTCTCTGCGAAGGGTTTGATACCGGGGGGAAAGACGTTGGCTGGGGTGGTTTCTACCATATTGAATCGGGTATTTTGGGCTTGTGTTCAACACTGTTTGCTATTTGTCCGTCTTTGACGTGAGCTTTGGGGAGTAAAGACAGAAGAGAAAGTGTGAAGATTATGATTGATGAAGAGAGGGGTTGAATCGTGGAGCTAAGCAGCTTCAACGCGACGCGCCCCGTGTGGGATCTATCAATCTATAGATCTTCTCTCGGCTCTGAACCGCATCGTCTTGTTCTCATCACGCCCAAATGAAGCATAGCCACCCACGTTCCACTCAGACACAGCAAGCTATCACAGTGGTACATGGTACATGGTACATGGAACAGTACTCAGTAGCTTAGCAACACAAGAGCCAACATGACATTGTCCCCCAATGTCACGCTGCTTCCCCCGCATTCCACCCTCACCTGCTCATCACACACACCGTACCACCCTGAGGTAGTGGACATCGAAAGACCGACTCTACCCTCTCTTCCTATCCTCCCTAACCGTCACGACGATGTCGACAACAACCTGTCCATACTTTTGACGACGTTGGGACTGCGGATATCAGGAGCGAGAGACCAACTTCTGGACATCCCACTCCATGTAAGATATCTCGAGCCGAGTGAGAAGGGGAAGAAAGTTATGCAATCAGTCAGGGATCCTAAGCATACGGGAGGGTGAATGTGTCCCGAAAAATGGAGCGAGTGGATCTGGCTGCTCTCTACGTAAATCCACTAGTTCATGAAGATACTGACACAGCTATACTAGAGCCTCTAGATATACACCCAGAGGATGACTCTTGTTCTACTCACGGGCAGACCACAAGACAAGGTGACAATAATAACGATCACTACCTTGGTCATATGGTTGAGTCGGACATGGCTCGTGTCTGTACAAATCATCATGACTTGCCGACGATCGCCGACATTCTGGATTAGTTTGACGTGTATTTATGTATGCGTGGGCGGAAGCATATGTATCGGACCCAGTTGGAGGTATGACGCTCGGACCTCGGACACGTCGACGGGAAAAGTTGAGATCACAACGTTGCAATTCATTCCTTTCTTCCTTTTCATCTCTACACCTCCTTGCCACTCACCATTCCTAACTTCACTATACAGGCAGAGGAATCAAAGCCATATCCATGGTATCCACCCGTAATCGTCAGCCCGAACTTCCCCTTCCCAGCGGTAACGGCCAGTCCACCTCTCTCTCTTCCCCATCACTCACCAGACGTCAGAAATCTTCACGGGCTTCAGAGTCCACCTCTACACCTCGGGTGGATGACCTTACTTCCATATCCCCACTCTCTGTAGTTGAGACGCAATCTGCCTCCTCGTCCAGCTCAAAGACCTCGACATTTTCTCTGCTCGACCTCGAGGTTGACGGTAGTGAAGGAGAAGACGGAATGTACGGGTCCGGGCTGAGAGGAAGGAACATTGAGGATTTGGGAGATGTAGAGGAGAAAGGACTTTTGAAACGGTCCGACAGTTCAAATTCAAATCGATCTGAGAAGACGGGGAGTCTGAAGGGCAAAGAAAGAGAGAGGTCACTAGGGGTTTTGGAAAAGGTCGACATTGAACAGGATGCTCAGAAAGGGGGACTGAGTAGTAAGAGAGATAAACAAGCTTTCGCATTGCTAGTCCTGCTATGTGAGTTTTGCTCAAAATCCAGCATGTATAAGTAACACTGACCCTATAGACCTGTAAGCTAGCTGAGGTGACAAAGAGTTCAACACTGATGGTCTTATAGATTGCAAGGTATACCACTGGGACTGACCTTTGGAACAATCCCTTTCCTACTCAAACCTCATCTGTCATATTCTCAACTAGCTATCTTCGCTCTGTCCACATGGCCATATTCTCTGAAATTACTCTGGAGTCCCATTGTGGACGCTTGGTTCCTGCCGAAATGGGGAAGAAGGAAAAGTTGGATAGTACCGGTACAAGCTATTGTGGGGGTTGGTTTGTGGATCATCGGGAGTAGAGTGGAAGGGTGGTTAGAAGAGGTAAGCCATACTTCACAGCGAATGAATCTTACTGAACCCAAGGAACCTGTGAATGTCAAGTTTTTGACGACCGTGTTTGGAAGTCTGATTCTCGCTGCTGCCACTCAAGGTAGGTTGGCATTTAGCTGTCACCATCTGCCCCCTACTACATCATCTCTTTCGCTTAGTTGTGGTGTCGTTCAAATGAATCGTAGTCGAGGGCACCGGCTGACTGTAAGATATCGCTGTGGACGGTTGGGCATTGACATTACTGTCTCCCCCTAATTTATCATATGCATCAACAGCACAAACGATTGGATTGGGAATTGGAAATGCTTTGTCATTTACCGTCTTCCTCGCCTTCAACAGCCCCGACTTTTCGTGAGTGACGTTCTTCATGACTCACACCCTGAAGCGCCAATCACCCTGGACATCTGATCGCTCTGATGTCAATCCACGGAACCTGGGTCTTCTTGACCAATGCTGTTCATATCAATGTGGACAGTGAGTTGACGCCTTGTAGAAATAGATACTTTCGCTCCAAACCACTCGATGCGGGTCTTGTCTCTCTCGGAGGGTATATGAAGTTTTGGGGACTAATCTACGCGCTCGTGACTGTGTGGTTAGCCAGATTCAAGAGGGAAGATCCGGTGGGTGAAGATGATCCCGATATGGACGTAAGAAAAGTGTACAAAGTGATGTGGTCTATCGTGCAACTACCTAGTGAGCTTTTTCTATGAATTCTTCCTCTCACCCCGGCCCTAAAATTTCCCCACTATAGGTTTCTCCTACTCAATCACTCGATCTCAACTTTAAAGGCATGAACATGATTGTTGTTAGAAACCTCTCCATTTCAAGCTGACATCCCAGATATCCAATCATTCCTCCTCGTTCACCTCATATGTAAATTCGGTTTCATGGTGAACGACTCTGTCACTCCTCTCAAACTCCTCGAAAAGGGTTTATCTAGAGAAGATCTCGCAGTTGCCGTCTTGCTCGACTTTCCTGCTCAGATGATAGCAGGTTGGTTGGCCGCTAAATGGTCTCGGCCTTCACCCCCGTCCAGACATCCCCTATCGGGATCGCAAGGTGGTGGAAACCATGTGTTGCGACCTTGGGTGTATGCGTTCTGGGCTAGATTGGGGATGGCGGGAATAGCTACTTTGGTGGTCCGTGGTTTTCCTACGGGAGGAAAGGTAGGGTCGGGATATTTTGGGTTGATCGTTTTGACTACTTTGTTGTCGTCTCTCACTAGGTGAGTTTCAGCGGTTTCTCTCTTGGTCTGTTCCCACCTCTCACCGCTTCTTTCCCTGTGCCTTCCCCTTTGGCATACTCTTCTCGCTCTTCCTTTCTCGTTTCCTCGTTCTTTCCTTGATACCCGTCATCGAGCTCTCTTCGTTCTCATTCTCTTCTTCATTCTCGTCAAGTATCGAAAGCCTAGACCGATTTGAGCTTGGGAATGTAGTAAGGGATCTTGAATTCCAGCTCACAAAGCAGCACCGTACAATTTGTCGGCATCACTGCATTCCATACTCAAATTGCCGACCCACTTATCGGAGGGACATACATGACGGTAAGCTCTTTGCCACTCCCCACGTCCCCATTCATCTGATAGTCGATGAGCATGGATACTGACCGCTAGCTCCTCAACACAGTATCCAACCTCGGCGGGACCTGGCCCAAACCTCTTATCCTCCGATCTGTCGACCTTCTCTCTTCTTCCATTTGTCGTCTACCCGGCTCTTCTCCCACACCATTGGGATGCACAACAGATCATGACAAGTCATCTTGTATTGCTAAAGGAGGTGAATGTGTGGTATATCGAGATGGGTATTATATCATGTCAGTCATCTGTGTCAGTTTGGGAGCGGCGGTATTTGTGGGTTTCATCTTACCTACTGTAAGGAGATTAGAGGGGTTACCTTTATCATCGTGGAGGGTAAGAATACCTAGATGATCTCCAATGTCTGAATTGAGTAAAGGCGTGTCATTAGGATTGATGCATCTTGTCGTTCTACTACAGTAGCTAATATATTTGACTGACTTGTCTGATACATAGTTGACAACATGCTTGAGTGAAATGATACATGGACAGGGAACATGACATGAAGTGGGTTGGGTCTATGTGTCTGAGGAAGGATCTTTGAAATTTATCATGCCTTGGGAGCAATGACCATATCGAGTTGCTCAAACTGTTTCACTGAATCCTCGACAGTCTTTTCGAGCGAAGTGACTATCTATCAGTCTTTCCACCTGGTCGCCTCCATCTTCCACACACTGGCTCCTCGCGTTCCTATTGACAAGACGACGATGTAAGGAGGTGAGCATACGAGTATGATCAAAACCTGGGAATGTGAGAGTCGAGATCCACTCACATTCAATCCCCAGCTCCCTCTTCGCCTTTCCCACATCCAACTTATAACTCCCTTTATCAGATGGAGTCTTCGCCGCACTCCTTTGCGGTACAGCAGTCTTCAAATCTGGTCGAAGTCCAGCTACAGTCCTAGCGACAATATCAAAATCGAATTCACCACCACAAAGAAGATATCTTCCTGAAATAGGACGAGAGATGATTTGATATAATGCTTCTGCGACATCACGCACGTCTACCCATGCTGTGGCGGTCGTAGTGGGGACGGGGTGATGTTTGCTGGATACCGTTGAATGGAAAAGGAGGGATGTGGAAGTGTCGAGTGTATCTGGGGAAGTGGAAGGGTGGAGGTGATACGATGGACCCAAGATGACTAAGGGTCAGCATGGGTAGAGTGCAAATATATTTAATTTGGAAAAACAAATCGAGTACGAGTAGTGTGTGAGATATGGGTAGGTACTGAGAGGGTATCAAGGGGGATACGGCTGTTCGTGTGCAGACATATGAAAAGGCTGAGCTTGGAATGGGGAGTGGAAAACTTCGGCAAAAGGAGGATGAGAGGAGGGAGGAGAAGTGGAAGAGATAAGAGAGGAGAGATTACAAGGGGGAAGAGCTGTACTCACATGGTGGACAAACCGTCCCAAGAACAAATTTAGGCCCGAGTGATTTATGCGTTTCCCAAGCAGTCTGCTCGGCCAACTTTTTGGAAGTGGCATACCAATATGCTTGAGTGGAACCACTAGCACATCAGTCCGATCATACGTCTTCTTCTCCACCCAAATACCGACTTAAAAGGTGAAGCTGTCTTCTAAAATCTTCCACGTTTCTAGGAAACCATTACTGAACTCTTGGGACCAATGTAAGCCACCACAGAAGAGGATGTGATGTTCAAAGAAGGAGTCAGACTTACTCTTCTTTGGCTTCCATCTTCTCCGCTTCTTGCTCCGTCATAGGCGCCCAATCCTCTTCGGTGTACACGACATCTTTGAGAGTTGTAAAGTCCGATTGAGTATCACCGACGGCAGCGAAAGAGGAAACGATAGCGAGAGCTTTAACGCCTGTTCTTAGCAATTGTCCTTCTATCCGTCACGATTTCAATCTCTTACCAAATTCCACCACCTAGACTGGAAAGTCTTTAAGAGAGGGGAATGGATGGGGAATAATGGGAATGTGACTCACTCGATACCTTAGCAACTTGCTTTATCAATCTCTTCGTTCCCTCAACAGCGGGTTCCCTATACTCCTCCCATTTCTTCCCGTCCATATGCCACGGACTAGCAGTATGTACCACTCCTTCCACTCCATCCAAAGCCTCTCCATAATCTCCCTTGACAAGATCGGGGAGAACGACATAAGTTAATTTGCCTTCATCCACGTACTTCTTCAATGAAGCCAGAGACAAAGTTTCATCGCCCTTGTCGGACGATCTGACGGTTCCACGGACTGACCATCCTGAAAAGAGGAATTTGATGGCTGTGTGTACGCCAACGAAACCGTTGAGACCTGTAATGAGAACAGTAGGCATTGTGGGTTGGTTGATGGGTTATATTGGTCACTTGGTCAAATGTTTATGTGGTGTGTGGATCTACTGTATGGTCATATGGTGGATCAGTGCGAGGTAAGTGAAGGGTGAGGATCAGTTCGAGAAGTGTTTCCCGATCTCGATGATGACGTACGAGTACGAATACTTTGCTTAGGCGTTTTGAGTGAAACGTCATTCAGAAGTACGGCCAGCGGCCGGACTTTGCGGCATGTGGGAGCGGCCAAAGAATACGGGGGGGAGATCGGACTGTTGTACAGTCGGACGGGCGTCAATGTCAGTCAAGTGAAGGTTACATGTAAGATGAAAGCAACTCACGTGGGAGAAAACTAAGTGCCACGAGATGGAAAGATCGACATTGGGTTGCGACACGCGCACGGACGCACTCCCTTTTATCCCTTAGTTCCCTCAGTGGCGCCGTGGGCGGATAAGCAGTTACTGTGAATTGGTCTAGACGATGTCTTCCACTATCTCAGACTTGGTCTCGCTTGCGACGCGGGTCCAGCGGAGAGGGCGCAGACCCTAGTCGTGATCACCATCAGATAGAGTACGACATTCCTGCCACTTCGGTTCGGATTCGGAATGTCACTCACCTCGTCTCTTTTACACCCACTCGCAATCATTCCTTGATATCAACTCGCCACTCTCCCCCCACCGTCGGTTCTCAACGTACGTATTATATCCCTTCTCCCTGCCCTTTCCTCCCCTTCATCTTTCTCTCTTTCCAACTTGACTTGACCTGATGTTCATCTCCATCACAGTGGCAACCCAGGTCATGTCTCGTCTGGCGGATCGAGCTTCGACCCAGCTGACCGAGTCAGCAGGTTGGAATTTCATCTGGTCTCGAGGGACATCTTCATGTCAAGTGAGTGACTTGACCTTTCACAAACGCCCCTGTCAAGCGGCGCCCCACTCACTCGTAGCAAGTTAACGTGACTATACTCGGCGGCAATCCACCATGGAGTTTGGTACTGGCGTCAGTATCATCATCTTACCAACAGTGTGAGAGCTGATGTCAGTCCTATCGGTGGTCGGCCGGTCTTTTGGGATATAGCCGTGCCTACCGATTACGACCCTTTACTGGCTAGTTATGTCAATGTCAGTATATTCACGACTTGCTCAATGTCGCCCATATAGTAGATACCGGTTCCTTTCCCTTCCGGAACTGAATACATTGTCTTTGGGTACGACGGGACCGGAGTCTGGGCCGGTGAGTCTGTATTTGGTTATCGTAATGATCTGACCTTTGTAGATCACGATCTGTCCACAGAACTACAGGTGGTCGGGACGGGGAATGACAAGTGTTTTTCAGACACCGTTTTTCGACCGCGTGATTTCTCCTTTTCTGTCTCAGGTCAGATTGAATCTTGTTCCACAGGCTCGCATGGTTTCGAGGTATCGTGGGATGATGAGATGGGGGAAGGACCGTATAATATGACCATCTTGTCACTTGACGCGTCTTATCCGCCTTTTGATGTGCCACTTATTGGAGGACGAAGTACGATAGGGGATGATAGCTGGAATGTCAACATGACAACGGGAACGAGATTCACAATAATGATGAAGTGAGTACTCACCAACTCGCAGCTTCCTAATTGACACAATATGCCATAGGGATGACAGTTGACTCCCCAGTAATGGACTAGGACGTGGACGTGGGGGTATGGGAGAGATTTACCAAGTGCAAGGATCCAAAACATCCTGTCTCTCTTCAATCGCTCCTTCGGATACCGTCCACTCAACATCCGCCTATGTCCCTCTTCCGCCAACAAAGGTCATAACGAACTCCCCTGTCAGTCCTGTCGACGGGGAAACATCCAGTGCAAATTCCAATCGTGGTCGTCTGGTGTCCGACACACCCGCTCGTGATAATGTTACTTCGACATCCATTTCTTATGATGACTCCGGTTCTCCAAACGGTCTTTCCACAGCCGCGGCAGCAGGTATCGGAGCTGCAGTCGCTACCGCCGTCCTTCTCATCGGAATTGCTTTCATCGGTTATTATCTCCATAAACGACCATCGGCTCCCAGTGGCGGATTGAGCAGGTACAATGCTGTCGATTTGATCGATTCTCGAGGTCCACGTCCATTCGGTGTGAACAGTATTGAGCCTCGGATTGAGCCTTTTCGAACAAGCAACACCAACAGTCCTCCAAGTCTTCGTCGGCTTAGCACTTCCAGATCTCCTACTTGTTCACCGGGAGGATATTCCGAGACAATACTACGACCACTACCAACTTCCCCTTCCTCCCCATCCCACGTAGCTCAATGCGATCCTCATGTAGGAAGTCCGACTTCACCGAGTCAACATTCGGCCGTCCGTAATCCTAGAATATCACAAAAACGACCAGACGCCAGGTCCATGTCAATTTCCAGTCAAATATCCCGTACGTCCGTCTTGAGATCTTCAGCATCTTCCTCTACACCAATGTTATCAACCATGGAATCACTCAAACTTGCCGCCTTGGAAAAATCTCCTCGAGCGTCGATGCAAGAAAGAAGACGATCCGAGGAGCCTCGACGGCCACCATCAGAATCAGAGCCGGAATATAGGAGACACACCGATGCCGGAGTCTCGTTGGATGGGGAAAGAAGGGTGATCGACTTGCCTCCGTTGTATGATGATGTCCCCCGACAATGACTTTTAGATTTGAGTCATGTGGCATCAAAGAGGGGGGATTTGCATTCCGTCGGTCGTCAGGGTTTTAGATTATGATATTTCACGCTATGCAAAACTCTGTGATGAAAATTTTGAGAGATCGTTTGGACAGATGTGGACCTCGTTACGGAAAGTTAATCGAGCATGGCGGCATTGAGCCGTCGGCCATCGGTCGGCTCGGCTTAACTTACGGCTTCGGATGGAATTTCGTTCCTGACCGGGATGCCCATTTGAATCCACCCCCTATCAGCTCGTTTGAATCAGATCAGAAAGCAAAGGACACGACGAGACATTTGCATTCCTCTTTCTGTTTTTGCACTCGTCAGTCATCACTCCCATCTACTTGTATGATCTGTAGTTGGTTCTCACACAGCATCTCAAATTGACAACTTGTACCTCACTCTCATTGGCAAACTCGTGACAAAGGGAAAAAGGAGAAGAAGGAAGCACAGCCCCTAAAGCCCCCTTTCGCCTTTTGCCTTTCGCCTTTCCTCGCATCGCTTGTCGACGCAGGGAGGATCCTTTTGATTCGCGGTATCATTCGGTAAGATCTCTCTTACTTCTTGATCAGTCGATCCTGCGTCATTTCTCATCTGAGTATTTGAACCGTCATACCAATACTTTGCTACAACCCAAATCCTTGGAACATATCTCTATCCCGACACCTAGTCCCGCCCCTTCTCCCCACTTCAGGGCGGGGGTTATCCATTCGAGGACATCTTCAAAAGTACGCAAGACCTCCATTGGGATCTGATCTGACCTTCAGATCTCGGTTCACGTGGGAAACGGAACTGGACAGACACACGAGATAAGCCCTTGGTCAAATGATCAGCTTGGTGTTATATACGTTGGGAGGATTGGTCCTCGGTTCGAGGGTGAGAGCACAAGGAGCGGGACATTTTTTTTTCGATTGGCCTGCTGAGACCGCACGATGTGATGTGAGTGTTTGGTCTTTCCTTTCTCTTTTGGCATGTTCAGCGTCGGGCTTGGCCGTGAATGACAGGGTGGTTCAAGTTGGCGAAGGCCGGAAACAGAGGTCGTGATGTCCCTGAAACGATAAGCATGTGAAAATGGAGCTGTCAGCATTGTCTGGGAGAGGAGTGAGGATCATATTATGTGAAGAAGAGGGAGATTTCAAGAGGACGCGTTAAGGGGAATGACTGGAATGTGACAACATGAACAGAAGGAAAGCAAGGATGAACAACGGCGAGGGACAGAGAGGGATGTCTGGGGTTTACACGCCTGTTCCGAAAGAGACAAGGAGATGTGAAATGTCGTAAACAGAAGACGGATGACTGACTTCAGGTCGTCGATCTCACTTGGTCAGGAGGTTCACCTCCATTCACTGCTTTTATCGTGTCAGTCGTCCTTGCTGAAGCATCATCACTTCCTTCACTTTCATCTCATAGTCACTTCCAAGTCGTGGACCATATGATTCTCATGTTCAACCCCTCTATCGCAGGAGGTCCCAAGTTTCCTTCCATATCTGTGCTGTGTAACCTTCCTCCCCCATCCCCATTCTACTTGGTCCTGGTCCCTCACTATAACTTACCCCTCTGAAAAGTACATGGCTAATCACCAGTCCCACACCTTTCAAACAACCTTTCGTCTACCCTATCCCATCTAGCGCATATAAGAATGGACAAGGATCATATCCCGTGCGTTTCAGTGAATGCTTTATACCCGACAATGACTGACGGTAGATACAATTACAACTTGATCAAGGGACTGCTTATGTCGTTTTCGTAGCGGATGCCATTAGTCTAGGGGCTGGTGAGTGATCCTGAATCCCTTCCAATTTCCACCTGAACATTGAATGCTCTTCCGTTCTCCTTTTCATATGATCTACTTGCTCTCTACCTTATACTTGAGAAGTACACGAAGATGAGAAAACCCCACCGCGAATGTTCGAAAAGAGCGCATAGTAAACACCCCATTCTTTATACTTGCATAGAACACATTCACAAGAGATTCTCAATCTTGACTTGTGATCAATGCATGAGTGAAGGAAATCTGACATGTCAGGCGGATCATCTGAAATTCAAATCGTCCAAAATTCTACTCAATCTTCTTGTCTCAATTCAGCCTCTTCCAATTATTCATCCCACAATTTCGACTTTACCGTCACTGGTCAATCACAACAATGTACTTCAGGTTTCGATCTCTCTTGGACTGATAACACTTCCAACGAACCTTACAACTTTACCGTAGTCCCTCTCGATCAATCCTCCTATCCATTCGACGTATCTCTGGATGACAACCAGAATAAGAAGAGTTGGCAACCGTCTCTGAACGCAGGAACTAGGTTTACCATCATGATGAAGTAAGTTTTTCACCTTTCACAGTCATGTACTCTTTATTGATGTGATCAGTGATAAAAATGGTTATGGGACAGGTGGTACTGCTGGGATATACGAAGTGACAAATTCTACACAAACGAATTGTATCACTCAACCGCTTCAAGCTACTGGTACTTGGCCGGCTGGATTGGCAACAACGACTTTATTCGTCATCTCCTCTTCGGCTCTAAGCGGAGGTGCGATAGCCGGGATCGTCATTGGAGTAATGAGTGGATTCTTCATTCTAGCTTTACTGATTTGGTTATTATTCCGTCGAAGACGACAGAGACGTAAGACGGAAAAGATGAAAGGACAGGAAATGGATTTAGGTGATGAAATGGGAGAAGGAAGTTATGAGCATCTTCAACCTAATCCAATGGTCGAACCTTATCGTCCTGTTGGAAGTTTTGTCGCTCCTCCTGGTGTTTTGGATTCACAATCATATTCCGAAATTCAATCTCAGACACAAACACAATCTCCATCAGAATCACAATTCACTCCACAATCCCCTAGACGTCAGACCACTTTAACCGACTACACATCCACACATCGTACTTCTGCCGGATTCGCAGGACTTGGAGCAGGTCTACCTGAATGGTCTGATCCGATCGATTCAACAGCGGGACCATTACCTACTAAGAATTCACTTTCTGTTCGAACCCCATCAGGTCAATCGTCAGAACCCAGGACTCCAACGGGGATGAGAGTTGTCAACCATGATTCACCTGATTCGTTGCCTGTCACACCTAATAGAGTCTCACAGGTATCTCCTCGAGTACCAACATTTAGAAGACACGAAGATGCTGGGAGGGTAGAGATGAGGGAAGATATAGTGGATTTACCTCCTTTGTATACTGATGTACCTAGGGATGATATACCGGGTTGAGTAAGAAGATGCATTGTTGAATTCATTGTTATTGGCAAGTATGACGACGGAGACACTGGAACGAGGTTCGAATGCGAGTTGATGAAATGTCGGGAGTGTTGTTCGAGGATAAAGAATTATGACGCGAAGCCTACTCGTTTCTTATTTGTTGGCGGTTGCTCTTTCTTCATACGTTTTTTCTCCTTTGATTTCTCTTTGATAGCTTCTTTGACACGTATCTGCCAGTCAGCTGGTTCATCTATTCTACGATGTATAAATCACTGTCGAACACGGATGCCTGGAGGAATATGAGAAGATCGAGACCTTTCTGGCATGGGTAGACTAATGGGGCAAAGACGAGACATGCTAAGAGAGGATGCAAGAGGCAAGAGGGCGGAAGATAATGATCACCGAATGATAGAGAAGGAGATTAAGAATGAAGAAGGACTGAATGATAGAGAAGAGAATGGCGAATGAAGAACGAGGGAAGACAACGAATTACCAGAAGATAAACGATAATGATTTCGAGAGGCAATGCAATGAGAATACACCAGACTGGGGTATACAGATTGGAGGAGAAGAAAAGACATACCAAAGCCATCTCTTTCTCCACTTTTCTCTTTTCCTTATCTTCTTTACCTTTCTCTTTTCTTAAAGTAGAAGCTTCTTCTTCTTCACCATGAACGACATTCTTGACTCTTGATAATTTATTTTCAGTCTTTTCGTCTTGTGTATTGGTGACTTTATCAATAAGAGATAAAAGACCTGCCTGATCGTTAGCTTGTAGTCTTTCATTCTTACCACTAGTAATACTAGTAGATCTGAAGATCTCCATCTACACTCCATTTAGAATCAGATGTGAAAGACCGACCAGCTATCTGCCTTGACGGATATACATAAGTTTTTGTAGGGATTGCATTTTTGAACTTTAGTCAGGACCGGGGAGGAGTGGGGATATGAAGGGAAATGTGGGTGAAAAAAATTGAGACTGATTAGAGTGGTGAAGTTGTTCAAAGAGTTGATCACATGAGCTTGTATAAGACATATCTTCAGAGCTGCGGATTGGAATTGACGCTTGATAGAGGACGAAAAATGTTCGTGGAAGATGAAGAAGGTAATTTAGAGGAGATACCCACTCGATCTTCTAGAAACACCTTTCCTTTCTTTCCCGGTCCACCGGATCTTCTCTTTCTTCTTCTACCCTCTTTCTCCAGCTTTGAAGTCGTACTGGTAAGCTGAGCTGCACTTGGCGATGTAATGGACATGTTGTCGTATGAAAAGTGGGCTATATAGATGGAGTACTAAGTAGGTTCGGAAAACATTTTACAAGCCGTGCTACTCATTTGTGGCAGTGTGGCACTTTTACTTTTCCTCTGTGTTCTCTCATCCTTGACAGGTGATCAAAGAAAGGATCATACGGTGCAGATGAAGGAATACTCCGTTGATACTTCTGAAAAGAAAGGTGGAAGGAAGAAGATTAGAGATACATCCCATCTTTGATTAATCGATACAACTCCCAAGACACTACCGTTATCAGATCAAATACTCCAACATTCCTAGTTCCGCCCTTGGCCTTGTCCATATTTGTGGCCCCTGCCTTTTGTAATACAAATCGAGTGAGTGCTCGGCTCTTGCTCGTTGTGTGTTTGATTATAAGAGTTCTGACTGTCCGAATAACCAACAAGCTCAAAGATAGGATAACGGCGAATGTGACAATCCGCTGGGACAAACCGACCTGTCCAGTCATTGTTCACACCACCACAACCACCTGGTGGAGTAGTGCAGAACGAGGAGATGGTGAAACTCGTGGATTGTCCAAAACTTCAAATCCTATCCCCCATCTTGCGTCGTATACGTTTTCTCACTATCAGCTCTGCTAATCCCTACGCATCAGTGACCCGACCTTTCCGCATATACATCACGCGGGAGGAAGAAACTCACATAGACCAAGGCATCAATCAATCCGACTGATAACACCATCCAAGCTGATAATAGTCCAAGTAATGGGGAACTTTCCTTATGTACCATATCATATACTAAGCGGACAAGCGACATCGAAAACACAAGCATGTACTATGTGATCAGTCTGCCTTGCTGACTTCATCGATTGTTCCGCTCACCATTACGTATGGTGTTCGTGTGATGGCGGGAGAAGAGTAGAGGAAGACGGAAGAGGAGGAATATGGGGTTCGGCAGTGATTCTGGCGGTAGATAAATGATGAACTCACTGCTAAAGGGAAATATAACATCAACAAACTCGCCTGCCGATTGAAATACGCCGAAGCTGACATCAGAGGTTTATTTCCTCTCTCTGGTTTTTCTCCATTCACGGTACCAACCGTCGTGACTTGACAGTCGTTGAAGAACTCTGCCATTGTCTGACCTGGTAATCCTTCTCCATCTTCTTCTCCCTCCCTATTGGCATGTTCCATCCCCGGTGATCTGGATATGTCGCCTAGACTGTATTGATCTTGCGCGTCCGTCATTGAATGTACCTCCGACAATGGCCGAGGAGGGAGTAATATAGACGTTGGTCTCCGTGAACTTTCTTGATCAAAAGTATGGACTGGACATCGTTCTTCCACCGAAGATATTAATCCTTCTCCTTCTCTACTGCCGTCTAAAGTCGATGTTATTGACATGTCGCGGGAGGGACTGGGGAGGAGTTCATCTCCCAACATAACCGTTGAGGGTGGTGCGGACGGTTGGTGTGAATAAGATATTGGTGCTTGAGAGGTTGATGGATGAGCAACAGCTTTGTGGGCTTCACCGAAGTCGACGGATGGTGGATGGGATGGTGATGCCGCTTCATCATTTATGGATTGCGTTAACTTTGTTCGACCGATATGAACGAATTCCATCTGTTCCCATGGTGCGTCCGGATTCATAGGAGATCCAATACCATTTTTGTTGCGTCGTAAGTGTCCCCGAGCTGGTCCAGGTGGTGGATCAACATCGACTTGTCTTTGACCGGAAGCGAAGTGAGTGGAAAGTTGAATGGTGTCGGGTCTCCGGAGGAAAGAATAAAGTCGAGTATAAGCAGTGACAATGATGACGAATACAGTTGCTCGTGGTATAAACTGTATCAGGTCTCTTGCGTCAAGGTTGTCTTTAAGAGGATGAGAAGCGTAATAACATATGTTGCCTTGAGAAACCCAACCGTATCCTGCCCACCAACCACCGGATTGGATAACGGAGACTGTGATAACAAAGGGCCATGATAGGAAGGACCATCGTTCGAATAATGTTGTTGCTGAGGATAGTGGGTATTTCTGCGGGTGAGCAAAGAGTTCATTTGAATGATCTACATCACGAAAGGATGAAACTTACCAAAAGAAGTGTGGTACCAACAGCGATCAAGATTGTCCACATGTTCTGGGTAAACAATATAATGGTAAGGAAGAAACCATGTATGTTCTACCTCTATTCAATGATAAGTCCGAGATGACATTAAAGAGATACTCACACATCCTGCGGAACCCGTCTGAAAACGGAAACCTGTGAGCCACATGATACTCGGAACAATAAGCATCAACCTGGAGATCAATATCATTCCAAAACGTCACGAGTGACGAAACCTACCCCAGTGAAAGATCACTGACAACCATACCTACCAACAATCTGACCCGTAGCTTCCCAGTGCCCTTCTTAAACAGCGATAACAGCAGATAGCTTGCACCAATAATGGTGAGACTTGAGATGACCACATCTCCAATCACCGTCAGTCGTTGCCAGTGCGGCATGATCGAACTTCCTCTTGTAGATGTCTCAGGTTGACAAAATATCGGTCAAAGAAGAGTTTAGGGAACTGTCCCCAGCGGGGATGAAGATGGGGATAGCAAGCGACGAAGGAGGTGACAATGTCAAACCTCCACTTTCCAACCGTGACATACACTCTACCCACTGAACATTCTAACATAGACCTATTCTCGGCAGTGGGCGGCTGACTAGCAGCAGGCAGAAGCAGGCGGCGGCGGCGGCGGGGTGGGGGAGGCGAATCCCTGTGATGCTTTGATGCTGTCAACCACCCGATCCCGGAGTGGCGGTGGAGGGTCCTCCCGATGCAACGATCAGCGGCGATCAATGACTGGTGATGCCGGCAGATTGTTTTGACGCCGTTGGAGCGCGTTTTGAATCCGTCAGATTCAACAGCCGCCAGCAGAGATAACTTTTCTTTGTCGAAAGGACTTTTTCAGTCGAAGGTGGTGATATGTGAATGAGACAAGATGCCTTTCGAACATGACCGAAGCCTTCAGTAGTGTTCCCGCGAACATCGCAACACGGTTTGTAACCAATTACAGTCTGACACGTGCATCAAAGGATTTTCCAGTTCTTTTGATTGATGTCAACTGACGAGAGTACGTGTGCGCGTCGAATGTTTCATCCCGATCCTGTGTCAGAAGCCGGCGTGGTTTCTCCTCCGACGCCATGGCTTTTGGTGAGCATGCATGAACACTTGTGCTCAGTTCTACAATGTGACTGAGCACAGGTACATGCATGCATGTGCTGTGTGGCCAATGTCCTTTCCGAAACGTGTTCAGGAAGGAAGAAGTACGTTTGCCGTCTCCCGGTGATCGTGACCGCATCAAAAGATCACACGATCACAATTTTCTCCCGGTGACACGTCGGTAATTTGCGGGGCCCCGGTTGAACTTTTAACGTCTCACATAGAATTTCCCCTGGTTTGGCTCGCTATGACAGACGCCCCTCAATCATATGGGCGCTTACTAGTCTGCGGCCTAGCTAGATCTGCGGCCTGCGGCATGCGGCACGCTGCATCGATCCCCTCCACATCATAGGTACCCCATATCCCCTGCCCAGATCCACATCATGCCCTTCTCTTCCTCCACTTCACATCTCATTCCCCATGTCACTTCACCTGACCGGCCATTCCTCCCACAGTCTCCCTCCTCATTCCCAACCACTTATCGAATATGGTCAAATCCCGTCAACAGACCAACTGTCGAGGAGATCCAAGCGGCTTCAAGGGCAGAGGGACGCCCTCATTCCTCTTCCCCCTCCAAAATGTCCAAGGCTGACAAGGTCAACGGCGGCAAAACTCGAGCGGTCCCCTTCCCTCCTTGACGATTTGTCCGACGACAATAACGAAGATATCGGACCACACTCTCGCGTCGAGAAGGAAGAGGACCCAGATTTCTCTCTCGTCACTTCCATCACTCGTCAATCAAAACCTCGAGGAAAAAACCGACGGGTTGAACCAACATACAACACTCTAGACGTAGAAGTCGAACCACTTCCCAAAGAGGATAAGAAGCCAGCGGCTGCTCGGGCGCATTCCGCTTGGAAAGTTTCGAGAGCAAACGTGAGCGCTTTGAACGCTCTCGGACTACGAGATTGGACGCCTGCGATCCCTCCCCCGCTACCCAAACGTGCCTCCCGACCTGACGCCTCCAACGCCCCTCCCAAATCGAAACTCAAGAAGTCATCCACCAAAGAGACCGAGCTCAGGCAGAGAACAGACACCACGCCGCTGCGAGAGCTGACCGAAATCATCGGAACCGGTTCAACCGTACCCACGTTAACCGATCATCTCGGGATCTCGTCCAGCCTCTTCACCAAAGTTTTGCGAATCATTGCCAAACTCCCGGCTCCTGTGCAGATTCTAAAAGTCATCAAGCATCCTCCACCCAAGACTCGTCCACCAGTATGGGCCGAATCACGTCAAGAACTATGCGAGACTTTACCCTATTATCGAGCTTATCAGTCTGGGCTATACATGCATGCAAAAATGGGATATGGGTACCTTTTGGACGGCTTTGGAGCTCCGTACGTTCCGTTCCATCGATACTTGTCCACTGGCTGACGTGCAGTCGAGACATTTGGGCACATGAAGGAAGAGTGATCATCTCTCATGGCGGAGGACAGTCCACACATCATCCTTCGACCGCTCGTGTTGTCCTATGCGACGACCAGTCTTCCGAGCAAGCTCGTATCGACACCTTACTGCAAGCAGCGAGGAACCGTACGCCCATCGTTTTGCTCGCTGGCGAAGGATACGAACTGCTGCCTTGGGAGCCGGGGTGTACGTACGTGGTACTTGGCTGGTGGGTCAACCTCCCGACATGACTGATTCCAACTGACTATCATAGGTACTGGGTGTCGGCGACATGGGTCGAAGCGGAGCCAGTCGCACAGGGTATTGAAGCGCCGGCAGGCAGAGATTATCATCATCGATACAAGATACGTTTCGACTGGATAGACACTCAGGGTGACCCCTGGTGGATTGACGAGCACTCTTCAACCCCGTCCGACGAAGAGATCGTAGAGAAGATGGTCGAGGAGGCGAGTCCGGATACGAGCTCCGATCACTACGATTCTGGGCTTCCGTTGGTGCCGTCAGGTTTGGAAGACATGCTCAAACTCCTACCTGTATCCTCTCACAAAGAAAACTGCAATGGCCCAGCTCCAGGACATCTCATCGTCGATGGCCTACCCACACCCCCTATCACGCCGCCTCGAGCAAAGGACCCGATGGATCACGCTAGCCCCTCACTTCGTAGTGCATCGTCAATCGAGCCAATCGGTCACGACAAGTGCGAGATCTCGAGTCCAACAACAGCAACGGAAATTATAGACGCATTGTGAGCCACTTACTGATCCCGAGACTGTGTGCTGATCTCATAGAGACCGACCCGAACAGATATGTCCCACCTGCAAACAACCCTCACTTCAGATCTACCTCGAGGGCTGGACCTGTCTCATACACTCATGTCCTCAGTTCTGGCTCCTATCCACTTGTATTGGCTTGACACCTATTCCTCCAGGCATCAGTCTGACGTATCATCCTTCATTCCTCCGACACATGAGTACACCCTCTAGTGTGAAGATTCCCTACAGCATCCTCCCCCCTCTCCCTACCACACTTCCCGGTGGCGGCATGGGTGATCGTAATATCTGGAAAGGTAAGTCAATTATTCCGTTTCCTTCGAGGTTGATGATCAGGTTTTGTATGTGAATGCGGACGAGCAAACTGTCGATATCGATGGGAAACGTGGGTACGTATCTATTCACCTGTTGCCCATGCGCTTGCTGATAGACAGGAATGCAGACATTGCGGAAAGCAATTTGGAGCTTTGACAAATGCCGACATTGTCCCTCCGGAAGTGCTCAATTCTGCTGGGACACTCCTGGGGAATGCACTCGTCAACGATGATATCCTTCAAACGGAAATCAAACGACTTTCTTCTCCCCCAGCCACCGTCCTGACATATCAACTGCAAGGGTCAGTCTTTCTCTACTCATTGGCCCTACTGACTATCAGTGGTGTGGTATATCATATCATTCCCGACTTCACCGCCCATTCCGACGCCTTGTTCCAAGCATATCAACAAGAAGCAGTGTCCACGCAGGATCCGTTGTTTCAACGAAGAGCTCTCAAGGCTAACACTGGTTTGTTCTTACCTGGTACGTTCCTCGAGCTGACGTCTAGTGAAAGGACAGACTTTAGCCCAACATTTCACACTCAATTCAGGGGCGGAATACAAATATGCCGTCGACACTGTCTCCGTATCGTTCGAAGATTCCCCGGCTTGTGTCATGGAAGCATTAGCTCTGTATGTCATCTTGTTGTTCCTTCGCTTAGAAACTCACGTTAGATTACGTACCGAAGCCTTGAGGGTGTTGGGGGAAGAAGCAAATTTCAACGAAATCCTGTCCGTATTATATTGTCAAGGACAGAAAATGAATTGGCATGATGATGGTGAAGAAGGTGTGTACTTCCTATCACACCTCCTCATCTGTGCTTCTCCTACAATACTCCTTCCAGGATTATTCCTTATCCGGGCGCTGTCAAAGAGAAAACGACTAACCTACAGGACTCGGTCCTATAGTCGCATCCCTCAGTCTCGGCTCACAAGCCACCATGTCTTTCCGTCGTAAGACCCGTAGACTCAGACTACCCGACGGTCAAACGAAAGTCAACGCGGTACCAAGTCTCAGTATCACCCTCTCACACGGTGTGAGTCTTTCCTTTCTGAATCATCTCGGAGCTGATACTAAGGACGTGGTCATCATGCAGGGAGACAAACTGCAGAGGAGGTACGAGCACAGGGTTGTGCCCAAGGGATTCAGGATAGCCGCGACTGCTCGGTACATCGATAATGCTCAGTGAATTTGGTTTCTTGCGAGAGGTGTGAGAAGCTCGGGTAGTTGGTTGGAACTGGTTCGAGGTCGGAGTAAGTGGATGGAAGTGAGATACTTTAGGTACCCAATATGCATCATTCTGCAGCATGCAGCACTACACTTCGTGATCTGGACCTAAGGTCACAAACGGCCGAAGAAGGGTGACACTTCATTATGCCGTATAGACTGCAGATCTCTTCCTAATCGTAAGTACACCTTCGTTGCTCATGGAGGGGAGAGGGTTGCTAAAACATACTCCCTACTTTCCCCCTCACCGTATTCGGAGGTGCGAGCGTTATAGCACATGTGTCATTTGCCAAAATCATACACTAAAGAACTCCATTAGGCGGGGACGACTTCGGGTCATCAGTGAGATGCAATTAGAATTTGTTCTCTCCTTTAGAAGAGGAGTAAGCATCTGCCGGATCCATTGCCATATAGGTATGCGATGGAGGGGTAGAGCTCTGCCGTCAAGCTTGCATCACCCTGGAATGTTGTTTAAGGTCGGTTGCGGGAAATCAGAGATGTGTAAGAAATTGGTTCCGTGTTGAGGATCATTGAAGACGGAAATGCAGGCTGACCGGATATCACCAGCCTCCATGGTGGAGTGGTTTTCAGCCTTTTAGAATTTCGCGGGCAGCAGCGGAATTTTTGGATTACGTAATACCCGGTCCTGTTTCAAAGGACGTATGCAGCGTAGCATCATATTAAACGTGGACGTGGTTGCCGGTTGCACACCGAGTACACCGACTTGTGTGTGCATGTCTATGGACAATGTTGGTTGCAAATACATTCCTTTCCCCTCACTTCTCGCAATCATTCTTTCATGGTGGAAGACTCAGTAAGACCTACAACAAATACCACTAATAATTCATCCAATACCGCTATACCGCGCACATCGACCAAAATCACCTTGAGGATTCATAACACCAAGACAAAACTGAAGGATATATCATGCCTGAAACAAACCACGCGGGTGTCCCTGATGTCCATATCAACGTGAGCAGTGTCTGATGTTCATTTCAAACGGATTCTTTGCTGATTCTTTCAAGTCCCAACAAAACTGTCGTCGCCCTACCGACCGAGTTCAGACTATGATTTATAAACCCTCGGGGACCGTCCTCGCCGATCTCGTTCATGAGAAAGCACAATTCGACCCTGGTTGCGACTCTAAAGATAATTGTAAATCTAATACGGGTATTCCAAACATGCGCCAAATCGACTCGGACCCTACCATTCCCTGCCCACCTGGCTGGCACCAGTTTCAGATTACCCTCCATAACCTCAACAATGCGACTGAATCGTCCGCGATTGAAGAAGCGACTGCAGTGATGAAGAAGTTTGATGGAAGAATAAAGATCTTGGGTACCAACAGAGAAGTGGTCAAGAAGGTTGAGAGCAAATGGTTCATCATTGAAGGTGAGTCACAATAATACTCAAACTTCTTCTTCTCTCGGCTCGAGTGCAACTCCCTCTGTCTCCTTGAACGCGAACTTTTACTTCGGAAGATTCTCACTCATGATACGAATCGCAAGTGTGAAATACAAGGAGTAACGATCAGGTGGAAGTACTACTTTGACCAAAGGCTTCCAACGGTCTGTTCGTATTTACCCGAACCCTTCGGAAATTGTCAATGGAAATGTCGATTCAACTGTCATGTCCGCCTTACAAAAAGCACTCGATATCCATCCGGGGAAGCCATCTCGCTGGAGCAGTTGTCGCGGAAACGATCGTATCACTGTCATGCACTTTAATCTTTATCCGGCACGGTCCAGTTCTCCCCCTCGAAGTCACACTCCTCTCACTGTCAGAACTGCCACTGAAGCTGTTCTTTCCACTTACAAGAAACTCCAATATGATCTCCGCAAACCTTGGGCTGTCACTGTAAACGGTGATGTGGCCAGGGGTTTCGTCGCCAATTATAACCCGAATCAAGTCGATCACCTAGTATCCCTGACCGATCTTGGCTGGGATTCCGGAGGTAGGCTATACCACCTTCGCTTTTGTCGTGATTCTCGATTACTTCTCCCTACATCTGGGACCACAATCGCAACATACATTGCAGACGACGACCGTCACCCCAATGCGTTCAGTATCGAAACCAGACGTCTATGTGAAGAATACAATCGGCTTAATGACAAGAAGGACTTTGTAAAGAACTGTCGCCCCTCTGATGATGACTGTTGGTTTCTCTGTGATCCGGCCACTCCAGAGCTTGCCCTCTGGCTACAATCTCAACAACTATCATCCGGGTTCTTTTTCTCCTACGTATACGGCCTCAACAGCAACCCGTCTAACTTCGACAGACGTAAGATCCTCGCTACGCGACAAGAGAAGATTGCCACGCTCAACGCTACAAGAACTCGGTCGTTCCCAAATCACTGCTCGAGGGTATCTCTACATAGTCATCCAAGAATCAATGCATGACATACTTCACACTCTCGAAGTAACCATCACAAAAGCAATTGAAGGTCCCCCTTTCCTAATGACAGATGGGAGTTGCATTGCTCCGCCTCCCTTTTTGACTTTTCAAGGCGCTTCACACCGTGTACGTATGTCTCTGACCCCCCCTTCGGACCAGTCCAATCGCACCAAGGGGTGTGCACGACAACCGATAGAAACGGCCCAGGACGGCCGAACCGTCACTAGGAAAATGACCCCTTCCGTCGCATATCCCTTCATTCAACTTATGTATCCTCTGAAATTTATTCTTTCATCTCTGGTTCGCTGTGTGTGTGTGGAATGTGATAAGTATAGAGACAAGTTGAATCAATGCATGCTTTTTTCCCTCTGTGCCACACAGTTCCGCGTGACATCTTCCTTTCCTGTCACGACCCAGCTCTTGCAGGGTCCTGACTCCAAAACCCTGAGCTCCACCTGTTGGAGCCGATATGAGCCGATATGAGCCGATATCAGTCGATATCAGTCGATATCAGTCGATATCAGTCGATATCAGTTGAATTCAGTTGATAACAGTCGATATCAGGCGATATCAGGTGATCATTGAATTACGTGTTGGTCCTTCAGAAAAGTATAAATACTAGACATATCAACTTTGTAGTTTTCCTTTTCTCAAGGATCAAAATATCATTTGCCACTCACAAAAGACCTCTTGACATACTACTTACGCTTGACACATCCCTCATCATCATTACACCTGTCTACGCCATCACACACGTCCTTGACATCATCTTGACCTGCCCGGATCCTTCGCAAGTCACCGTAGCCATCCGACCACATCACAAGTCTACAGACAACATACTAACCGTCATTGTCCAAGCTAATTAAACAGTCGCAGTCGACCTGTCTTTGATTCCTTGAGGTCTGTCCAGGACAGGACCGTGACATTTCCCATCAAACAAAGTTCCTTTGAACATCAATTCGCCATCAACGATCCCGTTCTCATGAACTTCACCACCCACGAGGGTATTAGGAGGCTAACTTTGTTGAGGACAAAGTTAGTCATGTAGTGATTAGGAAGGTATGAAGTTAGGATAGTATGAAGTTAGGATAGTATGAAGTTAGGATAGTATGAAGTTAGGATAGTATGAAGTTAGGATAGTATGAAGTTAGGGAGATACGAAGTTAGGGAGGCACAAAATTCATCCCCAACAAAGTTTGCAAGGTATGAAGCTCGGGGCTTCGGGTTGAACAAATTTCTGCGTACACAAAGTCAGGGAGGGACAAAGTACTTAAGAACCAAAGTTCTCAGAGATCTTTGACAATCTCTGGTTGTTGTCCTAGGGATAGAAGTGTCATGAACTACGTCGTGACACCTCAATTATTCCACCAGAAATGACCCTCTGTTACAACCTGAGAGCTAGGCAGTGACCTAACCTAACTTCAGTGGTCGACAGCGATAAGACACAAAGTGATAGCGTAGAGTGGATTGGACGATGATGAAGGACACCTCAGTGTAGACGCGTTATGGCGTAAGTCACTTAAGCAATTGGGATATGTGAAGTGGGTGGCAAAGTTCGTGAGAGTAACTTATGAGAATTCATCGACAAAGAAAGAGCCCTCATGAAGGGGGTTTATATAGACAGCATTCTCTAACCAGTATCACTTTGGTGATCATATCTCAACCAATCACTTAAATGCCTCACCAAATCCGTGAGTCACGGATGTGGACCGTGATCCATGGATGTTGTCACGAACCACATCGTAACATCCCTGACAACCACCATCACCGACCCTCCTTTCACCATCACCAACTACCACCCGAACCACTGAAACCGACTACGGCGAAGTTACGAGAACCAAGAGGGTATTTGTCACGATAACCCCGCCTAGCGGAGAACTACGGCGAAGTTAGGGGAAGGGAACCGAGGGAGAGCAGAACAGGGGAAGTTAGGTGAAGTTAGTCGAAGTGAGCGCAGTAGGACATTGGGGATATGGCGAGGTACGGCGAAGTTGAACGAAGAGGACTGAGCGTGAGGCAGTGCAGGAGTTGAGGGACGTTCTATGAGAAGAGAGGAGTAGTATAGATAGTTTACAGATCGCTGAACTTCTTCAGCGATCCTTGATTGTTGTCAGTAGCGAGAGATATATTCAGTAGCTACAACCATCAAGTTAGGGAGAGCTACCACCAAGCAGTTAGACGCACTACGGTGAGGTTAGCCGCAGTTCATCGACAATCACCTTATCATTTACCACTCGACGTATTACTACGGTGAAGTTAGCCGTAGTTCCTCGACGAGTACCCTGTCCTAGTGAGACATCGACGCCCTAGTACGATGTAGTTAGCCGAGGTTTGTCGACCGTCGGTCAGTAGAGAAGAAGAAACGACGATTGTGACAGATGTGAACCGTGATCCACGGATTTAGGTTGTTCCTGAAGTTATGACGCAATGTGTAGTGTCATAACAGTCGCCCCTCCTCTATCCGTCACGAGCTCCTGCGAGTGAATGTACCCTTCGATGCACGCCTGTATTCCTCTTGAAAGTGATCATCCCACCACCTATGCACCTCGTGGCCCCTTTTGCACATTCCGGCCTTCCGGCCAATGTCTGCTAGCTTTGTCTCCGGCAAGTGTTTCTCATTTCCAACTTGATTGCTTCTGTCTCTGGCCAATCACTCTCATTTCCCACTGATCGGTCCGGTCGGTCTCCTTCATATCCAACCGGTCTCTTTTATCTCCGGGCCATCTCTTTCATTTCCAACCAGTGTCTTTCATCTTTAATATGACTGATCACTTTGAGCTCCGGTCGGTCTCTCTCATCTTTAATATGACTGATGGCTTTGATCTCCGGTCGGTCTCTTTCATTTCCGGTCGGTCTCTCTCATCTTTAATATGACTGATCACTTTGATCTCCGGTCGGTCTCGTTCATCTTCAACCGGTTTCTTTGATCTTTAACCGGTAAGACTGCTTGTCTTCCTCATATATAACATCCTCTTTGCCCATTCGTTTCCTCACACTTTTATTTCTTTGACTACTACTCACCTCAATTACTTCAACTTAATCACCCAATGCAGCGTCTGACTCCTACATCTAGTCTTGGTTATCTACCCCGCCCTGGGAACAATCCTGTGAGTGTTTTATCTTACATGTATTTGTTTCTTCCTTATTCATTTCGTATACCCTCCCCCTTGAATCCATCTGTCGCTTGTCCCATTGATGTTTCTGTTGTTTGACTTATCTATCTATCGATCGCTTGTCCTATCAATCACTTGTTCTATCGGTCACTTGTCCTATCGATCACTTGTCCTATCGATCACCTGTCCTATCAATCACTGCTTGTTTTATCAATTGCTTGTTCTGTTGCTTATGCTAGATTGAAAACAATAATGGGCCTCTCTTCATCCGAGCCGAAAGTGCCCCTCCAAGTCTTCCAGGAACCCAAGTTGTATCACTTGCAATGAACAACCCTTACAAGGCAGCCGTCGCTGGGTACGATCCCACTTCTCCCCCATATGTGGCAACTTCTCCGGTATACTCAGCTGTTACCTTGCCTTCGTATGTTCCCAGTGTAGGGGATTCAGAGACAGGGAATTCTCCCATCTATACTCCTGTGAGCCCTCGTTGTTAGCCGATAGAATCGGGCCAGGACGGCCGAACCGCCGTTAGAATTACCCCATCCGTCGAATATTTCTCCGTTCAACTTATCCTCTGAACTTTATTCGATCGTCTCTGGTTTACTGTGTGTGAGTGGAATGTGATAAGTATAGAGACATGTAGAATTGATGCATGCTCTTTTTCCCCTCTGTATTATCATCTAATTATCAGTAAACACTTGCCCCGTACCTTCTCCTCTTCTTCTTCCAGCAGGAGTAACCACGTTCAAGAAGAACTGTAAAGTGGGTGGTATTGAAGTTGGTACTCTAGTTGAGTCGGACTCGGATCTTGATATCCTGGTTGAGGTTCCGGCACGCCCACCCAAGTTCATCGGCCATTCGAAGCTCCTATCTTTCCCCATAGGGGTCTCTGCGGCCGAGGCCAAGAAACAGATGAAACTTCTTCAGTGTGTGTGTATCCTCTCCATTTCCTGACATACAAGATGCTGATTAATAATAAAATTGCTAGAAACACAAACACTCTTTTCATCCAGAGACACGGCACCTCCACCCCAAGGGTGAAGTGCGATTACTGCACTAACAAGAAGAGTGGTGATCGACAATGCTTTATTGTGGACGGTCTTGGCTGCGCTTGTTGCGCTTTTCAGGGAGACAAATGCTCGTATAAGGAGCGTAACATGAGCCCTGTAGAACGTGTCAGGGCCGCGATTGAGTTGAAGAAGGAACTGAAGGGAATTCTTTAGTCATATGTTCCTTCTGTCTTTGTTTGTGAAGGTTGGTTATCATCTGCTGATGACAAGTCACTGAACGAAGGAAAGGTTTTGGTTTGATGGAAATTACTGTACGGATTGATTAAGACGATGTGGATGTACGTGTATGATTGGAGTTTGGTTTGTTCCCATGATTGTGATGGTCTTGCGGTCTGACGAGTGAATTTATCAGAAGTTTGTATGATGAAATTGTTGCTGTTGCCGTTTTCCCATATCTCGCTTGTTTTTGTATGTCTAATATTTTTCCCCCAGACAGTTTTATTTCTTCTTTCAGAATCTGGTTTTGGATATGTCGATTTCCAAAAACTGATCAAACGAGAGGGAATTTTCATTTGGTCCGTGCAACCTCTTTTTCTCCTTCCCTGTCCTCTTCATTCACCGTTTGTCGACATGTATCAATACCCGACTGGATTTTCTCTGTTCTAGGACTTGACGCTAGATACTTTAGATTCCAGCTTTCAGAATCTGGTGTTGGTGTTTCTGTACCCAGCACGATCAGTGATATAATTGCAATCAAAAACACACCCCAAAACATGATTTCAACTTGTTGTTCACTAAGAAAGGTCCTCTGACCGTTGATTCAGGTATGCTGGTCACCATGCTTGAGTTAAAGGTTCTAAGACTTCTCCTAGAGTAATTTGG